GCATTGATTGTTTAAGACAAAAACTTTCTTCTTAATCATTTGGAACAGAGTGTCCTATTGCAACAGACTCTAAAAACATGGAAGATATGCCATGGTTGATGTCATATAATAAAGGATCAGCGTTAGCAAAGCCAGTTCGTGGAATAAATTCAGCGCAACCCTTCTAATCATTTTGAGAACAGACTGTGAGACATATGCTAACTGGCTTTGCGACACCACATTACTTAAAAGCAGATCATGTCAAGCAGAAATGGTACATTAATTGAACCAGCCTAAAAACCTTCAACCATCTCTGAAATTGCCTCGTCCTCAATGTTAGCGGATGGATAATGAGGCTTGTGGTTCACCCTGCAGGGATGGGAAAAAAAAAAATCCAAGCCTGAGCTGTGAACAGTGACTGGCGGATGCTTTATGGATGACCAGCAGCATCGCCAGAGTGTTCCAATCACATTGTGATCAGAAGACATGAAGATCACACACAGGGTCCTTTCCAAGGCGGTAAACACCCCTGCAGAGAATAGTTACCGCAAAGCACCCACAGCCTGAAAAGATCACTACGGAAAAGCCAACGCACACATCCACGGTGCCGTACAATATATTGGCAACAGCAACGACAATGTGCTGGTGTCTTCACCTTTCAACTATAACCACCGAAGCTTTCCCACGATATCACCCATGAACGATTGCACAAATAGTTGATTCGACAACGGTCAGTGTGCTTGCGGTGTGGACATGTACGGGCAATACTGATATTTTAGGGGTTGCTGGAAGATCAATCCTAATGCGATTTTTAGTGTGGGCAGGGTTGGTGCTTGTGTGGTGCTTGTGTGACCATCAATTATTATGGCTTCCTTGGAAAACACAGAAAAATGACAGAAGCAACAACCAAGTGCAACGCTCTCTGGCCACCCAAGGGAAGATTTTGATAAATGCGGTTCTGTGCGCCCTACTGCCATTTCCACACATTTGCATTACACTCAGGCATTTTGATGCTCTGCTCAATACATTTAGAGTGGCCAGCCCTCTAAATGCTTAAAATGTTCATCCGATTGAGCATCGGGAATAACGTTAAATAATCATTCATATATAAATATTTAATACTTGTTGTATAATCGAGATGGTTGTCACACCTCGGCTCGCAGTCACAGTGGCAGAGAAGTCATTGTTTATCATACCATCCACAGTCAGAGGGTGAATGACATAAAATGTACATACACAGTAAGGACTCACACCTACGGACTTCTGTCAAACCGAAATTCCCTCACCCGGAATAAAAACCTATGCATTAAAATTTTAACGACGATATTACATTGACGATCATTTCATAACAACGGAAGTTCCGGGACCCGGAAGCCATACGGAAGCCCGCAGTAGGGCAAACTCAAGCAAGTCCCGCTCGATACGACGGAATAACTGTATCCGCCCCGTTATTCATTTAAACTCATTGGATCCAAAACAGCAACATATGAGTTTTACTGGAATTGCGAACGATTCATTTACATTTACGTCCTGTAGGTTGTGGCATCCAAACGAAGAGTAACGGTAATGACGGTGCAAGACAGAGTGGAATGCATCCGATTAGCTGCTCAGAGTAAATTGCTTGTGGCTCGACGGAGAGTCGAGTACACGAATGTTTCCTGGAATACTTTACCTATCATCGTGCTAAAAACCTTGCGCTAACTGGACCGCTAATTAGAGAGAAGGCGCGTTCCATCGCGCTATGGGACTTCGAAGCGTCCCGTGGCTGGCTTCAAAAGTTCGTTGTACGACAACAGCTGAGCAACGCTGTCTTGTGTGGTGATCGAGGGGAGGTCAAGTTAGAGACAGTGAGTGAGTGGAAAGAAAAGCTACCAGGTCTGTTACTAGTCTCATTTTGTAGCAAAAAAAAAAACCAGGAAGAAAGACAGACAAGCAGAGAGACGAACCCACCGTGAACAATGTCGGAAGTCCAACCGATTGTTATTGTTCCCAGCTGTTTCTAGCTAGTGTCCAGTCCGGCTGTGGCTCAGATGCCATTCTAATCACAGACATTAAACCAGGGCAACATTAAGTACTGTTATTATACGGAGCGATGAAAAGATGTCATTACCATTCGTAATGTTACTCATGCACGATCCCCAACTACACCCTACAAACAAACTACAATCTGGTGTCATTTGGGGATTTAAATTTACTTCTTCTGTATATTAGGTGGTTTTAGGAATTACTTTTTTTTTCTTTTGATATTTTATTCTTGATTTTCATTCCATCTCTAGTGTTTCTCCACTGGTGACTGGTGATAGTTCGGTAGTTTATAGTCATGTCACCATTTTCGTATGTCATTTCTTCACATTGTTTCGACTAGAAAGTCGTTTCTTCTACAAGTTTGATATGCAAAGTGGCTAAATAAAATAGTTTGATTGAGTTTTTTTTTTTTTTTTAAGATCTGGCATGGAACCTAAATTAATCAAATGAAATCCTCCGCTGGGCAAGGCTCCACATCAACTCACATTATCATAACTTTTTTTTTTTTTTCTGAAATCTTCCTGGAATAAAAACAGATGCACATGTTGGCTCAGGTGCAACAGTTCTAATCCAAGCCACCATGAGGACGTGGCTTTGCCTCTCAGCAGACCTGAGAGGTGGATGTTCACAGTCGTAACACATTGTGACTCACTCGGGTCTTTCTCCTATCAGCTGCAGTGGCATCCATCTGACATGAATGTATCATTTTAATTCAAGCAGGCAGGCCAGAAGACAGTTACCTGCTCCATGACCAAACATTCGTACAGGCCTCATAGTCGCACAGTTGCCCCAATCATCCATTTGTCGCATGGACTCGCGCGTTAAAAATCAGTAAAGATGCAGCGTTAGATGGACAGATAATGATTTATATTTCATGCAGTGCAATGCCTCAAAATGGAAAAAAAAGAATTAGTGCCCATTTTCTGGGATAATTTTGTTTGTGTGCGTTTGCCTAATTTTCAGTTCCCATCAGCTTTCTGTCAAGAGGCACGACACCATCAGTCCCTGCTTTGCTATTCCAACAGTGTAGTTGGCATGTTCAGATATAAAGAAAAGCTGAGTCCCTTAGTTGAACAGTGAAAGAATCCGATAGAATTGCGACATATCTTGTATAGCAGAGATCATGCATAAATATCGTCATTATTATTCTCGAACAAAAGGTGCATTAATCCGGAAATGGTATTCTCCCCCCCCCCAAGATCAAAAGGCTTATTCTTTCGAATACAGTCCTACAGTCCACAATAAATGCCATAATATTACGAATCTAAACAGGTATTTTAAAATTTATCAATATCCCTTTTTTCCACATTTTTGATTTTAATATTACAATTAATATAACACCTTGGAAAAAGACAACTTGTAAGATTTTGGTTTATCTTGACAAAATGTTCTTGTCAGAATACAACTTTTTCGATAACATTCCAACTTTTTGTTGCAACAAAATAACTTACGTAATGTAAAATACTGTCGTCACCTTTTTAAATTCTACGGCGTTACATATACACAGTAGTTATGTTTATTTCACGTTAGGATTATGATATGGTTCTTGTAAACATATCTGCCTTCTTCAAGGATCCCTGGACAAAAACAAAGAGAACACCTTTGCAAATAACAGCAAATAAAAAAGGTGCGTTTTTCTTGCAGATTATTAAATTGCCCTTTTCCATACAAAATTATGGATCCCAATTAATTCAAGATGTTAAATCAAGAGAATTGTTCTTTCAATGTGTGAGTCGATGCTTAGTAATCACGGATCCCTATCTTCATTCATTTTGCATCAACACCTCCCATTAAACCTCCCCGATGCTGTGTGTGTAAGATATAGACGTCAACTCAGCATGGACTGTGGCATCCTGAGCCTGTGGCGAGGAAGGCGGGTCGGCCACCATGGGAGTCAGGCCCACCAGAGGTAAAGCCCCAGCTTCGGCAGGGGAAGCAACGCGGGGGCATCAACCCTTGCCATTCAGTTTGAGATTTTCGCATGCTGTACGTGCAAACATGTGGATGTACAATTCATCCAATTAAGCATGCACTCAACCATACCGACAAAGACGGTATTGATTGAAAATTGAACATTGGTCGGCTAAAAAGTCTTACACCGTAAAGAGAAACCGCATTATTACAGAAGTGGCTCGGACAACCGGGCATGCAACAGTTGCTGGAATGACACCCGAATGGTAATCATTTGTTTTCCAGTAACATCACATGATTACAATCTGGCAATGAACAGAGAAACTAACACTAATCCATACTTTACTGGTATCAGGGGAGTTACAAAGACTCCTCAGACCAATTAGAGCTAAGCATTGGTTGAGATATTAAATATCTACAAGTCCAGGGCAATGCGTAGAGACACACAAAACACACACCCACACACAGTCAATAATTGGGAAAATTGTCAGAGAGTTGAGGTGCATGTGGGTGGGTGTGTCTATGACAGGGCTGGGCAATTCATTTTGCAAAGAGGCCACATGAGAAACTGGAATGCTCACCAAGGGCCAAGCCAACATGCTAACCTCAACCTTACACTCACACACTACCCCACCGGCAGGTAAACAAGCTCTTGAGTCGAACCACCGGTGGCTAAAGACAAACTGCGGCAGGGTTTGCTTTCTGGACCTGGATTTGACACCGTTCTAAGACAGGAGGATTTGCATTTTGGCCGTCGTTATGTTTCTTGGATAGGTTGAAACTGTCAAATGAATTTCGGTGCTCTGTACGTGTGACATGCAATGATAATATTTGATTTCCACTAAACAGAATACTTCAACAAAATGACGCACAACAGAGAAGTCGATAAAACACACGCGTAACCGCTAGTACCACTATGATAATATTTATGCTAAGACCACAAATGAGGACACACATTCGACAAAAAAAATAAAAATAAAATAATAATAATAAGTTTACAATGCAGTGGGACCCCGATTTTGTGAAACATACCAGAGAAGCTCTACTGTTAAATCGATGTTATGTTTGATCAGTATGATACTTACTCCCATTCCTTGCGACGTGCCTGTGGAGTGCTGTGGATCTTATGGGCCTGGTGCGCCTTCACTATGTCCTTCTGCTCGATGATGCCGCCCCGACGTCTCTTGATCACATTGGGGCTAATGGGCAAATCTCCATCAATCACCAGCAAGCTACCTCCAACATCAAAAGATGAGGTCACATCCAAGGTAAGCCCAGCTCTGTTTTGGTGCGGAGACGAACTGTGGCCCGGCACGTGGGAGAGGTACAGGGTGTCGCGGCTGCTCGAGAGACTGTAGGGCTCAAGGAGAGAAGGGGAGCCAGAACACAGGCTCGAACCGCCGGCCGGCCCCAGCCGATGCTTCTGCCAGCTCTCACCGTCCCCGTGGGATGAGTGGAGAATGTGGTGTCTTGGGGTGCTGTTGCCACACACGGGCTCTAGAGCAAGACCCAAAGCATCCTCCGGGCAATGAGGTCCTCCTGGAGGCCTGGGTAGGCCCAATGTATTATGATCTCCTGTCATCCTCCTGCATGAAGGAGAAAAGAGGAACTGTAAATGAGGAAATCAATTATTGAGAAATACTATAACTGCAAAGTCATTCCAATACCATTTCTCCTTTCTGTGTTAGTTTTACTGTGTGAAATAGAATCTCATATAAATTGTAAAATATTTAGTATCAACATTGAATTTTGTGCCAGCAAAATCAGAATAATACAGTGCTCGTTAATACAGTATACAAAGTACATGAAATCATTCCCTCTGGCACAAATACTGTACGGACTGGAAGCGGTAAGCTCGGAAATTAGCTCACGCAGAGGTATTTTGTGCTTTTTTTTTTTGGCTTTCATGCTACACCTGTTCAAAAGAAATGTTAGCTTTGAACGTGAGTATTGTGTTTAAAAAAAGAATAATGAGAGAAGACAAGAAAAATATAGCGGCACTGAACCTTATACAGTATTAAGTGAACCCCCCCATTCACAGCACTAAGACTCCATTGTCACCTCCACATTGTCATTTGCTCTCAAAGTTAAGGTGGAGGGTTTTTTTCTATTCTTTTGTGCATTTTTCAGTGACCACAATGGTCTTTTTACCCTTGACAAGTGAGAATGAAAAAAAGATACATGAAGAGCAGCACACATTATGCCTTCAACAACACTTAAAACCGCAAGACTTCTTTTTGTCTGACAGTTAAGATAAAGATAAAATCCTGTAGCGTTAAAGGTTTATGGTTTCAATTTGCGTTCTTTGTATCAGAATGACATAAGAGCCAGTAAGGGCTCTGAGGTGATGATATATCATCATTGCAGTGTTGCTCTAGTACTTCAGAACTAGTCAGCATTTGAGCTGACAAGTACAAGTCGGGGATTTAGATTTTTCATTTAGTTTGGATTTATCGGGGCTACTATTAAACACTTTAATGCCTGACCCATCAAGGAATATCCAGAAAAATCAGATTTTTGGGAACTGAGATGTTCATTAACCCTTATAACAAAATCCACAAAAATATTTTTGCCATATCATGTTGTTTTAGATATTTGTCGTATTCCACTTATAAGCATTATGTAGATTACATCTGAAAATGAAAATTTGGGGAATTTTTTAAATTATTTTTTAATTATTTTAAACCTGCAGTATCAAATTTGATACAGGCGATTCAATGTAATATAAAGAATGAGTTACGTAATGAAAATGCATGTATCAAATATGATACAATTGGCATTATAGGGTTAAGCAGGATGAAACCAGTCGGACAAATAAACACTACAGTTTCCTCAGAAAAAACATGCGAATACTGAGAAAAAAATCAAATTGAAACATTAAGGCTCTGGTGAAAAACAAAATGCCATGCAAATACGACTTAATTTAAATAATAATAATAATAATAATAATAATAATAATAATAATAAAAATAATAATGAATGAAGGAGCTATTCAGAGTGTGGTTGCGTGCCGGCCGGCAGATGCCTAACCCTGTGTTAGTTTTAGCAACCAACATCTGCGGATCTGAATCAGGCGGATTCAACCGTAATCAATCGCCTGTCACCATGGTAACACTAACTTAGAATCTACAGTGATTACGACACCTTTAAAGCTGCCATGACAGCCCCTTCTGTTGGGAATGGCTTGCCCAGCCTTTAAATCAATAGCATCATAAATCAATCTGTGAAACACGCGTTTGACTATTTCAGCCACACAATCTGCTGCTGTAGTTTCTGACTGATGAAGTCCATTACTTCACACAGTTTCAATTTCTTGCTCTGTAATGGCAGACAGAAACAACGTTGCTGCTCTGGAAAGCAAAGCGTAATTAGGTTACATGTAAAGCCGCTTGAGTTGTGGCGGATTTCATTTGAAGACTTTTTCCATGAGAATGAGTCCATCGTGAATACTCACTCTTCCATAGACGTGACTGGATAAAAACATAAGATGCACAACAATGTGCTGCAGGTCTTTTGGCCCAATGTGTCTGTCTTGGAGCGAGAGAGATTGATCTTTTGAAGCCATTTCGGAAATTACATTTTCAAACTTAGCGTACAGTGGTGCCAGCACAATCAGCTGACATATCAGCATGCTGGATTTCAGAGCGTTTGATCACACTAAGATCTGAATTACTTGCAGTAATGCATCACTTTGCTGATGACACAAATTCAGCTTTTGTTTCCCTCGATTCAAATAAACAATGAAAGCTTTCAAGTGGGCCAAGGCATGAACTGAATATGGCAAAGAAAAATGTAATTTGAATAAAAGGCACAAGGTTACTTATTCATCAAGTCAGTTCTTGTCAGCTAGTAGGAACGCCTTACTAATCTGTGAGTAATTGAAATAAAAGTTAGGTGTAAAAATTCCCACAAAGCATCCACATTTGCCACCCACCACATTAGTTGAGATGTATCAAAAACAAATACAATGCTCAGTTTTGTAATTTCCTTATTATTGTGGTTTTGGTAGCAAGGTGTGCGTAACGGTGCAGACAGGTGTCCAAATTCACAGGGTACGTCCTCCGAAGGCCGCATTTTTGGCCGCATGAAGTCGCTTCAGGCGCAACTCGACCGCCTGTGATTTCCAAATTCTAAAAAGACAATTCGCAGGCTGGGTTCTTCGGCGCTTTCTAAGACAAATATTACACAAAGCGTTCATAATCTTTCACGTCTAGTCAATCTTTATCCTATCTACATACTTTTGGTCTTCTACTTTCGCCCTTTCATAATTTTGCTGCTGTAAATTGGGAATTTCTCCATTGTGAGACAAAAAATGGTTTTCTTATATTATCTTATGAGCAAAACTGTACCCTTGCTACGATGTGCAGAAAAAAATCCATGCTTGCCTCTGACTCCATTGTGGTAACTCTTCTTTTAACCAGAACTCAGTCTCACGTCGACAGTGTGGAAATAATAATAATAATAATAAAAATAATTTCCCCCTAATTAGCTTTTCAGGAGGCTAGCTGCTGATTATCCTTATTCACAAAGCTTTCTGTCTGCCATTACATCGTAAAAGTCCATTCAAAAGACTCATTGTGTTGACAACATGACCAGAATCAATTGCTTTTTTTTTTTTTTTTTTTTTTAATGCTCTCAGCTGTATGTCCAGGTGTCTGCACGGTCGCTAATATAGACTGATGGAGGTTCTCTGACAGACGAGAGACCTGTGTGCACCTGCCGTACTCAGACGTCAACACTAGAGACTCATTACACATCACATCCGATCAAATTCAAAAGAAAACCAACATGAAACCTGTCCAACCTGAAATACTTTATGAATTTATTGAATAACACCTTGCTAAGCTACAAGGTTAGCAAATATGACTCACCTTCAAATATAAGTCAAAGGCGAGTTATTTTGTGACACATAAACTTGGTCCCGACCGTTTGCATTTGGTGAGCCAATTAATCAACAGTGTTGTCCATCGATGAGCCGAGGAAAGAACGCAGCCGCCTACATGCAGCTTCCTTTAGTCACCCATCTAATGATGGTATACAGTAGTTTAAAATAATGGTTAAATGTAGTGCTCACTATGGGAAAGAAAATGAAGAGATCATAGACTGAGCTACTGTAATTATTAAGAAAACAAATGACTTCTCTTACAAATGTGCTGATTGAGTATTTAAACAGCATTTAGGCATTACTACGATATAACTGGGCATGAGAATACTACATTGTGCTAACTTTAAGCTAAGCACAACGATGAACTTGCTCACTATACACCACACTTTAGTGGACTTCACACAAAAGACGGATCCACTTCGCAACTATCAATTTTTCCGCTGAGGCAACTCATGAACTGTCAAAACAGTTAAAAATAGTTTAATAATTAGTACTTTGATTTGTCCCAATGGCTTGATCAAACTGGCCTGTCTACTGCTTCTCTGCTTTGGGTCCTCCACTTCTGCCACCAACATCGCCACAAAAGGTGTGACACTAAAAAGTTGAGGCTTGCTTTGTCATCTATTATTCCACTATCCTACTCAGTTGATTTTTTTTTCTTTTTTGCCACGGTATTGTTTCAGTATTGGTATCAAGCTATTTTTTGTGAGCAAAGTATTGAAGACAATTTTGCTTTACCTGTAGAGTTTTGCTCCATTATGAGGTCCAGTTCTTCCACACCAAATCTGTCTTAGCATGCCTTACTTGAGCTTGCAGAAAATGACCTTCCCCAAACTGTTCCCATAAAGGTGGAAAAATAGTTCTGCTAAGTGTGTTTATAAGATGAAGAATTGAATCTCTGATTGAATGCTTTTTTTTTTCCTGTTATTCCACACCATTCTTAGCGGTAGCTTCCATTTTCTTCGAGTTCCATTAACAACAACCAACTGCTGCTGGGGCTTATTAAAGTTTCATGTCGCTGTTGCCTATTGCATTATAAACACTGAAAGGCTTTAGATTTGATGGATCAATTGGTTTGAAGCTTGAATAACAGACCTTTGATAGTGCGCTTTCTGCGCAACTGATGGCAAGACCCCAAGTTAATAATTCATTGACAATATTAATATCTGTCAGACAGTACTTCAGTGTTAAGGTTTAAAATATAACATCAACTGGAAGTCCATTCATTTGCTTTTAAACACACGATAAAACTCGCTCTCGAATTGCTTTCGTAACAAGAAGTAATTCATTTAATTAATTTAATTTAATGAAAGGGCATGCTACTTGGCTGCTCAGGTTGAATATGCATTGTGTTCAAATGTGGTAGCCATGGTGCTAAGTGGATTCACATGTCCTAGCCAATGGTCATGGTTTTCCTATTGGGTACACCCATCGTATGATGAAAAGACATTTCTCAAAGAAACCCTACTGTGGTGTTGACCTTCATGAAAACGGAGCCATTACGTAACACCGGGGACATGTTGTATTGCTAATGATCAACGCTACTAATAAAAGCTTCATACTGGCGCAGCCCAATCACTGGAAGCCATGGTGAGGAAGGAAATCATACTGGGCTGTTCTCTGGACTTTTAAACAGGATTTGACAGCTTGTTGCATTTAGAATTTACTTGCAAAAATACAATATATTCAAATGCTTTGCACAAAATTATCGGTGGAGCATACGATATTTAGGAGACCTACTGTAATGTGGAAAATTACGATTAAAATAAAATGAAAACCTGGAAAAAAACAGCTTTTCTTTCCTTGACTTTTCAAATGTGATGCAGCCCACCAGATTTAATGAGTCATTCATTGATTACCACAATCGGTCTGCCCTTCATAAAACAATGGACATACAGCATTTCATCGTGGGTAAGCAAAGGCACACCTGTGCAATAACTATTTTGTGTAATCAGCCTGTTGATCTTCCCCATCTGTGAGGTGGATTATCTCAGCAGAGGAGAAATGCACGCCAGGCGGTTTAGGCATTTGTGAACATAAATTGAGGGACATTCCTCTTAATAGGCCTTTGGTATACATGAAAAAAGTTTTAGCTTTGAGTACAGCCCATTAAATTAGGAGCAAAAACAAAAGTGTTGCATTTATATCCTTGTTCCGTATAAATGCATTTGTTTATTTTTGTTTTCTTACAGAATGAAATAAGTGGTATGAAGTTCTGCCTGACTCGGTAGTGAAGATAGCACATTTTGGAGGAGTTTGCAATATTCATTTTATACTCTTCATTACACACAGTTGTGTGAACTGTCAATAAAAACAGAAAATGTGCTTCTTGTTCTGAAGCAAGACCTTGAAATTTCATTCATCTATTTTCTCATGTGCTTATCCTCACAAGGGTTGTGGGCGTGCTAGAGCCTATCCCAGCTATCTTCGGCAGTAGGCGGGGCACACCCTGAACTGGTTGCCAGCCAATTGCAGGGCACACGTAGACAAACAACCATTCGCGGTCACACTCACACCTGGGGACAATTTAGAGTGTTCCATTAACCTACCACGCATTTTTTTGGAATGTGGGAGGAAACCAGAGTACCCGGAAAAAACCCACGCAAGCATGGGGAGAACACCCAAACTCCACATAGGAACGCCGGAGCCAGAATCGAACCCTTCACCTCTGCACTGTGAGGCGGATGTGCCGCCCCTTGACATAAAGATGAAAAAGTTTGGCTTTGAGCACTTTAACAAAGAGCCACTCATGACGAATGGTGAGTACTGTTTATCAATCAACTAAATGTTCCATAATCTCTTCCACAGGTTCATTTTTGTGCTGAATAAATGCACGAATTTTACATGTACAGTAGCTTTCTTCCAATAAGGGTGTTCTTTAACCTAGACAACCAAACCACATTGAGAGTTCAGATGAGACTCACCCAAATAAATTGGACCGGAAAGTACTAAGTGTGAATGTGATGTAGTCATTAAGCAGTATTGACGCAAGCAGTGGTCAGTGTGCCTTCAAGTGCAGTACACCAATAAATCAATGCTGGTACTCATAGTGCCGCTGCAGTTACGATGTGAGGAGAGTCCAAAAAAATGTAAAAAGTACACCAATAAATCAATGCTGGTACTCATAGTGCCGCTGCAGTTACGATGTGAGAAGAGTCCAAAAGAATTAAAAAGTACACCAATAAATCAATGCTGGTACTCAGTGCCGTTGCAGTTACTATATGAGGAGAGTTCAAAAGAATTAAAAAGCCAAGCAGTGATGGTTTCTTGTAACACTGTTGTGCCTCCAGCAGTCTGCCAACTCCTGCACTGATTATTCAAACTGCCTGTCTTTATTGCCACGCTGCCATAACATGGGAATATAGACTGCACTCGCTCTAAGTGATTACTTGAGATACGGGTAACCAGAAAAGGAAACAAGTTAATGTTTGTTTGTGAGTGTGGGCGTGTGTGTGTGTGTGTGTGTGTGTGTGTGTGTGTGTGTGTGTGTGTGTGTGTGTGTGTGAGTGTGTGCGCGCGCGCGTGCGTGTGCGTGTGTGTGAGTAAATTTACCTAAACGTGTATAATTATGCATGCAGAGAAACAAGTCAATTTTTTCTTTTTAATTATTCACCTTTGCGGCAATGAGGTCTGCATTTCTTAATTCCCGAGCTCTAACTGGGTGTGTGCCTTCCTCAGCACGTGTCAGTCACAAACAGCATTTAATTGAGGTGTGTGTCCATCATTAAAGAAAATCAGTTTGTGTTTAATAATTCAGTGTTTGAATAAATAGAAGCGACGAAATCAACCATCTCTGTTTAACGAACATGTTTTAATTGAGTGAAGTCCAAAACTCTACATTCCTCCGCATTTTCCCCTTTTCACCATGACAATAAAGAATATCCACATCAGTATTAAAGCCTAAGAGAACGCACCTTGCCAGTATTTGGCACGCATTTCTACAAACAAATCATGACCACCTTGTTCCGCTTGAACGCAACTCAAACAGTCCAAAATTCACGTCTACGAACAGGAAACTTTTAACCATTCATTCATCCATCCATTAGCCGAGTCGCATATATCACTAAAAATGCAACATACATTAGATTTCATACCTTAAAGTCTTGTCTTTTCGGTCGATGAACGGCAAGTGTGGCAGAGGCTTCCACGGCGTCCGACAGCCTGTAGGCGAGAGCGCGGAAGGGGTATGATTGGGGGGCTCAGGAGGAGGTGGCGGGGTTCGTCATTGGAGCCCCTTTTACTAACTGAAAAGAAGACCCAGCGCAAAGAAACAAACATTCACACATGCAAACAAACAAATAAATAAGTAAATAAAATCTGCTCACACATTCGTAATTATCTTTCAAATACTTTTGTCCAGCTCCACCATGATGCATTTTCGTGTATTTACAAGTCACCTGTAAGCCCTTCCTGACTAATGTATGTTACAGTACAGTACTGTACTGTATTCGTGTGGATGTAATAGGAATCTTGACCGCAAGATGGCAGTAGACGCACGGAAATTTCTCATACAGTAACACAACAACTCCACGCATGAATCAGAGTTAATTATTGATTTTGTTTAATTTTAATTGATCTCAACGCAAGCTCTGTCTTTCTTTTCAATACTTTGTTAATGAGAAACTCCACTCAACTGCCATACCTAGTTAAACGAAAGAAATTATTATTATTATTATTATGCATCCATCCATTTTCTAATTTCCTTATCCTCACAAGTGTCGCGGACGTGCAGGAGCCTACGCCAGTTGTCTTCGGGCAGTAGGCGGGGTACACCTTGAACTGGTTGCCAGCCAATCGCAGGGCATGCATAGACCAACAACCATTCACGCTCACACTCACACCTTGGGACAATTTAGTGTTCCATTAACCTGCCATGCATGTTTTTGGAATGTGTGAGGTAGCTGGAGTACCCGGAGAAAACCCACGAGCATGCAAATTCCACACAGGAAGGCCGGAGCCAGAATCGAACCCTTCACCTCTGCACTGTGAGGCCGTCGTTCTAATCAGTAGACTATTATTATCATGATTATTATTATTATTGTCCTTTTTTTTTAACATTTCAAATGCTACAATTTGCAAGATAGTGTCTGAGACTATTTACATTCATTATATTTTATTGCATTAATTTTAGTCCTGAATACAACAAATACTACAAAATGGAATTCAGTTTCAAGATAATGGCGTAGGCCACAAAGTTAACCCAAAGTAATAATAATAATAATAATAATAACAATATTAATATAATGACACATTAAAAAAAAACATTAATTTGGTTTTGTTTTGCATTGGATTAGATTTCCCCTTTTTTTCCCGACGCGACAATAATCTCGCGATATTTCGGTGAGTCGCCTGTCACAAAGCGCCCCATCTTGGATATCTCGTTTTCAGTGGTTCCAAGAGGTTCATACCTTTAACCCGGCAAGATAAACTAAGAAGCGGGTAGCCAATTTTTGTTTCCGGAACACGAACAAAATTTGCTTTTCTTCCCTGGGGAATCTCTTGGACGGCAACCATGGCTGCGCGTCGCTGAAAAAGTTGCTATTTTAGCACAAGTGGTAGTCCCTAGCTGCTTTGAGCTAACATTAGCAAACAGACTACTGAAGCGATCTGAAGATTTTTGATGATGTAAGGACTTTTTCTTTCTCGAACCCATCAGCATAATCATGGACGTCTAAATGATTCGGACCCCTATCTTTAACGGTAAGCATCGTGTCTTTTATCATTGTTTTTTTTTTAATCAGAATTCATTCTCGGCTAGCTCAATTTTGAACTCTTGAGTTTCCTGGGCCGGCAAACATATGAGTCATATTAAAGTTTGAGGTAAAAAGAGTTGGTGTCGTGATATTTACGAGAAAATGCTTGAGGATTTAATCGTAGACCATACTAGTAATCATATCCTACCTTTTGTTCACGCCCTATAAAGATTATCGACGTGTTTAAAAAGCCCCGTTAAGGAAAAGTACTGCCTACAATTTAAAGGCTGTAAAAAGAGTTCATCAACAACTCTTGTGAAACGTCTTAAAAACTCAACATTAAAAACCTCACGGGGGATCATTCCTTCCCGTTGTCATGTTTGTAGCTAAGCAACTTAACTTTTCTTAACGACCACTGCGTCCGCAGTCGGTCCACTGAGGTGTGGTTGTGTCTTCATCTACCACTTCTTCAATTCTTCAGAATAACCATGATAATACATGTGCTGTTCCCCCACACCATCTTATGTTAATGCAGAAATCAGCAGGAGTGATCAAAAATACAGTTAGAGGCTTCATAGTTTCAGTTTTGACAGTCCCGTTTATATGGACACAAAACTGGTAAGTCGAACACGTAAGCTGCCTGCATTCAAAAGTGTAAGCACTTTTTTAAAAACACATTTTGCAGTGGATGTCTCCTATGCCACCACAATATTTGTGTACTAGTAGGACTGAACAATTAATGGAATTAAAATCGACATGGGAGGGAAAGAAAACCCTGCTTCATATCGTTGGTTGGTAGACTTTATTTTTATGTATATTCTATTTATTCATTTATGGAGTTTGTAAAGATGTTTAGATGCTTAAGAAGTACAGTCATATTGTTTACATCTCGTTTAATGCAACACATAAAAAAACAAATTTATCACTTCAACTTATTATTGTTTTGATATGATTTATGATTTACTGTCTTACATACAGTATATGCCACACTTGTTTGGTAAAATTTTGCAATGTTGTCGTGATCATGTAAAACTGCACAATTCTAATTGATGTAGATAAAAATATTGTTTTTCATATTAATTGTTCATTTGGCTTTATTTTACTGTAGGCCGATTTAACAGATTTGATGCTTTTAATATTGTGACATGACAACAATGATATTGTGGCAGTTTTAATATTGCACATTGCCACCGTATTGTATCGTTGTTTATTCTGTCCACAAACCTTTAAATAGCAATTTTCTCAGTCTTTGTTAGCTGTTTGTTAAATATCGTGCTTGCGCAAGAGTTGCTCACGTGCTTGCGCAAGGCTTACTCACCTGTCAGTAAAGTGACCTTGGTTTAAGGTACAGTATACACATCATACATGACTAAGCTGGAAATGTAACTCGCACCGGGTGTTTCCTGTTCACTCTGTTAGAAAGGGAGTATGCACAGCTCAGGGCAATGTCATATGATTCATATGACCAAAGTGCATGACTTTTCTTTTTTAAAAGTCCCTTTTAAAAAAAATACAATCGAAGTTTTCTCCGACAATATGAGCCAGTGTGGCCGTTGAGAGTAAAAGGTCCTCACAGGGTAATTGTGTTTTTAAAGTGAATTCCCAGCGTGGACTCTATATGGCTGCTGCACTCTTGTATTACAGGTCTTTTTAGGCAACCGTCACACACATGACATTTGATAATCTTCAGTTTCACCCTCCCTCATGAAAACCTGCAGAGGTGAACACAGTGTTGTAAAACCAGTTTTAAATGACAAGTTGACATAACTATGTGCCGCAGAAACTCAAGTGTTGTCGCAGAAGGTATATACAGTCATAAGAAACCTGCTAATTTCATATACTCGTTTGATTGTGTTCATTATTGTATTGACATCAAGGACAGTCTTAGCTCTTATTGCCTCCAGCTGGCTCATTTCCTTGTTTGAAACTGCTGACTGTTCCTTTTCTCTTCTTCTGTGTTGTTCTTTGTTTTGATTTTCATTTGCCCTTTTGGCTGTTGATCGTCAAACTTGAAACAAGGTATGCGGTTGGTGGGCATGAGCTGTCCATGCAACGTGATCGCGGAAAGTCCATATCGCTGGTATATTATTGATGATCAAAATTAATATCTTGAATGTTCATATCCAGATATCAATAGGATAATAATACATTGCCAACCCCGAATGCAGATATTACTGTAGAAGGAGTTGACTGGAATTCCCAACATACCTTGAGCTGCCCCTTTTTCAAAAGAGGTTAGTTCATCCTATCGTAATGTAGCAGTTTTCGTTGTGAGTTCACCCACCTCGTTATTTATTAATTTACTTTAGCTGTTCAGGACTCGCGGCCTGGTGGGCGACTCGTTAGCGTGTCGGCATCACAGTGCAGAGGTTCAGAGTTCGATTCTGGATTCCGGCCTCCCTGTGTGGAGGTTGCATGTTCTTCCCGTGCCTGCTTGGGTTTTATCCGGGTACTCCAGCTTCCTCCCACATTCCAAAAACATGCGTGGCAGGTTAATGGAACACTCTTAAATTTTTTCCTAGGTGTGAGTTTGAGTGTGAGCACGGAGGGTTGTTCGTGTCTGTGTGCCCTGCGATTGGCTGGCAACCGGTTCAGGGTGTCCCCCGCCGACTGCCTGAAGACAGTTGGGATAAGCTGCAGCATGCCCGGCCGGCCCTTGTGAGGATAAGCGGATCAGAAAATGGATGAGTGGATGGATGTTCAGGTCTCCAGCCTGTCCCTAATTAGTGGCATTTTAATCCTAAAATTTAAGACGATGCAAGGGAATTTTTCATCTACTCTTGCTTGTGTGACCAGAACATTTTCTGGTTTGTTTATTTATTTTTGAAAATAGTATTCTTGACCATATTTTGTCATAAACCAACTTCTGCTCCTCACTTCAGCCCATTATATATTGAAACTGAGTGGAGTGCTTTACTTTGCAAGGTGACTTACAGTGACATGTCATGAAGTTAGATTTAATTTTGTACCTTAGGTTTGCTTGTGTGTTGGCATCACTTCCCTGGTTTGTTGTTCACCTTGTGTCAGCAGTGTGGTACTAGCATTGTAAGTAAAAGCTTTTCTCCATCTGATCAAACGGCCGCTGTCATTCATAATATTCATCATATATTTAGTGGTTCTTTTGAAATCCTTTATGGTCGTGTACTAAAGCAAACGTGTTGTTGGCCAATATAGCATAGACAGTAGTAAATACCCAGTGTTTTACATCTCATTGTCTAACCTTGTCTGCAGGTGAATGGGTGAGATGAGGAGTAGTAAAAGGGCTTTGCCCCTTGGTGTCACAGTTCATCAGCACACAGATCACAACGTTGATACAGGTTTGTAATGAAACACACTATTTAATTTTAAGTAGTTGATGTGTCCGGTATATCACATTTGATATTCCTTGTCATAATTATCTTCCTCTTTCAACAGATTTAACAACTGCATGGAACAGTTTGCCTCAGTCCAAAGCCGCTGTAAGTATACAAAATCCATTGCATCTCCAGTGCAGGTTTTACTGTTACAATGATTAGGGTGGTGTTGGTTCTGTTGTTGCCTTTTATTTTGCAATATTCATACAAAGTGAGATAGTAATTATTGATTTTTAACAAAGACAAAGTTGATACTGACGTCAGTGGACTAATGACAGACCACAGAGAAAATGATATGATATCATTGTTCGTGTAGCTGCGACGAATAGAAAACCATGTGGAGGCCGTTCCTGGGACAACAGCACTCCTCCTCTCTGTTATGGACCCGCCCAAGAAGAAGATATCTGTATCTGTCCGCAGCAGAGGTTGGTTAATCATGTTCCCAAAAAATCGAGAATTAATATATTCAAAATGGTCTTTAATATTTGAAAATAAAATTCTTTAGTTTGTTTTATTGTTTTGGGATATTAAGATTGCATTTTCGTCTTCACAGATGAGACGAGGGGGTCCTCAAAGTTCAAAGAACATCGGCAGTCAAGTTCCAAAAAGAGACGCTCACGCAGCCCGCTAAGAAACGCCACCCAAGACAGCAATGTCAGCCAGCACAACAGTATGGCGCTCAGGGAACAGCTGGCTTCGTACAGGTGGGATGGACAATTTGTACAAATATTTCTGTCTCTGTCCTGTCTGATGTTGTTTGTGCCTTGTGGCGATCCAAAATGCTAAAACATTGTAATGATAATGATTTTAACTCACATTCAAGTTAGGGGAAAAAAACAATTTTTTTGCACTGTTATCTACTATTATAATCAATACCTGTATCACATTTAAGAAATGTAATGAAAAAAAGAGATGGTCAAGTCTTATTCTGTGAACTGAAAGGTATAGTTGCAGTTGAGAAATTCAATGTCATGTCACCTTAAATGCCGTCCAAGGAGAAATGAAGAACTATATCACAACAAAATGTTGTGTCTCTTAGCAATAACTCGTTAACAACATCGTTTATGAAATGTCCATTTTTTTTTTTTGGTGGGTACACTGTAATGTCAATCGATGAAGCCATGTTTGCATTCCTAAAAGCGACCATCCAAACTAGATGTCAGCCTCCATATGTGTGAATGTTGAATTAAGACTAAATCTTGATCCTCTTTGCTGATCCAACGTAATCTGGTTTGTCTCCAGAGAGACCGCCCCTCCATCACAACACTCATCTCAGCTGGAGGCTTTCACGCCGCAGTCAATGTCAGGGCCTTTGTCCCCATCCTCAGACGCTCCGTTGAGCAAGCCCGTCTACCAGAAAGACTTTTGGGACAAGCACACAGATGGGACCCAGGACATCGCGCACTCTGCAGACAGCACGGAGGTCTGCTACCTCAATGACCCGCCCACTGTAGACACCCAGCAGATTTTTGCTCACCCATCACATGCAACAAGTTCACTCCCAGCTATGGAGACTTGCAGTCCCGAGGCACAACTCACCCGCAGCATGGATATTCAAAAGTCCAGTCAGTTTCTACCTCCTGCCTCTGACTTGATATGTAGATGGGAAAGCACTCCTTCCACCAGTCCAGGCTCTGATTCCCAGGGTTTGGAAAACCTTAGGCGACATCAACCGGATGATAAGCTGGAAAAGCTCAAAGAGCGTATTCGAAGGCAGGTAAAACTTCAGGAGGAGACTGCAGAAAAGGAAAAAGTGTTGGGCCATCTTGAGCAGCCCATAATATCCGCCAAGAGTAACAGAGGCGGCACTACAGCCAAAATAAGGAAGGTAGCAGCTGCACCACAAGCGCCTACTTACAAAGGTATCATACTCATACTTTATGACAGTTCTTATTATAGTAGCAGCACAGTTTTGCAATAAATGTTCTGCAAATTTTGATTTTATTTGTTTGCTTCTTCCTCAGGCTTCAGCAAAACTGAGGCCAGGACCCGTGCTACCCATGGGAATGCGTTAAAAGAAGAGGATCTTCAGAGTTTAAACAAGGACCTGCGAAAGGACCCATTAAAGCGGTCTGCTGGTAAGACACAACATAAAACTTTGATGTAAGGAAGCGAGACACTCGGCGGCAGAGGTCTTACGTGTTTATTGTGTTGTTGTTACAGGAAGCTCGGCACCCAGGCCACAACAGGAACGGCATCATTCTGTAGAGAGAGAAGCGAAACCAACCAGGAAAATCCACAAAGCTGCCTCTGGCCAAAACGCAAAAACAGGTTGGAATAAGGATACGTATGGACTTTCAGCAAAATATATTGAACAAGAGTGATTGTTTTTGTGCTCGGCATTTTGATAGGGACAGGTATAGACACACACTGTAGACAAGTATTGCATACCCTTGTTGTCTGCCGTCGATGGTTTCCCTGGTTTTTGCCACCTCTTCCAACTTGATTTGTTTGAGTTCATTCATGAGGCATGGTTCCATAAATAGCTCCAGAATCTGCAGCCAACTTCATGTGATTCTTCCGATCACATCAAACAGAAGCTTGTTTGTCTACATGTATCTGGATTACCAGGAACTACTTGAACATTTCTGTGGGCTTTTAAATGGTATTTTCCAGAGCTTTTAGCACCTGTTTATTATATCTGTAATTGCACTTGACAAGCGAGTACATTATTAACATATTTTTCTTGCAGTGATTACCCCTGCTTCCTGGCGGGAGGGCTTGAAGCTGGCAAACAAGATACTTGGTACCGCTCCCAAGCAATCCAGGGTGAACAGGCACCATCTCGAAGACAAACTGCACCAAACAGGTTGGGGCAAGTGAACTCTTCAATCCATACATTATGCCACAGACCTCCTTTTTTTTTTTTTCTTCTTCTTCTTCAACACACTTCAAGCCATTGCAGTATAGAGAGCTGACTCAGCCCAACTCTAAACTTGCCATCTTTGCTTTATCTCAAATGATCTTCTTGCACCTCTTGGCAGAGTATCATGGTGCAGTGAGTCAAACGCTGAAAAGAAGGCAGGGATTACAAAAAAGGTGATAAATGGTGGAGTGCTTTGAGCAGCCATTTGGAATGTGTCACTTCGATGTCATAAATGCCCCTTTCAGTTATTTACATCCACAATTTGTTTGATAAGGCTTCATTGCGTAAAAGAGAATTCTCATTCTATTTTTTTCTGTTCTTGATGCACTCCATTTTATGTTCTTATGGTTCAACATTTTTGCAGTTTTTATCTACCCTACAGTCCACCAATGAATTTGAAGCTGTTAAATACATGCCTTCTAGTCTTGTATGAGAGTTTGAATATCTAAATACATGGCATGCTAGCACACTTAGACAATGCAGCTTTTATAAATAACAAAAGTTCCTAACTTGATGACTGACTATACCGTGACATCTCCCTCATCTTATAAACTTTGTCTCTACTGACTGCCCACGACCAGCAGGAATTGAGGTCGACTGGCTGTTTCGGTTGGGTGAACAATGAGTCGTAGCCTGATTTGATGATGAGGTTGCTCCCACTGCTGCCGGCAAAGACCCTAGGGAGTGGCAGAGTAGGATTGGCATCCAGTGAAGCTTGGCTCAATTTAGGGTGGTTCACAACTGCCTGGATTAGATTCTTTAAAATCAGGACTGTTCATCACGGATTAAAGTTGGCATGGCAACTCTCACCCAACCCCGTTACTTCAATAAGCTGTCTTTACTGTATTTTCACGACCATACGGTGCACCGTATTAAAAAGTGTAGTGTCAGTTACGGGTGCTATTTCTGTATTTAACAAATACACAAGGCGCATTGTATTATTAGACGCAGTCATGGTAAAACGTACACTATCTGAAACAATTCGGTAGCATGCATCCACGCTAGCGTATGTTTTTAAAAAGGCAGCGGGAGCAAAACTGAGTTCGGTTGTACTTGAAGTATTTAACAATGTACTCACATTATTTTTTGATCAATCCTCATTATTAAATCCATTGAAGTCCAAGCCCAAGTTCACAATCAAACATGCCAGGTTCCCTCCCGTCATTCTCAGTCTCGTTGCCATGCAGCTCCTCAGAGCATTTTACAACACAATACATCCTAATGTTTGAACTTGCCCATAATTTTCTTGTGACGAAAAAAGCCACTAAAATTGTTGGTGAACGTTTGGCAAATGTTTGCGACCTTTGCGACGAACCCTGACGAGAACTCAACATATGCTACCTTTGCCAACACTCAAACGTTGACCTTTCAGTGGGATACGGGCCTCAAAGCAGTTTAACAAGTACCTGCAATCAGTTCTTCAACTTTGTCATCTTGTGTTTAAAACATCATAATGCACTCAACATATTTAATTGGAACATTGCAGGTCTTTTTTTGGACAGAACACAGGTCACTGTTTGAGTGGAATACATCCATGTACAGTATATTTGATTTGAGACAACAGTATTGTGTGTGTGTTTTTTTTTTTTTTTCGGTCATTCAAAAGAAAGTTGACCCTTTGCCCTTAATATTGGAATTTGTTGCTCAAACAATTTGTACTCAAGTCAACTCAACTGTATTTATAGAGCACTTTCAAACAGCCATCGCTGCATACAAAGTGCTGTACATGGAGCAATTAACATATACAACAAACAGTAAAGCAAATCGGTAACAAAGACGGTAGAAAGCACCAAACAGCAAAACCAATGTACCACTATAATGAGTGCATCATAAGCAATTGCCGGGTTACCTATGGGCTACATTGTGTTGAAGTTCATATTCTCACCCTACTGTCAACAGCTTCCCATCGGCGGTCCACTGTTGACAAAGAAGCAAACCACCCTCCTCGTCCTAGAAGCACAGACAGGAGTCAAAGTGCATTACAGGCTCAATCCAGAATCCACTCCACCACCACTTCTAGCCCCTTGTCGGCTTGTCAGGACAAGTGCCCAGTGCCTCTAGGCAAAGACCTCTTGTCAGCAGACATCCGGGCCATATTTGATGACCCACTGCTTGAATGCAAGGCAGCTGAAGAGGAGGAGCGGTCTCGGCCAAGATCTGGGAGAGGTAAGGGTAGTCAGAAGGGGAAAGCAAGGTCATTGTCTCAAACAAGGACTCCCCTCTCCTTCTGGGGAACAACTGTGCCAACATATGGCCCCTCAAGAGGGTGTCGTAGTGCCAACCCCTCCACCAGTGTGGCTGAAACTCAGGAGAAGAAGCGGCACTATGATTCAGAAAAAATCCGTCAGTACATTGTTAAGCAAAAAGAAGAAAGAAAAAGACAACAGGCAGAAGAGAAGAAGTCTTTGAAAGAGGAGTCAGAGAAACGAAACCAGAGGCTTCAGGAGCTCTACAGGAGGCAAAAGGAAATGGCTAAAACTGTCGTCACTCCCATCGAAGCAGCTGGCACCCCTTGGCAGAAACGGTATAGGGAAGAGACCTACAACCTTCTCACAATGGATGAGACCCATCTTGGAGAGGCCATTCAGATGCGATCCTCTGCTGTTTCAAATCAACTGGTATGTATTATAAGCCTTGAATTCATTTGTTCCATTTTCAAATAAATACGCCTTAAGAGATATGTTGCAGAAAGTTTGATTAAGTGGCCGCCTTACTCCTGTTTTAACTTTTCATCACAGAGACCAATGTACCAGCCCTCTGGAGAGTCGGACAAAGAGAATAAGAAAATGGAACTACCACAGAGCCCCTCAAGCAGTGACAGGTCTTTGACTGATCAGCTATCTCCTCCATTACAAAGGTAGATAGATGCGAGATGACCAGTACACAGAAATAACAAGTGGGATATGCTTGGTGATTTTCTCAATTTTTAGATGATTGTATATATATATGAAGTTACCATACTTTGTCATTGTGTCCGACAAGCCTTGTGACACCACATTCATAATTTACACAACAGTTCGTCAGTTACAGTGGAATATTGATGCTGTAATCTGGTCATGTTTTGTTTCTCTCCAAATGTTTTACGAGTAATCTCTTTACTCAAATGATCATATTTAAATTAGGGGTGCAATTAACGATTGCTTCAGTAATCCATTGATTTGTCAATTTCATTTCGTTGATTAATCGGTTAAACGGGGGGAGGGGTGAATGTCCATTGCTATATTCAAAAACAGGACATTATTTCACATTGTCATTCCAGAAAATACAGAAACATAAATTAAGATTCAATTACTGGTTTGGTCCGTCATGCCAGAAAATTGATCAATCAAAAGTCAATTGTTTTTCAAAGTAAAAGAATATTTTTACAAATGTTTTATTTTTACGCAACACAAATCTGAGATTATGGTTGAGAGCCTGAAATTCAGTGTATTTGGACATTTTTAAATAAACAAGGACACAAAATGATGAATTGGTTTTCAAAATAATTATTGATTCATTTGATAATAGATTTGCTTGACTTTAAAAGATTTGTATTTCTGTATAGTCTGCAGGAAATAAATTTGCAATGACTTGTGGCGAGCTGCTTACCGCATCTATTTGGCATTTCTGTTTCAGGGGTGATTTGGATGTTGGAGTTACTTCTCGACTTAATCCTGACCTCAGCCCAGCTGTTCAGTCTATCTCCGCCTCCAGCGCTGGTGCACTAGGGTGTACAATTTATGACCCTCTCCTTTCTCAACCTCGGAGGCTGGAGAACACAGTTACAGCTGGTGACGTCAAGCCCACTTTTGCAGAAACCCCCACCTGGTCTCAGTCAAAGAGGTCCCGTATTGACGCCATCAAAGCCACAGCCATCTCTCTCTCTAATCGCATTGAGAATGAAGCCCGGCAGATTGCCCGGGTGGGAATCAACTTTGGCGAGACAACTTCTTTGGACGCAGATATTTTGGCCCCGAGGTCCACTCGGGCTAATCTTGATGAGAGAGGCTTGGCATCTGGACCTGGCACATTTGAAAATGCCGACTTGACATTGAGGCTCCATAGACTTATAACAAATGCGGGTCTTAGTCCATACAATAGTGCATCTCTTCCGGGAGCTGGGAATTTGCACACCTTCAAAGGGCAGCCACAACAAATTACACCTGATCGAACAGAGTGCTCTGCTTGCAGCTATGGATTGGAAAGGAACCAAGTCAATGGCTTAGAGAGAACAGATGACATGCCTCATATTAGACCCTATAGAACAGCTGAGGAGAACAGGGAGAATAGGACAGATCTACATGACTCAAGTGGCGGTTCTATCAGTGAGGGTACCATTTTGAGTGAGGGTAGCTTCAGTAAGGATGAAATGAGTCCTCCTCAACCTCCCACCAATCATGTTCTGAGATTGGCAGATCACGCCAATGACTGTCCTGGTCAAAGAGTGGAAGTGCAACGCCTCACTGACTTCCAGAAGGAGGCTGCCAAGTGCTTGGCCCTCACGTCACAATTAACGCCTCAGAACTGCAATAAAATGCCCTGGGAGGAGTTGAACAAAGGAGATCCTTTCAGTGTAATCAACATTTACTTAAAGAACCTCAATGTTAAAGGTTAGTTTAGTCATAATTACCTCTGTATGACCCTGCCTGGTGCCCGATGTTGTTGAAATGCAAGGATAGTACTTGCAATGTCGACAAAAATCTGAATTTTTCCTTGGCTTTCTCCCACAGTGAATGACGGGAATTCCCCATCTTCTTGCTCTATTCAGTCGGGAGGGTCCCACAGAGATGCAGCAGTCTATGATGATGACTTTGTGTCATTTCATAGCATTAGCCAACAGTCAAAGAACACTTCCAGTCCACACAGGTGATTTAATAAATCTCTGCTTTTAAAATTGGCCACCAGGTGGCATTCATGCCACAATTGGGAAAACTCATTTTTTTGAAGGTACTGTATTCAGGATTGTTCAGTTTGATAAGTTTGAAGATTTCTTTCTGTTTTGGTTTTGTTTCAAGTAAATGATCATCTTCAAACTCTTATTTGCAACGTTTCAACTGGATACTTGCAGAGGTTGTTCTTGGAATTGTTTTATGAATAATTGGTTTGTGATGTTTCTGTACCGTACTTCTAGTGTGGCAATGGAAAGTAAAAAGTCTCCACAATCCCGAGGAAGACTGGCTTCCCCTTCAGCCTTTCCTGATTTGGCTTCGTCTCAAGCAGCAGCCTCTCTCAAGAATGATTCTCGAATAAACGGTAGGCTCCAGCCACAGGCAAACCTTTTCTTTAATTGTGTGTAATTTGATTGTCTCCTCCTCAACCTTTCTATTCAGGTAAACTCCAGTATTCACCTACTGCCCTGCAGCAGTACATGGCAGCAGAGCTCAAGTACCAGGAGTCCATAGAGGAGTCTTTGAGACAGCTTGAGGATGTGGAGAGACTGATGGGTCTACCCATGGCTCCACAGGTTAGTGCAGTTTGCCTTAATGCTGAAGGCGAAATAGCATTTTTAGTTCTGTTCAGAATAGTCCTCATTTATGCCACATTATTTATGTCATTAACCCAGATATTTGACATTTGGCTGCTCACAATTAAATGACTTTTATTTGCATTGTTACATGTACTGTATTTTTTTTTTAAACTTGTAATAATCTTTGGAAGTGCGCACTGACTAATTTTTGGGTGATTCAGATGAGTAACAATCTGCGGCTCATCCATACATACTATTAATTTCATTTCAATGAATAGCAGTATGTGTTCCTCACGTCATCAAAATGTTCCCTCAACATTGCAGTCCAAGCAACAAAAGTCTCCACCATCAAGAGGACAAATGACTTCTCCTTCTGGCTTTCTGGGCTCTACCCCAGCCGCAGATCTTCACTCGGAATCTCCCAGAAATGGTCTCAGTGCCGGGCCCAGTAAAAGCAGCAGGGCCACAGGTAAATAATCACATCGGAAACATTTACAAAAGATTAAATAGCTTTAACCTTTTAGCAGGACTTATTTTATATATAAATAAGCGAGACAAACGAGTTTCTGTTTTTTCAGGCTCATTAGTCATGAGTCAGCATCATGCATGAAGCTTCTCTTCTTCCCCATTCCTTCTTTCAGGTAATCTTCAATATTCTCCGGCCGCCCTGCATCATCATATGACAGCAGAGCTCCAGTACCAGGAGTGCATAGATGAGTCCTTTAGACATCTAGGGGATGTGGAGAGGCTGATGGGTGTGTCTGTAGCCCAGCAGGAGAGTCCTTCATTGGCACAAATACTTGAGGTAAAACAAGGCCATGGCTTTTTATTTCATAAAATAAGGACAAATCGATTATGTTAATATATCCTTTTATACTTTCAATCTCTTTAATTTTTGTCAAATGGCAACCTCAATGTGCATTTCTTTTTAAACCTCACAGGCCAAGCAGCAGGAATATGAGAATGACCTTTATGAGCAGAAGATCCAGGCTGAAAGAAAGGCTTTGGAGGCCCAGCTGCAGCGTGAAGAAGACAGGCAGAGAACGGCCCGGGTACAAATTCACATTCAATACTCCTCAGCTGATCTGTTACTTTCTACTCAGCAAAAAATTACCAGTTGGAAATATTAAGAGATTCATGTTTAAAGTGCCGGCTTGTTTTTGGACAGGCTCATGAAGAATTGCTGGAAAAACTCGTATTAACTCAAAAAGAGACGGCCGAAGCAGCGCGTCACATCAAAGAGGTTAGCAATACTGTACTTTGACACTGCTGATTGACTGTGGGGTCACAACAATAAATGCATGATTCCCACTGTAAACACAAGCGCCCAGTATGTCATCAGTTTGCAAAATGTTTCTACCAGTTGACAGATCTGGCACGGACTCAGATCGAAGGAGCTCTCGCTGTGTCCGTTGTTGCGCCTGAGTCTTCGATTCTGACCAAGCACCATCGGGAAAAGCAGAGCCAATCAGATTCCGACAGGTAAGACCTTTCTTCAAGTCCTAGCTCACTAATAAATTAACTACATTTTAACTCATTCAATCCCAAAGACATATTTATGTCTTGACACACTCCACACGTTCAACCCCAGATACTTATTTATTTTCTTTCAATTTTTCCAAGACTTATAGTAAAAAAAAAAGAGTTAATATTACACAGTTGAACACTGAAACTGAATTTTGTTTAATTGTGCTTGCAGCTTCCAGAGAGAGGAATCAAGTCGAAGCCTCAGTCATACTGACTCGCGGCCTGTGCAAAGACCCAATCACATGTACTAGCTATACTTACACAACACAAGTCTCAATTAATTACAGTAGACACGAGGAGCAAAGTTTAACATGCCCCCCCCCCCCTCTCATTTCTTTAGTGGTGCAAACGATAGCTGTCCCAATAGCCCCTCACACACATCTGCGGAACATATCCAGGAGGTGAACAAAGAAGAAACAGAATTGGAATGGAAGAAAGAACATGACAAGCAGGCAGAGAGGGAACCGGGCAGCAATTCAGTAGAGGAGGAATGTCCCACTGCGGACAACGACTCCCTCTGTACTGAAAGCATCCCCTCTGTAGCTGATGACAAGGGTACCACATAAAAAACACATCCCAGTGAATTTTGAGCTCACAACTGCATTCCATCATGAATTACAATGGACAGACACTGCACTATGCCTGTCTCGTTTCTCAGAGTACTCTTCCAAGTTCGACTCATCGAGAACGGAGGATGAAGTGGAAGAACGCTCCTTCAGCTCTTTGCTGCCCTCTAAGGTGCACCGCCGCAGTTCTTTGGAGAACAGGCCACACCTCCACGAGGATTCAGAGGATGAAGCTGTAGAGGACAACTCAACACTACTCTCAGGGTCACATAATGGTACAAAGGTGAGAGGCCTGTTCGAGCACTTTTGTGTGGCCACTTCAATGGTACCATCTAAGATTGGCCAAGAAGCTCCACTTGTGGATGTACGTTGCGTGTGTCCCCTCACTGTCTCGCTTCCTTCGAATTCTACTGTTTAAATTTGACTTGCCTTTTATTGTGAGGTATAGATTGTCTTTTCACCAACCGCAGACTCAAATTATTTGCCTTTTTCGCCCGCAGCATCAAAATCCAAATATGTCCTTTTCTGGTGGAAAGGACAGCTTCTCCCGGTTCACTATGGACATGGTGCGTCAGCACATGAAAGATGAGGATCTACGACTGCAGCATCAGAACGCTCTGCTGCGTCTGCGCCAGAAAGCTGTCAAGGAAAAGATCAGAACTGAGTTGGCATGGCTGGAGCACCAGAAAAAGCAGCTGAGGAATAAGGGCGAGGATGACAAATTGCCACCTATCAGAAAGAAGCAGAAGGGCCTTTTATTAAGACTTCAGGAGGAGCAGGTACTTAACAGTTAACACCACACAGGTATCCTAATCTAATCAGCCATTGCTTTGCGCATACATATAATTTTTTTTTAAACACAAATTATGTTGTAACCCTGGTAAGGCTGAGATCAAGCGTCTTCAAGAAGCAAATAAAGTAGCAAGGAAAGAAAAGCAGCTGCTGTTGAAGCAGCAAGAAGAGATTGAGCGAATGAGGACCTCAACACAGAGACTAAAAGAGCGTCTCAAGTCTGCTGGTGGTCAAGTGCCCCCTGTACGTAGTACAGTAGAACCATTGTCTAGTCAAGAAAAAGTTAACTGAATTTTTTTAACTCAAAAAAATAAGTCCTCCATCTGTTCTCAAGGAGTCTCCAGTGTCAGAAACGCCTGTGTCAGAAGCAGCTCCTTCCAACATGAGACCTACCGATGACAGCCGCACCCCATCGCCATCGCCTTCCGTCTCTGCTAGCGAGACGAGCAGCATCATGCAGAAGCTCAAGAAGATGCGTTCCCGTATGGATGAAAAGTAAATGCTCTTCTTCATTAATTCAATCTTACTGAATTTGTTTTTGCAAACCTCCCTCACCCTGGTTGAAATTATCAATGCTGAGTGTTGAGAGAAAAAGAAAACTGATTAGAAACTAAACAATTTTAAACTAACAATCATTCATACTCTTTTTCTTATGGTTGTGAAAACAATGTTGATCGCTCCATCACGAAGCTGTGGGCATAGGGGATCGAGAAACTCTTGAGCTCTGGGAACATTTATCCTTTTTTTTTTTTTTTTTTTTTTTTTTTAAAATAAATTCATTAATTAATTAATTAATTAATTTTTTTATGAGCTGACTTTTTACGTTTTTATGACCCATATTTTGCTGCATCTGCACCATACAACGTGACTGTTGTGTTTTATTCGGTCTTTTTAACAATGGTTGTTTTTTGTGCCCGATAAACAAACTTGGTACTTGCTTTTGTTGACCAGTAGCTGCATGTGATTGGAATTAATCTGTCTTTTTGTCTTGGCTACCAGCTTAGGTCATGTGATTGCAGAGCCTTTTACAGCACACATTTTTTTTTTTCTGCAATATAAGACTTCACACTTCACTTCTGTCATGTCATGGCTATTTTAGCTGGGTGATATTATGATATTAGCTTTGCAATTATTGATATGGCATTTATCTATCGGTACTTGAATGGTCATCAATATGTCCGATATGTTTGGAAATACTGTAACAGACAAAACAAACAAAACTGAAATTGATCAGGCTTTTTTTATTGGGGAGCTTTGTTGTTTCCCCACGATCCTTAGAATTAATTATTGTCTACTTTTGTGTTATTTTATGACCACTGGCCTGTTTTTGCTCATGACTTTCTCCCCTTTGTGCACAGGGTCTAAAATAACACACTAACAATCACTTTCCCTCCAATTCATAAGTTTATCGCGGTTTCTAATATTCATCCTCCTGAAACTGGCGTGGCGGCCCCTTATACGAATAAAACTTTATGGTGAATGCATGCGTCAAAGTTAGAAAATTAACTCTATTCCAGTGGACAGCTGAATGTTTCCAATGAGACACACAAAACACACACTCATGTGGTTCTTTTCTCTCCCTCTCTTCCCTTTGTCCCCTTGTTTTGATTATTTTTTTTCCTTTGTCAATTCTCGTCTTTTTACGTTTCCCCTACATTTCTCTTGTCTGTGTGTTTGATTTGTTTGCTTTGTTGCATGTTTGTGTGTTGTAGACACTGTTCTCCCGTCCACTGCTTTTTCTCCGTGTTCACAGCCCAGCACTGGGCTTCCCTTAGTGTCTGTCTTCCAAACCTTCATCCTAAATTCCAGCTCTTTATCTACAACCAGTTGGACAGGTACTGTGTAGTTTTCCCTACACCTTCCGCCGCACTTGCACCTAGCCTGGGCCCCCCACCCACAACTCACATTCATCCCCTTCCTCTCCCAATGGAAAAACTTGGCACTGGGCCGTCACAAGGGTGTGGTGGAGAATGATGTCTGTGATGAGTTTGGGGTTTCTGAGGTTTCAAGGTTTTGTTTTGGGTTTTTTTCTTGCCAGGATGGCATTTGTGTTGATGGGCGTTTTAAATGTCCAAGGAAAGATGCGTTGAAAAAAGCGAAACTTTTGACAACTTCACATTGAATTTAAAAGGTTTTGCAGGACATTAAATGTAGTCACACTAATTTTCTACAGCAAACGCGAATAGTAAGTAAATGGGCAGTGGTTGATTTGGAGAAGGTCAAAGGTGATGCATATTTTCATTGTACCTTTCCTTGTTGGATGGGAAATCTTGACTGCATTCTTCAATTTGTACTTATTTCTTTGGTGTTGAATTCAAAACAATCTCTTTCCTTCTCGACTTACAGGTTTACTAGAGTTGCAGATTCAGTTTCTTTATACCCCAACTGTGGCAGTCATTAGTACAAAACGTTTCAAATTAAGACCTACTATCGCATGAAGTTAAAAGAATTTTGTTTACGAAGAGTGAGACCAATATATCTTAATTGTCCCTCGATTGGCTAACTGTTGCATAGCTTGGGCTAATAAGTACAAAGCCGTTCTTTGGAAGAGAATAGGGCGGTGATTCTTTACGGTCTGATATGCCGTTAGTTTGAATTAGGAAAGTAGAATAGCCTTTAAATTCGATTAACACTAAATACTGAGGCACAACAGCATCTGTGTTGAGTCAGCGCATGATCCAACTTGTATATCTGACTGGTCCCTTTATATTGTTTACAGTAAAGTACTTTGAATTTATCAAACAAAAGAAACACTGAAATGAAACCCGACATGGCTGTTAACTCATTAACAGTGCATCATCAAAGAGCACAAGACATATTCAACACTATATTTCGGTCAATACTTTGTAAAAATAAGTGAGGTCTGATCAATATTGTGTTGTGAAAAGTATGAAATGTACTAAATTTTAATGGACAGTAGGGCATTTCAGCCTGATATCACCGTTATGCAAAAAGAGTTTTATTTTACTAAATGTGTACTTAGGCATGCAGTGTCTCAGGCATTCAGTTTGTTGCTCAAATCAACAGTTTTTTCCTTGCTATTCTGTAATCACCTTTGGTCAATGGGTCCTTCTCACTTGTATGACTGTTTCATTCGAGCAAGCATGTCTGATATGAATTTGCTGTGAAAACAGTTCTTGGAGATTTGAATCTGCCTGCTTTTTGAACTTTTTTGCTATGCTAAACGTCTTTCTCCTACTTGTACCTTGTTCATTGCCGTTTTTCCTGATTTGCCCATACTAACTCTCGCATTTCTTCTGTCTTTAATGCCATCTTAATTTTTCTCCTTTCTCCCCCCCACCCACACACTTCTCTGCATTGTTCTCTTTTGCATTATTCCTACCATCTACCTATTAGATTCCTGACTAAGCGGGAGCAGCAGTTGATGCAGAGGCGTCATCACGCTGAAGAACTGCTGCAGTGGAAAAAGCGTCTTGATCAAGAGGAGGCAGAGGTCCGGAGGATAGAAAAAGAGGCCCTGGCTAGTTGGTCAGAGGGCGGTGCCGTATCGGATAATCGGAGCAAGTGCGTCTCGAAAATTATCCCCAAGTCCCGTCACCATCGAAACTCAGAACCCAGAGCAATCAGCCAGAAAGGTGATAAAATTCATTAGTTGCGGCATAAGTGACTTGTGATTAATATCAATAACACTGATCAACAACAAATTTTAATCAGTGATGCTTTATCTGTCCCTTAATGTGTTTTTGGTGCTCATTTAAAAAATTACTTCAGCACATCAGGTTTATGAGAGCTATTCCTAAGTTTTACCTATAAAAGCTTGCGCAGTAGGTATTTTATCATGCGTTGCAATTAATAGCTTTCACATTTCAGAAAAAAATTCTCCTTAATTCATAAATATTACTAAATATATTACACAATATATTATTTTTATGGAAAAAAACCCAGATTCTGAATCTGCGCCAAAAAAAAATTATCAAGAAACGTTTACTTGCATCTCTGATTTTAAAAATCTACTGGCAGTTAACATTTGTTGACCAGTGTAATGTATCAAATACAAAGGCATCTGTTGGTATAGTAGGAGGGAAAAAAAAACGTGACTGTACTTTTTCATGCGGTGTGATTTTCAGAGTATGTGACTGAAGACGATTATTCTTCAGCAACATCCGAGTGCAGTATACACACAGAAGGACACTGTCAGGAACCAAGAAGTCCATCCTCAGCACAACCTGCATCATTGGCTGAAATCACGCTTGCCTCGAACCTGAGCAGCCCGACAAATTACATTGAGGACTTTGCTTCCCTCACACTCAGCAAGCAGGTTTGCACAAATTCATTTAGCTACTCCAAGATGATCTTTACATTGAAAGTCTGTCAACATAAAAATGTCTATGCAACATGTTCTGACTTAGTTATCACGGATATTATCACCCCAAAGTCATAAACTAAACGTTCATATCCTCTTTTCAGTCTTCTCCAGTCAAAGGCAGCCACAATCATGCCTCTCCCCCTGATACCAGCAGCGCAAGAAACATGCAACTTCACTCTTCCTTCCAAATATCCCAGCAGGCCCCAAATAGGCCAACAGAAACACCTTCACAGACTGGTGAGTTTTACAACATAGCATCGCCTAATATGATAGCTTTTGCTGTTGCTCCAAGAAGTAGGTTGAGGACAAGTGCAATGGGTGAACATAAAGAAGCTGCACAGCTTGCACTATGTAGTCAGTTACAATGTGATGCTGCAAGCAATTTCCATTGTGCAGCAGGAACAGAGATCACAAACTGCTTCACTCAGTTCAATGAAAAGATAATGGGGGAAATAAATCTCCAAATCACCAAATTGGTGTGGTTTAAATCACAAACTCAATTTTAAAAGGATGTAACTCTAAGTGAGTTTCTGTTGTTGCATTACGGAGAATTAGTTTGACAAGTAGCTTAAAAGTGAACTTTAGACATAAAGAAAACATACTCTAATCTCTAAATAATTAGGTTTTAGTTCGTGTGGGCCCAAGTTGGATTACACTTTGCTAATCACAGGAGTCTGATTTTGCTCACAGAATCTGTGATGTATTTTTGCTTTTCAGAACCCATTTCAGAGCAGAGTGACATAGAGGGCCGTATCAGGGCCCTGAAAGAGGAATTGAGAAAACGTAAGTCAATGGCGAGTAAGCTCAAAAGGGAGCAGGAGATGAGGCAAAAGGAGCTCCTGAAGGCACAAGAGGCCAGCCTGCTGAAACAACTAGAGGTAAATACTGTGCATTTTCTTCTGGTGCAGTGTTTGCCTTTTTCTTTTTCTTTTTCTTTACAGAGTCATCTTTTTGCCCTCTCTCCTTTTTCTTTTCAGAACTACGACAACTTCATTGGAAAAACTAAGGCAGAACTAAACAAAGAACCTACGCAAACTCCTGATAGCAAATCTCAGAAGCAAGATTCTACGTTAGTTGAAGGTCAATCCGATTCCTCGTCTCCTGTCAAAAGGTACAAACGTATGTAATAAATCAAATTAATTATTATACTCCAGTTAGAAAATAAACTAAACTAAAACCATCATATTTTCAGCTCTGAAACCAGTGAAATACTTACTGTGGGGCTGAATTCATCATTCCACCAAAGTACGTTTTTTCCTCTTATATTTGTTTATTTGTGCAGTACTGAGGTTTTTGACAAATGTCTATCCCTCATTTAGGTCGTACTAGATCTACCTTGGCATCTGAAGGGCTCAATGTTGAAGCTGTGTCACCATCCCCTGTACACGGCGGTCCAGATTTCCTGACCTCGGGTCAAGAGAGGTGTCAGTCACCAGACTATACTTTAAGACCCTCTACTGAAGATGCCCAGTCACAAATAATGGAGTCTAAGAAGGATGATAGTGTGCTGGAAGCACATTCTGCTGCAGCGAACCTCATCGCACACGCTAATGACAAACCCACATCCATTGATCATTCCTGTAGACTGGACTTGGATGTCATTTCCTCAGGGAAGGAGCCAACGATAAGGGATGTCCAGGCTTCTTCTCCTCTGGCAGATTACCAAGATGATTTTGAGTCATCTGCACCTTCTTCACCTACGAAGGACCAACATATTTCCAAGCCGGATACAGTTTGCCAAATTGAAACCAGGTCTACCAGTCAAGATGAAGAAATTGAACAGGAGATTGCTGAAGAATTGAGTCACCATTCTGTGACTAGTGGAGCAAGCCATGAATCTGGTCGACTACTCGATCTTCAGAAAACTGAAGAATCTAACAATGAGAGTCAGAACATTAATTCCATCTCCCCAGCACCAGTCTCTCACTCTCATAGCCCTCTCCCTCTGAGTCTAGATGAAATGCCAAGTTACAACATTGGAGACCGTGTTCTTGTTGGTAATGTCCAACCTGGGACACTAAGATTTAAAGGTTCGACCAGCTTTGCTGGAGGCTTTTGGGCTGGTGTGGAGTTAGACAAGTCTGAGGGGAGCAACTGTGGCACTTACAATGGAGTTGTATACTTTGAGTGCCGGGAACGTCATGGGATCTTTGCTCCCCCTGAAAAGATCACTCATTTGTCCGACAAGTTTGAGATCTTCACAGATGCTGCGGGACATGACAACTCGTACTCCGATGATGTGCTAGATCCATGTGACGATGAACATAAAAGCGATGAGGAAATATCGGAAAAGATGCAAAGTGACGAAACCTCTCATAGTGATGTATTGATAGAGTTGACAGATGTAGTCACTAACCTAGAGCAAAACCTCAATAGCCAGGGACTACCAAAAGTGGAAACGCACCTCTCTTCTCAACATCACAACCAATCCATACCACAGAATGGTCAGGAGCTAACGGACAGACTCGAGAAAGAAAATGTGCTGGATCAGTATTCGCCACTAAGTAAGGATAAAATTTCCATATTTGAGAAGGACGATTCTCTTGACCAGTCCACACCAACAGACAGTCAAGAGATTTCTGCATTAGCTGAGGAAGACAATGTGCCATCATATAGTCCGGACGTTTCTGCGGTAGCTGAGAAAGAAGAGGCGGGCCCAGATAACCAGTTGATCTTTTCCGAAGTTTTCCATGAAGCTGGTGATCACAAGGAGGCGCAGAAGGATCAAATTTCTCCAGACATATTAGCAGACAAACTACTAAGTAACTTTGTGATTGACACCGTTCAGCAATTGGTTCAGATTAAAAGGGCTAAAGAGCAGAAAATTGAAGCTTCCAATCAGATCAATGGAGCCGTCGTCTTTGAGTCAGAAGAACGAGGAGGGCTCAGTTCACTATTGGAGCCACATGATGTTCTCTCTTCCTTTTTGCCAGAAGACGAGCCATCATCGCCAGAATATTGTAACCGACCGGTGAGTCCGATTCTTCACCTCAATAAATGTGAATTAAAATGTGATCCATTATAATAACAGGAAATATTCAAGTGTTTTAAAATGTCGTTGATGGGAGTGTGTTCTAGAAAGAGGACAAGTAACCACTAATGCATACCTCAATAAATGTGAATTAAAATGTGATCCATTATTATAACGTAAACATTCAAGTGTTTTAAAATGTCGTCGATGGGAGTGTGTTCCAGAAAGACGACAACTAACCACTTATGCAGGAAGAAAGTATAATAGCTTTGAATTAAATTCCCAACAATTGGTGTTCACATAAACTGTGAACTGCAAGCTCCGTGTACTAGTACACCGTCACGAAAGACTTTTTAAAAACACCCACACAATCAGATTTCATCAGCTACAAGAGCTATATGTAAAATTTTAGTGAAATATGTAAAATAATCATCCTCAGTTTTAATGAACAAACTGAGTTGTGTACCGGTATTTAGTAGTTGTCACCCAATTTAGCTGTACGAGGCAGCCAACTATTTGAAATGCCAAATGCAAAGACGTGCACTACAACTACAATAATAAATACGCTCTTAATTCTGACCATTACTGTCTTTGCAAAGGCAGGTCCTGTGTCAGGCGTCTTTATTAGCGTGCATGTGCATTTACTGTATTAGCGTAAGCGGCAAGTGATAGGAACTCAAAGTTTCCCTTTCCTCCCTTTTTGTCAGCTGCTAGGCTTACTCAAGTACTGTTTTTAGTTGAATAAGTGATGCACAAACCCATGAAAGATGGTGCTTTCATGTTTAAATAACAGTGTCAAAGAGTAATTTTTGAGATGTTACAGACCACTGACAAACATAACTTGTTGATTTGCCCTCTTCAATTGATTTTTCCCTCCACCAACCAAAGTCCAATGTTATGCTGATGATCTGATGTATCTAATTGAGCATAGAAAGAATAGACGAATGCATATAAGAGCATGTTTCTTTTACAACAGGAAAGTCCAATTTTGGGAGCCAGTGGGCAAGAAGAGCTCGCCAAGAGACTTGCTGCGCTGGAATTGAACCGTGATCTGCTCGATGAGCTCGGCGACGATCAGGATTGGTTTGATGAGGACTTTGGCCTCAGCTCACGGAGGGAACAGCAGCGACTCCAACAGAAGCAGAAGGGCAAAGAGACGAGGCTGGCAGCAGGTGCGGGAAGGTCTGGTTCCTCAGCTGAAGATCCCCCGAGGGGACTGGCATCGCACCCAGATGGGGACCAGTCAGCGAAGACGCCACCGAGACCTGCACTCCCTCTTCCCCTGCCCCCTAAACTGCCAGAACAACCTGCCATGGTGGTGCCCCACTCAGCCGGCGAGGTTGAAAAGTTGGTCCATGTTGCCATTCAGGATATCTGGAAGAGCTGTGGCCTTACAAAGGAAGGAAGGGTTTCATTATCACACGTGGCCTGCCCCAAACCTTCTCAAGAGTTTTTGACTGTTGAGGACCGAACGGAAGAACAGGAGGCCCTCTCCATCCGCAGCTACAAGCAGGTGAAAACACGACACACAACACATGTGCTTCATACCTGCCGAATTACTGCAAACTGGACTTGCATCGTCGTATAAAAAAAAAAAATAAAGGTTATAATTGTCTTAAAGGAGAAATATCCATCCTCCCATTATCCAAACTGCTCAGTAATATGTTTGTTTGCCTCTTTCGCTAACACTACAGTTCCTTCACTTGAAAATTAATTTTGCGCTTGCAATGCTCAACTCTAACCTTCCTTTGTGTGCTTAAAGCACCAAACCTTCTTTTAATTACCACGGTCTGCAACACTTTTATTTATAGGCCAACATTGCGCACAGTCTGTAAAACTGGGTCAATACACCATTTTGCACCCACTATTCGGGCTCTTATTAAAAGTTCGCAATCTTCGTAGGTCACCCGCACACACCCATGAACATTGTGCAACCTATTCAGGTGAAACATTCAATTTAGTGCCCACTTTCTGGGTTCACATTTAATTGTTCAGCAGGCACTGCAGACAATCAATTGTAGTAAATTTTCCATGATTGTGAACTAAGGTAGACATCATTCTGTTATGCACAACGATCAAACCAAACTCTTGTATACAAACAAATAGATAACAAAACACCTGTATTCCCACAGGCTGTGTATGACTTGACGTGGGAAATCCTCCGGGAAATCTATGCCGAAGACCCCAATGCCAATCAGCCCGAGTGGGTTAAACCACAGCGAATCCGACCCGCCTTTTCCCACAGAGTCAAGATGCCAGGAGACATCAATAAAGTACAGGTATGATTTGATTGTCTCCAAAACACCACCACACGTTTAAAACATTGTCGCTCCCAAAAATCACGTACCTTTGATTGTCTGTTGTTCAGGAATTTGTCACAGAAGAAGTTCTAAAACTTTACGGTTTGACCAAAAACAAGAGTAAAAAATCTGACTGGCAGAAGATGCTCAAATTTGGTCGAAAGAAACGAGACAGAGTTGATCAGATACTGGTAAGTATGGTTTATTTATTTGTTTGCTTGTTTGTTTATTGAACATATAAAAATATACAGGAATAAATGGACAGAAAGTGAAGATAAGTAAAATTGTGTAAAAAAAAAAGAAAAGGAAACAGTCATCATACAGCACAATCATGTTCAAGTACACACATTATCTTCGCATACGAGCCTAAATGACACGCTTGGAAAAACTGACGTGACATCACACACAGGGCTGTGCGGTTATGGAAGAGAAAAAATAATAATCACGATTATTTGGATGAATATTGAAATCATGTAATACTTTTATTGCCCAAAAACTGCAAACAGACGACTTCCCCCCCCCCCCCCCCCCCTCTTCAAATAGACCCATCATTCAGAATCAGTGGTTTCGGAAGTAATTCTCAAAACAGTCTTGAACACACCACAAACTCTGCCCTGCGTATTTGTTGTGCAGGTACAGGAGCTCCACGAGGAGGAGGCTCAGTGGGTCTGCTACGAAGAAGATGAGCTGTCAGTCAAGATGCAATTGGCAGACAGCATCTTTGACTTGTTGCTAAAGGACACCGCCAACTCGCTGAGTCTCATCACCAAGAGGGCTGCCGTCAGTTGAATGTAATCCACTTTAAATGTCGGAAATACAAACATGGGTTTGAAAAGAGTCTTAGAGTTCCTGAGAAACAACAAAATAATACATATATGTATATAGCAACCAATGTAGGTAAACAGTTGGTTGATCAGTGGCACATTTTCTTTTATACAGTCTGCACTACAATCAGTGATGTCATTTTTCGCCTTTTTATTCGAAGTTATTGTGTGTCGGGGGGCGGGACATTTGCCTTAAACTTATCTTACTGTCAGTCATGCTCCCTCCGTGGGGGGCTTTTCTTCTTCCTTGTTTTCCAACAAGATGTGTTGGACTTCAAACTTTGGCGTCTTGTAATATACTTTTAATTTCCGTGGCTGAAATGTGTCACTGATCGGAAACATGTAGACTGCTCTGTATTGGGACACCACAGATGCAATATTGTGCAAAACAAAGTATTTTATTTATTTTGTAAAAAAAAAAAAAAAAAACACAATTGAATAGAAGAGAAAGTATCCTCTGAAATTGTGTATTATTCTGTCAAAATATAAAAGGAGCGTTTAAATGTTTTATCAAAGAATCTGAGGATGTAACTTTAAAAGCACAAGGAATATGAACGTGGCAATAGACTTAATGTCCGAGATTCAAGAGAATGAAAAGAACATTTTTCATATTTAAGAGTCACATTGATGACAATTGTGTCTTACTTTTGTGCTGTGTGTTAATATCAGCACTGTGTGTGTTAAAACTATCCATACAGCCTGCGAGTCAAATACTACTGATTTCCTTTGAAGACTTTTTTGGCATTTCTTCGTCGCTTCCGTTTACCGATATAGAGCAGGTATAGGATGCTCTCAAGTAGATACACTACATATTAGCATACAGTGTGAAAGTGAGACACAAAAAAAGGATAATGTACTGCACTACGGTACCGAAATGCTGGATTTGAGCCTTTCTCATTCTTAGTGTTTTTCGTTTCTACGACATGAGGGAACACCTGCTTTTCTCAAAGTGCACGCTTGGTTCGCACAGCGACTCCTCATCCTCAGTGCTGTGAAACATTTTAAGATGAACGAACAAACAGCAGCCAAGAACGTAGCCCACATAGCCAGGTGACGACGGCGGTCAACACTGTTCAAGTGCCTCTTTAAGTTGTTCGAACACTGTGGTTTGATGGCTCAACATGTTTTGGACCTCCTTTGAATGTCATGTTTTTCCAACTGCTGTAAATGATCATTTTTTTAAAAAAATTCTTCTTCTCTAATGGCGTACCAAGTACAGCCAGCCCCATGACTTCAGTTTGGGCCTAATCACTCCTCGCATGTTTGAACTTAGTGTTTGTTTTTAACCTTCTGTGTTTCTGTGCCTCAACCTGATGTACGTAGAGACAGTTGAGTGGTTACTATGACACGCTAAAGACTCTCCGATCATTTTTTTTATTATGGACAACCCCCGTCTAGCTTTCCACTCTGCAGGCCTCGGTGTGACCTTATCTTGAACCAATAATTTTCTTTCTAGCTCGTTATTGGCTCAACGGCTCTTTCCTTTCTGACTCTTTTTAAGCTGAAGTGACCTTAACTTAAACCTGTTCTACCCTCAATATTTTTTTTTTGTTGTTGTAGTCGCTGGTTAGATCATGTACCAAAAATGTGATGCCAACCTCAAGTCTCCCAGATTGTCTTCTTGAATTGATTGTATATTAGAGAAAGTAACCTTCTCTGTTGTAACTATGCAGTGCGTCCTGTAGTAGACTGAACACCTTTTTAGACCCCTTGTCTGTCTAATTCTTTCATCGTCTTGGTGTAGAGGGGAGCCTTTTCCTCCCTGAACCAGGAGATGAACCAAATATTTGGTCCTAGTTAGATTTATTAAATTAACCCCCATGCCGCTATTTTTCCCCTTTTTATTGTTTGAAATGTCAATAAATATTTATATTAATATGCTGTGAGTGTGCACCAAGTGCACTTGGCTTGTAAAGTACTTGTTTTGGGTGTAAATATACTGTTAGCCTATCAGGCCCTCAATTTCTGGAACCTCGGTGATTGTTGGCGAATGAATGGTTTACTTTGCAAACATGTACATAATATTTGTAGACTTTGGAACTGTAAATAAAGCTTTGTAAAGCAACGCTCTGTGGCAGTTTTTTTTTTTTTTTTACCGACACATTTCAATACGTGCAACGGCATCATCAAATGTAAGATTTGCATCAATCACCTGTTGTGAAAGTGCGTGTGCAGCAGTGACCTCACCAATGTGGTATTTAGTGTACAAGCTGTAAAATCCCTTCACAACTCAGATGGTTGTTTCTGTTTGTGGCCCAAGTTATTTTACTCAGCAAACTTGCACATGCCTAATCACACATACATTGAAGCCCCATCTGTGAACTGGCAGTGTTACGGAAATATCTTTTAAATGGCAAAATATTAATGTAACAATGCCTTAGAATCACCAGATCAGTTCAAATTCAATGAGCACTTTTCCCAAACAAAATTACATTTAGAGATTCGAGAATTTTTGAATGAATTTAAATCTGGTCTTTTTAAGATCACCTATTTCATTAATATATTGTACATTACAGTATGTCCATTTATTACAAGGAAAACATTTTTACCACTAGAGGTCACTGCATGTCATGGATTAAAAACGCTTTCTGCCTTTTGTCAGATCAATTTTTTTTTACTTGGGGGTCTCCAGTTTCCAGTATCGTCTCATTGCATTTAAGTGTGTTAACTGACCTGCAAGAACTAATTAAGCCTGTATTATTTACCTTGTGCTGTAAATATCCAATTGTAATTGCTTATTTTTCATGATTATATGAAGCAACAGCACGGTTGAGACACGGATCCAACATTTGATAAAATGACAAGTGATTCCATTATTTGAATTGTTTTTCACATCTTCCTGACAAGTTTGAGTTTAAATCTCTGCTCCGAGCTTGCTGTCGAGTTTGCATGTTCACCCAGTAATTGTGTGCACTCCGGTTTCCTTCCACATTCCAAAAACAAGCATGACAGTGCTAATTGAACACTTAAATTGTCCCCAGGTGTGAGTGTGAGCGCGGATGGTTCTTCGTCTCTGTGTGCCTTGCGATTGGCTGGAAACCGGTTCAGGGTGTGCCCCGCCTACTGCCTGAAGACAGCTGGGAGAGGCTCCAGCACGGCTGGTGACACTTGTGAGGATAAAGCGGATCGGAAAATGGATGGATGTTCAAGTGTTCATTGTTTCTGAACTTTTTGTACTTTGCATTCTGTCGCAGGGAGCTGAACTGCAAAAGTCCACAAAATGTCCAAGAATGTTCACGTTTATGCCGTCATGCCTGAAACTTGCTGATGATACTCTTAGCCAGGGGCCCCTTTCAGTCTTAGGTACTGTTCATCTGATCTTTATCTGACGTCAAAATGTGAACATGATGAAGTGGGCTGTTTAAATTCAAAGACAAAATGAACCAGGAATTCCAACCCCCGCTTTGAATTTTGCTGTTCAGCTCCTTGTTAAAGAACAGGAGGATGAGCGTGCATTCAAAACGTTAACAAAGGTCAAATTAAGATCAACTGTACAGGTTTATAGTACATTGACAAACTGAAGAAATAATGTGGCTCCACAAGTGTGCACTCCCATTTGCAAACAGGGATGTGGCTGTGTTGAGTATGAACCAGTCACACTCAAACTCTTACATAAGTCAACAGAATTTATAGAATAGATGACATAGATATCATAGATTATCTCAGTTATTTATATTTCTACTCTCAAAGAGTCCCCTCGCTCCTCCAATTGAATTGCACAGGTCACATTAATGTTCGAGAAAGTTTGAAATTTATCCATGTCTCATTTTATACACCACAAAACAGACATTTTAATGTTATAAAAATAGCTCACCAGTGATGGGACAACTGTGATTTCCCAGGAATGGCAGATATTTACGGAAACAAAATGTTGCATATTGATATTTGCAATGTTCTCCTTTGGGGGGACAAATAAAGATTTTCTTATCTTACGGTATATTTAACTGTGCTGATTCCGATATGTGGCACGCTCAAATTCTGATAACCGACTAATCGACCAATTAATGAAAAAAAAAATCAAATGAATAAAATAACATCATTTTTGCTCTGTTAAAACTTACAATAACATTACGAAAGACAAGCAGAACATTTTGACTTTTACAAAAGGTTGTCCTTCACCATTTGTTGAACATTAAAACGGAGGAAAATTGGAAAGATTGGCAGATTTTTCTGCCGATTTGGGGGGTAATAGTTGAATGTCGTTACCTTTGTCTTTAATGTTTACAATTTATTTTCCTGATTTTCGACCATTTTAAAACAGGTAATATGGCCAGTTAAATAGGTCAGGTCCTAATAATAGCAATACCTGTATTAAAAGTCATTTGACCACATTTCTTATTTCAGAAGAGCGTATGAAACTGGTAGCCCTTCACATTAATTATTTCCCAAGAGGTAGCTCTCAGCTTCAAAAAGGCTGGTGATCCCTGATCTAGACTCTCTGCTGTACATATACCGGTAATGTATGTGCACACAACAATCTTGAAGTGGAGTTGACAGGTTGGGGACATAATTGGTTGTTGGTGTCTTCATCAGCTTTTCCATGATTACAAAACCAAATCGATGTCAGCAAGACACCGGTGGCAAAAGTCCAGAGTCGCTGGCACATGATGTTGCAACAACAGAGCACATGCACACAACTGTCAACAAATTGCAAAGCACTTGTTTGTTTCTCATGACATTCTGCACTTGATAACCTTGAATTCATGCAAATAACAAAAATAGGCCAGGTTTTCAGCACACAGAACACCATTCCACCATCCTCAGAGTGAGGGTTGTGTGTTATCTTGTGTTTGCTGTATCAATGGATACCATTCTGCTGACCCATTTAGAGTGTGCTAAAATGACATTTTAGTGACCGACATACAAGTAAAATAATAATAGTAAAAAGAATAATCCAGAAAGTACCGTAAATACAGCATTTTGCGGTTCATAATCCATCCATCCATTTCCTAAACCACTTGTTCTCATTAGGTTCACAGGTGAGCTGCAGCCTATCCGAGGTGACTTGAGAGGCAAGAGGCTTGATTTTCAAATTTTCATTTGATCTTGTTTTTAATCATTATTTCTGTGCCAATGTAAAGCACGATAGACCTTTGCCTCGTGGATGAAGAGTGCAATACAAATAAACCTGCCTTGCCTATAAACTTCTAAATAAATACTAAAGTAAAATATGCACTTATTACGAATATTTAGAAACCAACACAGAGTAGTCTGTTACTATTTTCCATCATGTTTAATATCTTCGGGACCTTTTCTACACTCACTGACCTGTACTAATGCAGTATTAATAAAAGTTGGCAGTGTTATGTGACAGAGGCAGTGGTCTAAACGTTTTTGGTTAATCCAGGACAAAACTTTTGGTAAATACCGTTCAGTTGTATTTAACTTTTAAGTACAACTAATTTGCATTTAATCTTTTAAGAGCCGCTTGTTTTTGAAAATGTATTTAGTTACAATTTATCTTCAACTTTAATATGGGATGTATTTTAATTACATCATTACCGAAGAAAAGTTAATGTTTCTGTTTTAAGCAGCGTTAAAATTCAAATTGTGCAGTGTTACAGTCGCCTGTGGAAAATTTCTGCCTTATTTTTTTGATGAACACTTGGGTGTATTGCATTTTAATGTTGGTGGTGATGGTGGTATTTTTTGAATTAACACTTGGTACAAAGTTCCAGAACCAGCTGATACTTTTAAATGTACCGTACAGTTTCCCTGTTCTTATTTTGAAACCCAGATGTGGCTGCCTGTGTATTTCCAAAATTCGTGAATATTCGGAATAATGAAAGGTTATGTGATGAGCTCCGATTAATGTATTCTGTGGTGTCGTTTCACATATTTATGTGTTAGACGCTGCCAGGTTTGAAAACCAAACGAAAAATTTCGTCATTAAAATGTCGTTGTCGATGGTTCCTCAATCTTCAGTATACGTGACACTTGCTCTCCCTGGTTCCTGTCCATCCATTTACCGTAAAGGCAAGTGTAAAGGCACAGGAGGAATCATGGTCCACTTGCATACCCGGATGTAGGTGCCTGTGCATTTCCGCAAATCGTGGCTAATTAAATGATGTAGTGTTCGTCTTAGATTAATGTAAGAGCCTTTGGTGTCGTTTCACGGATATACCATAATTTAGCCGCAAACCGGTTTGAAAACCAAACGAAATTACGTTGAAAATAAGTAGTTGTCCATGGTTGGTGGTTGTACGTGACACTTGCTCTCCATAGGTCATTTCCGCCCATTTACCGTAAAGGGCATTGTAGAAGCGCAGGCGGAAGAATCGGATGCTGTGCGTGGCGGTCGGCAACTTTCTGCTGTGTCGAAAAGTTCCTCTCAGTGGTGGTCAACCTTGCGTTCGAGTGACACAACCGGGGAAGATGGCGTGGCGCCACAACTGTGCCACGTCCCGATTTAGCGGAGAAATCAACAAATACCCCCGACACGTCGCCGTGCTCTGCCTGATATTTTGTCTGCTTCTGCTATCCTCGGCGGCGGAGGCCGGACTGTACACGAAGTCCGATCAAATCGTCGCGCTCTCGACGGACAATGTCAAGTCTGTTTTGGTCAACTCCAGCTCAGCTATAGTGGTGGAGTTCTATGCGTCCTGGTGTGGACACTGCATCTCCTTCTCGCCCGTCTATAAACGTCTGGCGAGAGATATTAAAGGTATGTACCAAGCTGCACCCACCACTAACACTATATATCTAGCTATCTATCTAGCTATCGTAGCTGATCGTATGTTATTGTTGTTATGGCATCTTATTTTACCTTATCTGATCGTCATGGTTTGTTGTATTATCTCATCTGATTGGATGTTGTTTTGTTATTTTGTCGTATCTTATTGTATTTTGTGTTGTGCCATTAAATCTGATCTAATCTTATGTTATGATTTATTCTGTTCTTTTATCTGATCATACTGTAACGCCCCGTATATCGTTAAGGATGACACAGTCACTGATTTTTTTTACGTTGCTTTCTTCACACAGGTCAAGGGCTGAGCAGTTAATTAAATTCAAATCGACATTGCAATAGAGTAGAATGCATACTTTTAGAATGGCAAGAACCAGGCATAAGATACAATTTGGGGAGGGGGTGATTCATTTTGATTGCTCGATAGTCTTTATTTTTTATACTATATGTTATTTATTTACATAGTGTTTAGGTAGGTTCGGTGCTTGGAAGTGCAGTCCATGTTTACATGTAATTTTTTTCATGAACCATGAAAAGCTAAAGTTGTAAAGCCACAGTTTTGTTTACATTATTGTTGTAATCTGATTCACGATTAACTGGCCAATGTTTATGCCACTCTTATTAAGAATTTTGTGAAATCGTGCCAGTGAATGCTGGAAGCACTTCACGGTGTTACTAAGTTAACAACTCTATTTGAAGTAAGTAAACATTTGTCTTTTAGATTAAATCATAGTTCATTTGCCTTCATTTTAGTTTAAGCCTAACCTGTAAAACCAAAACATTTATTTCCAATAAATCTGATATTGTTTATTGTAATAAATATTAATTTATTGCTTGTTTGTTAAACAAAATTACATTGGAAGAGGACTTTGGAAAAATAATCACATTAAATCACAATCGCAATATTGAGGGAAAACATTACATTATTTTTCAAAATTGTTTAACCCTACGCTAGCGGAAGCATAGTACACTCCTATCGGTAACAACTCATGCTTAGTCACGCCACTCACTGACTGACTGCTGGACTTGAATCTTTTGCACGTTCATCTGAAATTTTCCTTGGATGGCTTCACAACCGCCGATCACCAGGGCGACCTTTAATGGCCCACACTCCTTCGAATGCAACCGAAACAAATGCAAGTAAAGAGCAATGTCAAACTTGATTTAGTGCAACTATTTACAATATCTAATACCTTATCGTAAGGGATCTCATCATTGAATATTTTTAGAATCAGGTAAATAATTAGATGAAAACATTGCATTAAAGTTTATTGCAATATATTTTTTTCACGTCGCTGTTATATTCACTTATTGTTGTTTATGTGCTATTGTTGAATGATTTAACAAAGGCAAATAAGCAACAATTACTCAAAAGTAATATCACATGAGAGGGGAGTGATGTTGTACTCACCAACGTTTTTAAAACGGTGAGCTACTTTGGTACTGATCAATGCGATGGTCTTCTAATTTGATAAACACTCCTCAGGCCATAGGTTCAACTACATGCAAATTTCACAGTTGCAATTCACGATTATTTTCATAGTATGTAGACCATTATTATTTTTTCCATAAATTCATTACAATTCAGAAAATGGGGAAGCATATTGGTTCATTGTTTTCGAAAATATAAGCAGGTGCCTGCAAATGTTTTATTTTGATTAAGATGCTTACTACAGAAATCAGAAAATATTTACTGTTGAGAGGCTGAAATCAGAGGATTTCAACAATAACTTCAACAGTGGCGGCAAAAAAAAAACTTTTTAAACATTAGGAAATGGTCTGTTATATAATGTGGCCTTTTTCGACCTGCTAATAATATATTTTGTGTTCTGTCTTTCAGAGTGGAAGCCTGCCGTTGATCTGGCAGCCATTGACTGTGCTGATGAGAATAACAGGAAGGTCTGCATAAGCTTCGGCATCAGAGGATTTCCAACTTTGAAGGTAACATGAGTCCCCTACAAGTCGCTTCTACTCATAAAGTTCATATATTCCGGGTTGAGCTTGATTCCAAGTGAAGTTTTAAGTCATTCATTGGCAAGTTGAAATTTTTGGCACCGCCTCAGTGCTCTGCTCTTCTTGTTATGCTTCAAATAATTAGATGGGGTTTAGGAAAGCATTTATCATTATTGTGTGAGCTGTCATTGGTCGCAACCAAGCCCTTTTCTCACAATACAATTATCATGATCCGATCACAGAGTGAAGCATCAGACTTTTTCCACCTGACACTATGAGCAAGTATTTTAAGTTCCAGTGGACCAGAGAAAGGACAAAAGCTTCACTTCCATTTTTTATTTTATTATAGAAGTTATACCCTAATTTTAAAGCAACTCGATGCAAACTATTTAAACATGTTTGTTCTGATACATTGGCCTAGTAATAATGACACGGATGTTTCTGTGGTTGCCATGGCAAATCTGGATCACTTATACTTCCATAAATGTGTAAATGCTTTTAAGTCTGGTTTAAAAACAGTTTTTTTTTCCCCAATGCCTTTGATTATGGTGTTTTGAAAGCATTTTTTTAAGCACATTTTTCCAAAATTTTCTTGCATCGTATGTTCTTGTAATTTTAGTAAGCTCCTTTTGGTTTCTTTACTTTTCAATCTCTTGAACTCTTGTTTGTAAATGCTTTTAAATGTGGTGCATTTCATGATGTGAAGCACACCGAGGACTTCACGAAAGGATTATGTGGAGTAAAAATGGAGCAAATGGATAGCGTCTGATCCACACAGGACGCGCAGATGGGGAAATACGTCACAAACTGAGATACCAAGCAGAATGTGTCTCGGTGCGCCGGTGGTATTTGTGCGTATTTAAATTAGGTAATAATGCATATATTTGGCGGAGAAATTACCCCACCTCTTTGCAAATGAGCCTCATTGATAAACAACGTCTAATTCGCCAACGGCAATAGCCACACGCAGTTTGAATGATGCAAATAACGCCGAGAAAAAGCTGGTACAAATTTGGCGCTTCTCTGTGGAAGCCTCTTTTTTTCAGGGGATGCATTACGACCTGTGACATCTCAACAATGTGATCAAATGCTTCAAATGCACAAGACATGTCCTAAATTACATACCCTTCATAAAACAAACAAACAAACAAATCCCTCCCACCCCTTTAACCCTTTCATTCACCAATAAAAAAACAATGTCCCCTAGTGAAGTTGAATGGAACAAAGGGCTCCTTCTTTACCAATCCAATCCACAATGAAGCTTCAACATCTACAAGTCATTTTAGCCAGTAGGGATTTAGGGGTCGAGGCGGGCAAAGGGGGATGGCTTTGTGCCAGCCAAACGTTACATAACGTCGCTTTGCTTCTTTCATGGCTGTGTGAGGACTTCCCAATTTGATCTCTCTGCCTCCTCGGCACTCAGTGTAATCCAAAACTGTCTTGTTTTGTTTCACCTCTCAGTTCTTCCATGCCTACAGCCAGGAGGATTCGACTGGAAAGGCCTTTACAGGTATCACAGAGCACACAGAGCCCATTCATGAGTACATTCACTGATTTAGATACACCTGCACATGCCCGGAAAATGAAATCCAACATAAGAGTTGTATCAGGTATTGTGCCTTTACACATTTGTAACTGGTATTTATTATTGCGGATTTAACTCGGGGCCAAGGCTTCAGACTCCATATTGTCACATTCTGTCCCGAAAGTTTGAGACACTGCAAGTACATTGGGCTGTTTCTTTTATTTTTATTTATTTACATTACTCAGATCAAATCTTTGTCGCTGCCAAACTTGCTCCTCTGCTCCACTTTTGAGCCTAATTATTAATGTTACTGCCCAAATGAGCTGACACTTTTTACACTGACGACTTGGCGGTGAACACAGAGGAGCTAGTTTACCCATGAGGGATGAGCGGCAGCGTCTTGTCAGTTTAGGGAGCACACAGTTACCATAGGCCAATCCGATGTGGATTAAATATTAATGTCGGTTTATTTGCGGCTCATTTTGCGACTGGGTGACTGCTGGCAATGTTTTAAAACAAACAGTAATGTTTAATGTCCCATGTTTGATGTTCACCGACCTCCAGGTTTGCTCCATGACGTCCAATCCCTCCGCCACTACATTGTAGAGCTAATGGAAAAACACCAAGATCCGTGGCCTCCGGCCTGCCCTCCGCTTGAACCCACCAGGTAGACAAAAAGCCCACCACCACAGGAGGGGCCCCCTTTAGCTCCTTGGGCAGCTGTGGCTCAGTTGGCCGGACAGGTCGTCCAGTGACCTTATGTTTTTATTCCTAGCCAAGCTGAAATCGACACCTTCTTGGAGAACAACAACGTTCGACACTTCGCCTTGATCTTTGAGGATGTAAGCTCCTACATCGGCAGAGAGGTAGCAGCCCCCGTCTCCATCAATTCTGTATTGTTAAAAAAAAAAAAAAGGCTTGGCATCACCCACATTCTCAAAGCACATCGGTATTCCTTCCGTGCATTAGGTGACCTTGGACTTGTTGCAGTTTGAGAACATTGCAGTGCGGAGGGTCCTGAGCACTGAGGAAGACCTTGTTACCAAACTGGGGGTAACCGAGTTCCCTTCCTGCTACCTTTATTATCCTGGAGGCAACTTCACAAGACTCAAAGTGTAAGTTAGTCAAAAAACAAAACACAACAACAACAGCAAAGCTGCTCCTCAAAAAAAAAAAAAAAAAAGTTATTCTTAGCCTCGACACTACTAGATTTATTCCATATAAAGCAGTTCAGCACACCATTTCACACTGTATTGCAATAATTGAAAAAAAAACCCACGTTAAAAAAAAAATCTTAAACAGGCCTAGGTCACAAAATTGAATTTTGTTGAAACTGTCGCTAATCTTTGAAGGCTTATCTTCCACGTAACATTTTAGAGATGCAACTGGGATTCTCTGTAGCTGAACTCCATATGTGTGTTTGACAAAAATAAAAAATTTAGTTCGTTATGCCGACTACTTGATCGGCCATAAAATCGGCCATGATCCTCGAGAATCAATGAAAAAGCCCCAAGCAACATCACAGACATTGTCCTGTAATCTGTGTATCCTGTTTCCAAATAACGTGCATCAAGCAGGAACAGCCAAATGACATTTTTGTCTTTTTCCTCCAACATCTGTTCACAAACTTAGTGATCTTCAGATTTCTGATGACAATATGTTAATCACCTGCCGGATGGAGGAAGAGCAACTCTGCTTGCAACCTCGTTATTTATTCAAATGTGAAGGGCACAGAATCGTTTTAGGTCATTCCCAAACATGACTCATAGATTGATGTCACTTTTAACGGTAATCGATCGGACAGCGGCCACTAAAAAAAATTGTAATGAAGGATTGTCATGTAGGCGTCGGCTGTTTGGGCTCATAAATCGACGCAACACGAATGCATTGTATGGCCAAGTTCCAGCTGCAACTTCCTGTTTGCAAATTCACATTCATTATAAGCTATAAATTGACAAGCGGCAAACAAAACTGACTAGCAATTTGATTTAAATGCTTGCTGATAGCCAAAATACGTCATGTTTTGTGTAACCTTTATATGCAGAAGCTGGGAGCAGAAACATGGTTCTCTTGTCGTAAATATATCATCGTACCCAATTGACAACCCAGAAGGACACTTTTCAATACATTATTAAATAAAGAATACACCAAAATGAGGCTTTGAGTGGCCCCTTGATTAATATATGATTATGTACAAACATTGAAGGATCTTCAGAAAATGCTGATAAACATTCAATAAACGTTGTCCACGAAAAACGGAGAATTGGGGTGAAACAAAGGGGAAAAAAAAACATCCAAAATGTGATCAAATATTGAAAAGAAATAAAATCCATCAATGTTCTAATCAGCAGGGGCCGAATTGTGAATATGCAGTTGACTGGAGTTTTAAGTTTTAATATCACCAGTCGCCACTGGATGGCAGGCATGTCTAAGTTGCACTGACACTGGATCTTATACTGCCCTGTATGACAATGTAGGGTTTTTTTTTTTTTGCGGCTTTTGAATCAAATGCAGGACTATCATCGTACCCATAATATTAAAAATATTGTAATGCAATGGAGCGGCCCAGTCGGCGACTCGTTAGCGTGTCGACCTCACAGTGCAGAGGTCGTGGGTTCGATCTCGGCTCCGGCCTTACTGTGTGTAGATTGCATGTTCTCCCTGTGCATGCGTGGGTTTTCTCCGGGTACTCCGGTTTCCTCCCACATTCCAAAAATATGCATGGCAGGCTGATTGAACACTCCAAATTGTCCCTAGGTCGGAGTGTGAGCGCAGATGGTTGTTCGTCTCTGTGTGCCCTGTGATTGGCTGGGTACCGGTTCAGGGTGTCCCCAGCCTACTGCCCGAAGACGGCTGGGATGGGCTCCAGCACCCACCGCGACCCTTGTGAGGATAAAGCAGATCGGAAAATGGAATGATGGATGGATAGATTATAATGAGTCAATATTTGGAGAAAAAAAAATTACAAAATGAGTTCTTACACTTTATGTTGGTCTTGTGTTTTGTTTTGTAGTGTTGACCTTGAATGGTCATTTTTTTAACCGAAAGAGCCCTTTGCACTGGGAAAAAAATATATACTCTATGTTTATTTTTTGTTTGCTTCACATCCTTTGTTGTTTGGTTTGCAGAGTGGATCTTATAAACATGCATTGAAAAAATGTTTTACACTACATAAAAAGAGCATGTGTGTTGCACAAAGGCAGCCATTTTGTCCATATTTTATAAGCATTTGTGTCATACACTCTATTCAGAAGTGCATGGTCCTATTAGAAATTTGACTTGAGAGTTACATAACAAGAATGGAGAGTTGATGTAGTGATGTGTCGCAATGCTTGTCCATATTCTGTAATAACTTGAAAAAAGCTGCATGTACTGTACACCCTCACAAAACTGTTTGTGTATATTCAGTTTACCTCCATCAACACCCCTACAAATGTATTCCCATTGCATTTTGAAATGTTTAGCACACAACAAGTTTGCGTCCTCATTATCTGAACCCTATTCATGAGACTACTTTTAAGCATCTGGCCTCTTAATGGGATCAGAGCATCAAAATTGCTCCCATTATTCACCATCATAAAGCAGCGCCCATCGTTCCTCACCTCGCAAATCCATCTGCCGCTCGTGCCTCTTTGTCTGGCGCTTTCAATAACTTGGCATGCGGAAGAGGACTCTTTTTAGTTGACAAATGCAAAGAGGAAATGATTTATTGCCGATGTATTTATTCCCCCGCCCTCCCCCAACCCCCCACGTCCCCACTGTTTCGACCCCCCTCATCTCCATCACTGTACAAGCGGTGGGAAGGTTTTTAATTTCTTGCATGAAAACAATGCCATTGCTTTTCTGGCTTTACCTGCGCGGCGGCGGCAGATGGCATCCCATCATCGCTTGAATGTCTGATTGATCCTGGGAGAGACGCGGTCGTGTGTGTCTGTGTGAGAATGCGCACATCCGTCATGCGTGTAATGCGCGCTGCTCCCTGGTGGATGTGTCCCCTGTCCCCCGTCTACGCTGACACCAGCCCAGGGGAACGACTGGATAAATGGCTCTTCTGCCTCCACATGTGCAACTCTCTCAGCAGGCCCACCGGCGTAATTGAGTCCCGGGCTGGTGTGAGTGAGCACGGGCCTCCTTTTAGCAGCCATTCCCCTTAATACCACCCCTTTCCAGCTTTACGATGCTCTGTCTTTTGTTCATCTTGCACAAGTGGAGAAACTCAAATGAGGGTCCAAGAAGGAGACGTAAACGAACAAGCGCAAGTCATGGCCGAGGCTGCGGCCTTTTAGCGCGTGGGCTTCATAATCGATGATCTTTTCCGTCCGTTCGCGCACTAGCCTGGCACCATCTGCCCCATCGTCACAAATGTTTTCCAGTAAGTGTGTAAAATATATGGCCACAAAAAGCACAAAAGGCTATAAAGCATTTTTATAACACTAGACTTGAAAACAAAAAGAGTCCAAAGCGTTTTGTTGAACAATCCCGACTCGGTGAATAAGCAGCACGTTGCCAAATGTGTTGCCTGTAAATGTCTCGCTCCTCCTGGGATTTACTCTCTAACCGACCAGTCATTGGCAAGGCTCGAGCGCTGGAGTGGCATGATGAGGTCCTTGCCTGCAACAAGGGTTTTTAACCAAGTGGGGCAGGGTGGTTCCGTTTGGTATAGAATTGGAGAGGGTACCACCAGAAGTGAGTGACTGACTACTCATACCTGCACTGTGCTCTTTTTTCTTTTTTTTTTAATCATAAATTCATCTCGACTAATGATGTACAAAGGGAGCAAAGTCTTGACTTGACTTGAAACCTGTTCCTCCCTCATCCCACAGCAAATTTGAGACCCGTACTTTCTACTCCTACGCCCTTCAGGGGCTTCCTGGGGTGGTGCGTTCAGGGAAGTCCTTGCCGGCCAGCGCAGACCACATCGGCACGCATCAAGAGGAGCTGTGGAGACCTTTCAACAGGCATGAAACGGAAATATTCTTCTCCATCTTGCCGCAGTGCCTTCAACTGCGTTTAATATTCGTACAGGTCCAGGGTGTACATGGCCGACCTGGAGTCGACGCTGCACTACTCGCTGCGGGTGGAGCTGGCTGCTCATCCTGTCATCACAGGAGAGGCGCTGACTTCTCTCAGAAAGTACATCTCAGTCTTGGCAAAGGTGAGATAGAGATAGAGCCCCCCCCCCCCCCCCACACACACACACACACGGATTTAGGCTCATTATTTTTCACTTTTCAATATTTAATGCAAGCTGAAATCTAATTTAGAAATATCAGTAAAACTTAATTTCAGGAAGCTCACCTAAAGTGAAAACAGGTTGACCATGTTTGATTTCCCTGAACTCTCCTAAGCGTTTACACACTTTAAGCTGTATTTATTCCTTGATTATAAATGTAGTTTTTTTTTTTTTTTCACTCAACTTTTTTTTCAGTGGGAATTTATGTGTTGAGAGCATCTGGTTCATGTAAAAGCATAGTGCAGTTAAAGCAGGTCACCACTAGATGGAGAGTGAGACAGCAAAATGTCACAGACTCAAGACAAAGCGTTGAGGAGCACCCGCACACTTCAGATTCAGTACTACTGTAGAGACGTATCGGAAACCCAGCTCAAGTTAATGCCAAACGGCACAATGCAGTATAAGGGTATACGAATGCGCAACCTCCATACTAAACATACGGCTTTATCACAATAAATTTGAATATGGAGGAAAATGTCATGTATATTAATACTCGTGTTTCATTCAAAGCGTGAAACTCCCACAATCCAATATACTGAGTGAACTATTTCACGATGTAGTGTTTTATAATTTTGCTCAGAGTTTACAAACAACCAACATTCACTCTGTAAAGACCTGAGAATATTTCATAAAAACAATCAAGAGTTTTAATTGGACCTGTATATGATTAATCGAGAAAAAGAGTTTCACCTTTGAATTGAATTACTGAAATAAATGAACTTTTCTAAGATATTCCAATTCACTGATGCGGGTACTTATGCGTACAGTATACATATTAAAGGTGTAGGATTTGAACTGGAAAATCCGTTTTGATTTACAAGATGTGAGTGCATTGAGTCGAACCAAATAGAATCCTTCCACTTTAAATTGTATCAAGACACGTATTGGATCATTTTGGAGATCGCACCCCATGAATTGAGATACACATGGAATTGTGTTTTATTGGAGAGATGCACAGCCGTTATCTACGTATTTGTTTATTTATTTTATTTTATTCATTTATTCCAAAGTTTAAATGTTGCGGTATACTGATGTTCCTCAAGTGAATGAATAAATAGAGAGGGAGCGTAAAGACTCTCATGGGCATTGTTGACCCTCTTGATTTTGGCTCCCAGGGGTATAGAAGCGTGGCCGCCATCCACAAGCTTTGCATTGATCCGCCTTTATTAGAACCTCTCTGGGACACCCTCGTGCCCAAGCCTACTTACTACTCCTTCTCCTCCGGATGCTCTCACTCATTTGATACTTTTGACTATTTTACCGGACTACAAACCTTCCCCTTGGAGTTGTCATCCTCTGCCTGTCATTTTTTTCCCCCTCTGGCATCCTCTCGGAGGATTTTACGAATACCACTTGTCTTTCCTCTCCCTTTTCCCGCTCGAGTGGTGACTCTTGTCTTCCGTCCTAGAAGTGTGCCAGCCAGGCAAACATGTTGCAATGATGAGGTCTGACCCGCTAGCCTCATCCCTATTGGCCATACACCAGGCTGTCTCACTGCCACCAATCTCCCTGATTATATCTCACTCTCTAGGGAGGCCTTGTAGCAAGCTGCTGTGTGTGTGTGACTGTGCGGGCCACGTGCCGTGGCCTCCCATTAGCTCCCATTTGTTTAGTCAATAGCAGCAAGTCCCAATGGTATTTTTAGCCTGCCACCCCCTCCCCAAACAGAGTGGTCCAGCCGCCAGTCGGGGCTTTGTGTGGCTAAGCCGGCTGTCATGGTCGTCCACTTGTGAGGGCCCTTGTTGACGTTTGAGCGCTCTCACGACAAAGACCAGCCATTCATCCAGTTAGCTTGTTCGGCATAGTTAATGTAAGACAAGCGGGGTGTTGGTTCTGATCAGGCTCAACAATTGGTGAGTCAAATACATGACCGCTGTCTTATTCGTTGACTTGGTGTAAATTTTGAACTGAATTGACGAAGTGAAGTAGGTGACAAATATTTGTTGATTAAGGAATGTCCTCTTGGATAGATGACACAAGATGTAGAAATGTGACGCTGGAGCTCAGTGTGTGAGTCATGTGATTAGATTAAAAGTGACTCATGGTGTCGTCCTACGTGGGGAGAGACTTCAGTCATGTTCCAAAGTGATGGCGCTATGCTAACTCTCATTCTGATTCAAGCACCCTTTTTCATCCCAAAAGTGTTCAATTATCCCCCTCCATACAGATTAATGAGGCACAAATAACAATAAAACAAAGGCTAAAATAAATTGATACAATAAACGGTATCAAACCTCCAAAAATCACTGCATGGTGACAATGTTGGATTGTAGTATAAACATTTTTAAATGTTGCTTGGGACTTGGCACTGTAAAATTAAAATTCTCTCGGAATGATGATCAGATCAAAATAAATTTCGTTTTATTTTTGTCATTTTGCCAAATCTGAATCATGTTAAAAAAAAAAATCATACCAACATCAATGTGGACCTCACCAAAATGTATGGCGGCATGGAGAGCGTTTCATAAATATAAAACCCAACTATATATTTTTCTTTTTGCTCCTACTAGTCACTACAATTCAGACATAATCCAGTTGCACACAAAGTTTCGGCAAACACACCCAAGAACACACAAGCAAACAAAACATAACATCCTTGACAAAAGTCACGTGATTAAAAATGTATAGAAACATGTTTTCGGGAAAATAGTGTGAAATGAAAAGGACTAAATCGCAGCTGTGCACAGAATGAGGAAGGGAACACAAACGGGAAGAGTGTTTATTTGTCCCCAAAACAAAATTCAGGAAGTGTTTTTGGGTGCCCGATGATGTTTTTGCATTAGTAAGGCTTACTGTGACATATTATGCTATTGTCAAGACTGTGTTTAGATGATTAGTCGCCGTTTTATGGTAATCTCCATTTGTCCAAGAATTCTGTGAAATGTTTGTTCTTCACCGTCAAACCTTAATTGCATTTCTACCCAAAGCATGTTCACACTGGCTTGCGCTTCACATTTGCACATGCTCATAATATTTTACTAGATTTACTGTCTTGTTGGACTGAAGCCGGATTTATGAATCCTCTCTACATGTATCTGAGGATTAAAAAAAAGTGGATCTTGGGATGCATGCGAGCATTAAAGGGAGTTTTTTTAGGGATTACACCACCAACTTGTTTTTCTTGAAAAGAAGCCCACAGGGGGAACAAATGGAAAGATAGGGGCCATCTAAAAGCATGCAAGCTTCACATGTCTGAGCCCAAGCATCAAGTTCATGCGTTTTTTACTGAATTCCTGTCATACAGTACACCGCAAATACAAAGTGCATGAAAAATACGACTTACCATCCCGGCATATATTGCAAAGTGGGCTTGGTGCGTGGGAATCTCCCGTTGGGATAAATCCGTATTAAAAAAGCATTCCTGATACTGTCTATTAAATGTAGCCTTCTTTTTCTTGAAAGTCGTAGGCTCCTCTTCTGTCTCCTGGCCGGGCCTTTTCCCCTTTCCAAAGACGTTTGTTTTTTTTTTATACTCATTTCGCTAGCTCCCTAGTTTCATTTTAGCGGTAACCTATCACGTGATTGAGAAGCCCGCCTTGACCTGCGTCAAGAGTGACACACTGTAGATGGATGTAACAGAGAATCCGGTAATTTTTCAAAATAAAACATCTTTCAGATTCCGAAATGAATAAAAAAGAAATAATGTAAGTTATGTATTCTTTCTGCGCGGCCCCGGTACCAAATGACCCACGGACGAATACCGGTCCGCGGCCCGGGGGTTAGGGACGGCAAATGTAAGTGGTTCAGCACCATGACCCAGTCGAACATGGTGAGCTTCTGATGGGATCACTCGCAGCATCGACACATGAATAGTGTTGCTTTGGTGATGCTGGGCTAAGCCCATTACTGGCAAACACCTGCCTCTTCGCTTCTGCTTAAATTCATATGACTGTTTAATGAGCTTTCCTGACTGGTTGTTATTCAGACCTCCGATCCACACCTAAACCCATTAGGTCACTTTCCCAGCAGCAAGTAGCGGACACCAGGCTCCTTTGTGTGTCCCTTTACACATGCCGCCATGAGTGTGTGTGGTGACGTTGTTTACGTGATTGCAATGGAACGGCATCAATTCGAGTATATTGGTCAACCGAGATTTACATTATTTTTTGCTACCGTTTGGAACATCGGCAGTCATCCAAACATTCCCATATCCTGAATTTTTCTCGTACGTATAAAACTGTCAACAAAATGCAACACGTAAACCAGGCTGAGTGGGTTAAGTTAAGTGGTGTGTCTTCCAGATCCTGTTAAAGCGTGATGAATAGACGAAGAAGATTGTCCCCCATATGCAGGTGCACTTTGGTGAACAGATGGCGGGGACAAATAAAAAGGAGTACATTTTTGGATGACGTTTTCGAAATCTCCTCTGAGACTCATAGCCGGATCTGTCTGCTGTTGGCGAGCGCTCACGGTAGTAATTTTAAAATACCCGTCGTATATTAGAAGAAATAATACCTGCCCGGGATTTGGAAGCGATTACAGCAGTGGTAACCATGGTAACATTCAATTCAAAAAGCTTGTAAATGTGTTTATTTGTGAGCAACCTACTGGAAACCATTCCAAGGTTGATTGTGAGAACAGGAAGCACATTTAGCAGACACTCATTAAAGTCTATCGTGAGTCTTTTGTCAGCGTCTTTAATGTGAAGAAGAGCTAGGGCCTGTTTGCATTTAGTCTGTCATCAGCGCTCTCAAACGCCCATCAACTGGATTTCCTCCTCCTCCTCGCCGTGTTCTCACTTTTCCTAGTGACTATATCGTGTTTCATTCTTGGGGCATCACCATGGTAGCCATGATTTGAAAAGACCTAAACACACCTCGCGGTGAAAGCTCCCGCGGTTGTTTGGTGGTTGTTAGCGGCTTAGGAAATGCATCTGAGCCAAGGAAGTCGCTTAAAGGTGGAATTCTTCCGGAAGTTGTTGGGATGGAAAATTTTGGTCATTATTAATTAAGCTATTCTAGTGCTTGATTTGCAATTTGTGTGTATCAATACTGAACCGGAGGATTAGGAAGGAAGGCTTATTCAAGATAATGTAACATTGTCCTAAATTGGCCAATCTTCTGTTTTTGTTTTATTTATATTAATTCATTAGACTGCCCTTTAGCCCTTTCTAACCGTACTTAGTAACTTTGACATAAATTCAAATGGACAGAAACCTGTGTGAACGTAAAGAACACAATTTGTATTATTCTGATATATCATTCAAAGATGGTAACAAAAATTTCATGCTACAATAATTAGATTTTCAAGCCCTTCAAGGATTAGAGGTTGCAATTTTAACCTAGAATAATAGCTTTAACACCCATTGCGTGGTTTACAGATTTTAATAAGGAGATTAACATTTGTTATTGCTCTGGTGAATCTTGATTGTTTATCCGTGGTCAATAATTTTCACATTCTTGACATTGTGGTGATATTTTCTGTCAGCGCAGTTCATTCCAGGGGAAATGTTTGTGGATTTGCAAAATTAGACCATCGGGTAACCATAAAAACAAGGTCATGTGTTTTATGTGGTATTTTTGTCCAATGCACCTTGCTGTGTAAATCTTGTAGCTGACACCGATGTTGGAGGTGGCTCGATGTCTTGTCAATGTGACCTTCCCATTTACTAGAGGGCCTCTTGGGCGGCCCATCTTTGAGTAAATAAACATTAATTTGTCATGACTTTTGCAATATTGCTTCCGTTTAGTTGGATGATGCAGATTTTACAAAACCATGGCCTAAAAATTTCTGTTACAACTCGCCATACATCCCATCATGTTGGACTCCATACAGTATTCTCTGTGTTCTCAATAGTACTTCCCAGGCCGCCCCATCCTGATGAACCTGTTGAAGTCCCTCGATTCATGGCTACAACACCAGACTGGTGATCAAGTTTCATATCAAGCGTTCAGTGAAATCCTGGAGAATTCGACACAGGTGAGTTGTGACAGAATAATACACACAAACATCTGTAAGGCAAGTTCATGAGGAAAATATGATCCTGCGAAATCCAATTTTTGTACACCTGCATTTTCATCCAGTTAGATCCAATACGAGAACTTAAGGCCTCAGAATAATAAAACCCAGTCAGACAGGAAGTACAGCGGACCTTTCACTATTCTTGGGGGATCGCTACCGATCTGGCCCGAGAACAACCAAAATCTTTGCATCATTGCCAGACATTGGAATACATTTGGAGGAGTCAAAAAAAAAAAAACAGAAGTGGCATTCTTCAAACAGCACTGATTATCATTCAGTATGCCGTTTCCACACAAAATAAATAAATAAATAAAATAGGGGGGAATCGGGTGGGTCAATAAATAAATAAATAAATAACCCCCCCAAACATCTGCAAATATTTGAATCCCCCAGGTGCCGAACCGCAACTATGCGGGGGTTTACTGTTATGTAAAAAAATGTGAATTGTTGTATTGGTGGTGAACAAATGATACTTTCACGAAGCATGTGCATTCAAAAATAAAAACTAACACACAAGGAGCTTTTTTCACAGCAGCTGGGTTTGCCCTGCTTGACCAAAATCACTATTCTTGGGGGATCGCTACCGATCTGGCCCGAGAACAACCAAAATCTTTGCATCATTGCCAGACATTGGAATACATTTGGAGGAGTCAAAAAAAAAAAACAGAAGTGGCATTCTTCAAACAGCACTGATTATCATTCAGTATGCCGTTTCCACACAAAATAAATAAATAAATAAAATAGGGGGGAATCGGGTGGGTCAATAAATAAATAAATAAATAACCCCCCCAAACATCTGCAAATATTTGAATCCCCCAGGTGCCGAACCGCAACTATGCGGGGGTTTACTGTTATGTAAAAAAATGTGAATTGTTGTATTGGTGGTGAACAAATGATACTTTCACGAAGCATGTGCATTCAAAAATAAAAACTAACACACAAGGAGCTTTTTTCACAGCAGCTGGGTTTGCCCTGCTTGACCAAAATGCAAGCTGGCTTTCATGAACGGTGAAAATGAATTCCTCGCTTGGCATTTTTTTTCCCCCCGGTCAGGTCAGTCAAAACTGAGCTTTGATTGAGATTTTTTAATGAAGGTCCGATTGTCTGGAATTAAGTGTGCATGCATCCTGTGTGCAGCCCCCTTGCAAATTGAAAGAGTCACTTACTCAGATCATTAGCTTTTAGCTGTCCCGATCAATGGATCAATGAATCGATGAGAAGGTATGAATTGACTTCACTTCCGAGGAAATGGACTTCACGCTCACCCAAAATCTTTACTATTGACATGTGAGTAACCCTGTCAGTCACGGCAGCGACGGCAATAGGGGGCGGCGAGAGAAACGACTTTGTGTCAGAGGGAATATGTTGTCGGATTCGGTTGGTTAGATATCCCTACTGCCTGTGTTCATTAGTGCAGGGCCGAGCCATTAACCTGAGATTGACTTCTCATTGATCAAGAAAACTACACGCAGCAGCTTTCATTAAGTTGAACAGGTTTGGAGATGTGGGTGGTCCTTTTTGAAAATTGTCTCTCAGTCATATGTTTTTCTCTCTCTCAGGGTCCAGATGCTGCCTTGCCCGAGGGGGTGAGGTGGGTGGCTTGCCAAGGGTCACAACCCCACCTCCGACGTTATCCTTGTGGCGTGTGGACTCTCTTCCACCTTCTTACAGTGCAAGCCAAGAAAGCTGGTGACTCAGGTGCAGGCAACTCACGTGTACTTTGTTTTACTACGGGCCATTTAGAGTTCACGGGGAGAAGAGGGGGGCTTAGAATATGTCTGCGGGGCCGAGAACTTTGTCCACAAATTAGCCTCTTTTCACAGTGACCTGATTTTAACTTAACACACAAGCACACACAAATCCAACCACCAGTGAACACAGAATACACACGCCTACTTGGAAACAAACTCGGCATGAAATAGACTATTATGCACTCCCCATCTTTTAGTCACTGCTGCATTGAACCTAATTGTGACTGTGTGAAAATAGATGTTAGATTAGTGGAATGTGAGTGGTTAATAAAACAAGGCAGATGACTGGTAGCTCCACTTCGAGCAAGCATGTTAATCTCCCACTTCATCACACACACACACACACTCACACGGGGGTTAATCCTGGAGTTTATGGACCGTCATGTGACCTGCAGATGGACCGGCGAAAAGGGGTGTCCATCTGGTACCCCACGGGCCACCATCTATCTCACACGACAGATACAGGCACATGCAGTAGTACCCCTGAATACGACATCAACCTCATGCATGAACTCACACACTGAATGCCGTATTACAGGTGTGAATTCGGCACAGTCTTCCCATTGTCCCGGCACGCTCTGCGAGCGGCTGTGCGGTTTATAAACCCGACGGGGCGGCTAAGCCAAGAACAAAAGCAAACTACTGCCGGAAAAATATGTTTGTGGACTGTCGAGATTCTGAGACAACAACCTGGCAACCATTCACACAGAGGGTTAACTTCCTTTAATCTGCAGATTGGGTATAGATTATTCATCTCAATATGGGGTTAACCCAGCTCTCTGTGACTCCCGGCCCACAAAGCGTGGGAATCCAGGAAGCCGCGGCACAAGTTCGCAATTCACAGCGTGATTGTTGCCTCCAAGGTACTGCTCACAGGCGTCAATAAAATGTCAATTTGATCACGGTACACGATCACAAATTCAAATAAATTTGAATACACCATATCAATCCCGATTCCATGAATTACGGATGTGCGGTATATATGGAAGACTGTATAGATTATAACTCCGGTGTAGGTTTGTGACCAATTAGGATCACATCATCATATCTGACTCAGTGTGAAAATGGCTTGAAGCGCATTTGACCACAGAGGTGTAAACGAGCCGTCAGACGTACCTGCATCGACGCAAACCGTCCTTTCCTGCCTCCTCGGCTACTCACAAACTACCGTGGAATTGCTAGCCGCTAAACTAACTTGCTCCACACTAGCTAGGAGCTGCGGCTGGCTAGCTAGAGTGGCTAAACACTGTCCTGCCACGATGCAGTCACTCCTCTAAAAAAACGAATCCTCACTTCCATGTCGGCGATTAAGGTACATTTCTGGTAAATACTGTTATCACAATAGGAAGATGAGGAGGAGCTAATCATGCAGCACACTAGTTAAAAAGAGACAACAGGGAAGAAGAAGAGGAAGAAGCCATGCTCTGAACAGCAAATTAGCATTTCAATTAGTGTCTAGAGCAAGGAGATGTCAAACTCATTTTGTCCCTCAGAAGCCCGTTATGACTGTGAACCCCCAAATAATGTAAAATTGATCGCCTCATATTACACAAACTCACCAACTGAATGAATAACTGAACTCATTTTGAAATCAGAGACCAGAAAAAAAATCAAATATATTAATTTTAAAAGGGGGTTGGTTACAATAAATGCTTGCAATATTTTTAAAAGTGAAGCCAATTTGCGATTTGTTTTTTTTTTTAGCAAGAAACATGAAGTCGATGCACTTAATTTGCTTTTGCAGGCCACATAAAATGATGCGATATGCCACATCCGGCCCTCGCTCCTTGAGTTTGCCACCCGTAGTCTGGAAAGAAAATAATAATTCAACAGTTCCACAGGAAAACCGGAAATGAATCAGTATGTTGACGCATGTCAGCCAGGATGAGGAGCCTCATTGGTCAAAAATAGTTTTGGACAATCAGTATTTATAATATTGGCACTCTTATTTATAGCACTTCTCCCCACTAGGATTTACTGGATTTACGTTTACAGGACTTACTCTGATGAGGCAATTGCGAACAGATTCCTTTTTGCATTTCTGACCTGGGAGCAGACAACTAATAAGAATAAGCCCTGTGAAAAAAATGGATGGATGGTTTAAGTGGTGTAACCAATAAGAAAAAACAAAATACAGATTTGAATGTGCACTAGCATTTGTTTGAGGAAGCACGTCACACAGCGCTTGAAACCCACCTTACTTTGTTTTATTGCGGTTTCAAAAATGTCAACGTTTAATTACATTTTTACCCAAAACTCAAATAAATGTGGAATTTTTGTGCAATATTAATTCATGAATCCCCTCCAGATCCCGCGGAGGTGCTGAGTGCGATGACAGGCTACATCAGCAATTTCTTTGGCTGCCGGCCATGCGCCGAACACTTTGAGAACATGGCCAGAGAGAGCCTTTCGGAGGTGAACACTTTTACTGACTCCATCCTCTGGCTTTGGGCCCGACACAATCGGGTCAACAACAGAATAGCAGGTAAGAGCGCACATTCGGGTAGTTTTAAATCAGCACATGTACATCTTGAATTTGTCAACGATATATTCATCACAAACCCATTCTATTATTTTTATGATATATCGTCTAACATGTTGCATGACTGTCTTTGGACCGAGTCGTAGTACGACTTCCCTCCGCTGACCTTCACGGTTATCTCACTGAGTTTGTGGGGAAGATTTAGGCTCCAGCCTCGTCACATGGTCAGCGGGTCGTGTTAATACGACTAGAGACGGTGCTGGGTGGTGGAAGGACGGATCCTCAGATCAGACACCAGCTGTCACTACGTCTTACAGGCCCCCCACCCCCACCCCCACTATGGAAGCGTGGCGCTTCCAATGTGGAGTAAAAACGTAAATACGTTTGAACGTACTCGCAATTATATTTGACTGTATTTGCCGCTCAAAATATTTTTGCTCCACATTGGCAGCTGCAAGCTTCTGTACCCCACCCCCACCTATCATTGGTGTTTGTGTCACCCGTTTTCTCCCTGACCACCCTCGAGAACTTCCAGCCCGTCGTCCTTCCACCTCATCACTATCGCTTTTGTCGCTTTTTCTCATTTGTCTCTCCTCCTTTAGTTTGCCTCCGCCCACTGTTGTCCTGCATCCATAAGCTCCTCCTGTTTTCGTAAGATTTTGAGGAAGCTTGCTTGTCTCCGTAACGGGGAACTTTGAAGGATCAGAATTATCCAGTTGATCATTTTTTACTTGGGTCGTAGTCGCACAAAAAATGGAATTGTCTTTCGTGTTTTGACTAACATTATTTGGGTTTTGACCATTTTTCGATAACTGCATTTTCGACCACTAAAATACGTTTTCTAGAAAACCTTTTAAACGCCGGTTACATGTTTTTGCCTCACCTTTTTGATGTCATATAGGTATTTATTTTTTTTGGAACTAATAATATGCATATGGGACCTCAGTTTACAATTTGGAGTTGGTTGTGCTCTTTCTTTCTTTCTTTAGCTATATGACTGGCTAAAAGAACGTTTTAGCATTACCTGTTGCTTTTGTATGCATTTGACCACCAAAGTGGTTTTTTTGTTCATATGGGCTTAAATTTAACTTGGTGTTAATAAAATATATGTTTGTGTTGATAGTCTGGAGCACTGAATGCAAAAGGGGAAAAAAACTCACTTTCTACTCTTGTTTAACTTTATTACTAAAGTATATTACTCTGAAAAAAAGCAAAACCCTCCTCCCTCGTCTTTGTTTCCAGGGATGTTATTAGGCCCAGCACTGTCATTAACACCCCACTTTGTTAAATCACTGTCTTTTGTTTGTACGGACCACCCCCCTCTTCTATCACTGGGACAGCTTGTGTCCAGAACAGCAGGGGCTAGTGGGACACCCGCCTCTGCGTGTGTCTACTCCCCAGACACTTCAACACTATTCAGACCCCCCCTGGCCCCCCAGACCACTGCACACCGCTTCAATTCGTCTTCTCTCCCATGCAGTCTCCGTTGTCCGTGTCTCTGTTGCGAGTAGACCTCCTCTCATCCCCTGGGACTCATAACCTCCGCTTGACAAGTGATAGCACAGCACACTGGCAGGGTGGCTCCCCCAGGAGCCAGGCCTCTCTTCCGTCTCTCTCTCTCTCTCTCTCTCTCTCTCTCTCTTGCACTTATGCACTCTCCCTCTGCCGACTGCCTGCCTGCCCGCCTGGCCCCCCCCCGGAGCCACGCCTCTCCTCTCTCTCTCTCTCTCTCTCTCTCTCTCTCTCTCTCACACACACACACACACCAATTCCCAAGGCACTGTGAGACAGCAGGTGGCAAACACCATGACACAAGCACCAAGCCTCCCATCCTCCAGTCGACCCTGCAGACACGTACACACACAGGTTGTGGCGTGTGCTAGGGGGTGTTGCTGTAGTAAAGGGTTACTTGTTTCCACTGGGGATCAGTGTGGGGAGTCAAAAGCAAAGGGAGGGAGGAAGGATGCGTGCTCTTTTGCCGCACTCCGTTCCGCTCTCTCTCTCTCCCTCATGCTGCCCCTCCTCTGCTTTTTCTATTTGTATTTATTTGTTTATTTATTTTAATACCCCAGAGTGAAGCTGTTCAGCTGGCCGCCGCGCTCCGCCTTTCAGGAGTGGCCATGCATGAAAGAGCAGCTATTTGTAAAGCGGCTGAACAATTAATTTAGCTGGCAACAAAGAGGCCCAAGGGCCTTCTGACACCGCCTCGCACGGGCCACATTAAGAGTGGCGGCAGCTCAGTCCTGTTGCTGCTTGTCAAGAGGCTGAGAGGGAGACACATTTCGACACACTGCACTTGTAAGTCAAAGTGCCACCGTATTTGCATTGGTGGTGTACAAATGCGCACTGCATTATATTAAGAATCATTTTTAAGAATAAAAATTGATGAAACCATTTTTTTCCTCAGCAGGACAACAAATGCGAAACAATATAAAATATCATTTAGCTACTAAAAATAGACCGCTGAGGAATGATGAGTAGGCCTTAAAATGTAAACATGATCATTTTTAACTTATGAGTCCTGCATATGGCGTTTAACGTCATTGCTACGCTGAGAGGATGAGAGCAGTGCGCGATTGCTCACGTGTGCAGCTCAGTTGGAACGTTTTTCATTTGGTATTGGCTCGACGCGCTTTGCACCCTAGCCCACACAGTACTAGGAGTAGTACCTTGTAGTACCTGCTTTTTCCCCATGGCAAAGTGTCAATGTCAAGTAGAACTGTATTGAGACAACAAGGTACCTTGCCGTGGAAAAAATCAGGATCATCATAGTGGTCCAAGTTCAACTCGTCTTATTGGCGTCGTGGGGTGAACATGCAAACACAACACAGGAGGGCCTGTAGCACGAATTGAACCATGCTCATCATGCACTTTTCCACCATGTTTTGTGTTTGCGTGTGAGTGTGTGTGTGTGTTTTTTTTAGATAGTTGACTAAATTACACATAACAGCTGCAAGGGCAGCCAAAGCGTAAACCAGGGGTGTCAAACTCATTTCACACTGTGGGCCACATACGGTCTCGGTAGATGTCAAGTGGGCCGGACCATTAACATTATACCATACTCTGCTATAAATAACCAAAATATCATGTCTTTCCTTTGTTTTGGTATAAAGAAGCATTGGCGCATTGATACCATCTGCTGTGTTGGGTCTGTCTCAGTGACAGACTGAGGCTGCTGTTTTCTTCTCTGAACAAAACAATGTTGTCTTCTACTCTGATCAAAACAATGTACCCCCTAGCGGATAATCCATAAATTGCGTTTTACTAAAAACATTCATTCTGTGTCTTTAATGCATTTTTTTCATTTTTAAATTATCCCGTGGGCCAGATCGAACCTCCTTGAGGGCCTTATTCGGCCCGCGGGCCGTATGTTTGACACCTCTGGCGTAAACCATCCCTTCATTTGCATCAGCTCTATGGCTGCATGACGCTGCATGGTAGGTGATCCTCCCTTCACAGAGTCGGTGCTGAGGAAGCTAGTTTGTCTTGAGCAATACATATTTATACCTGATGAATATGTATGCGCTAGCGGTGATGACATCCCAGCGACGGGCCGTGGTGGCAATCTCAATATGGCTTCTATGGCTAAAGTCACCCTGGCCACAAACCTGACAGTCTGATTAGAATGAGGGGAGTGTGCATGCGTGTTCCATCTACCTGCTGAAATGTATAAAAGCCCCCCCCCACCGACCTCCCACTAGCCGCTTACAGGCTCACAGGCAGCAGGACATCCAAGACAGGGTAAAATAAATGTATCTTTTATGTAAAGCAGCGTATGGAGAGTCCATACACATGTGCATATCATTGAGATTCTTGCTGAGTAGCATTGGGAAAGGGTTGCGGGAGAGTGAGAAAATTGGGGGCTGGTAAATTGACGGTGCTGTAAAGTGACAGAGCTGCCATGTGCTCGCACGCACACGCGCACACAATAGTTTGTAGGTGACAATAATTTATTACGTGTGTGTTTGAGTGTGTGTGTGTATATGTGTGTCTTTGCGGGTATTAGTTGGGTACACTTGTTTACTTGCCAGATATTTTTGGGAATGTGCCTTTCAATGTTGTTACTTAAAAATTATGGTTGGGTGAATAATCAATTTTATGGATTGATTCAAATGTTATTTGTCAGGGCAGTCAGGACTTCCGTAGTTCAAAGTGTGTTCCGGGCTGATATTCACTGCTAACACTAAGAACATGGTTGCGAACAGAGAGGAGCTCGTAGCCTGAGACAAAAGCACAATCGTCGTTAGCTGTACTGAGCAACTTTTCTGACTCATCTGGCTTCTATTTCGCAAAAAAAGACAATCAGAAATTCAAAACGTGTGGTGGGATACATTGTGGTCAACTATGGACAGGAATTTCTAGTCTTTGAATGGTACAGTACTCAAAAATGTAAACACCTGAGACTTCACCACCCCCCCCCCAAAAAAAAAATTGTTACTGAATACAAAACACACCGTCATGCTAATTTTATTTTATTATGCAAAAGTGTGTTATGGTGCTCATGTTGCTGGACGACAGTCTAAATGTTACCGTAATCTTGTGCCTGGCTTTTCCTATGGTTTCCAATTCCAACCAAATTTTTGTGAATGCATGAATTGTAGGCTGCGTTTAATTGAGGTTAGTGTGATGCTAACAGTCAGCTAAAGGAAAAGATGTCCAAAAAAAAAAAAAAAAAGTCTTAATTCATCAGATGATGCATATGTCCCCTCCGAGGCTTTGGTATCTCTGATGTTCAATTTGAAGATTGGACTTCGCTTTGAAAAGGGCTGCGAAGGGACCAGACAGGTGGTCTGCACCAGTGAGGGCTTCTGCCTCATGACAACGCTTGTGTGTGTGTGTGTGTGTGTGTGTGTGTGTGTGTGTGTGTGTGTGTGTGTGTGTGTGTGTGTGTGTGTGTGGGAGTGGGGAAGCTGTCCACTTTGGTCACATCTATTATCTCACCACCCCTCCCACTGGGACATCCTAGAAGCCCATTGATCATTGTTAAGACACACACACACACACACACACACACACACACACACACACACACACACACACACACACACACACACACACACACACACACACACACACCAATATCAATCCGTAGATTACATGCACACAAACACAGACAGGTGATTTACATACGCACTCTTAAAAGAGCGACATGCACATATGCATATCGGCCCAAAGATTTATGGAGGCGAGTGACAAGATGAAATGGCTTCAACACAGATTGCATCCAGTCGTCGAAACGCTCGTGTCCTCAAATCAAACGTGCCAACACAACAGCGTGCAACATCTTTACGTGACCTTGTGCTTGTTGGATGGTTTCTTCATAATAATCTTGCAATTTTGGTACACTACATATTGATACCACTTTGGTTTTTTTTTTTTTTTCATAAAATACTCTTTGTCCTTGCCTTTCAGGTGCTTTGAGCGATGACCCCAACTTCCCAAAGATCCAGTGGCCTCCACCGGACACGTGTGCAGACTGTCACGGCGTGAAGGAGAACGGGGAGCACAAGTGGCACATCAAGCAGGTTCTGTCCTTCCTTGAGGACTACTACTCTGCCGAACGTATCCTCACAGGTGCGGTTTAAGCGCCATTTTCCATATTGTCTCGTCTTGACGCGATAAACATTTTTTTTCAATTGTGGGAGATGAAACATGATGTTTATACACTCTTAGGCACAAGTTAGAAGCAGAGCTAAAGACGCCACAAAATTTAGAACTAAGAGGCCTTCAACAAACTATCTGTGGGGTTCCACTGTATACTGTTGTAACTCGAACTGGTTTTTATTTCCCCCCCCCCATCAGACTACCTGGAAGACGAAAGTGAGGTTTTGGCCAAGCAGAAGGGAAAACGTGTCAAACTGCAGGCTCAGAAGCGTGTCGAAAGAGAAGCCAGCGAGGCCCTGAACCCTCCCAATCTTCCTCCTCCAACGCAAGCTTTGATAGAAGAAGAGGAGGAAGAGGAAGTGGTGGCAGATGAAGAAGAGCAAGCGGCAGAAGCGGCCCAAGAGGAAGGTAAGACCCTTGAACCGAAACCCTGGGCCGCAGCGGAAATCAAACTGGGCTCGGATCGGCAACATAACGTCAGGAGGCCGAGTATCGTGGGAATGAAAGTGCGAGATGTGCAGGAGGACATCGTGGACCTGGACTTGTTCGCCAACCAGCACTACAAAGCCCAAGCCATGCAGGTGGCCACCTCCAGCCGAGTCAAACAACGCACCCTGCAGAGGAATCGGGAGAAGCGAGACTCCGGGCCCGTGTTCGGGCTGCGCATGGAGCCGGACGCCGGGCTCGGCGTGGCGGCCCTGGAGTCGGACTTCGGTTCCGACGAGGGGACGCGCGTGCTTAAGCGAGAACTGTCGGCCCAGCGCTTGGGCGAAGACGGCGGGCCGGGCCGGAGAGGCCGCTGGATGTCCATGCTGAGCATTGGCTTCTCCAAAGTGGACGTCAGCCTGTGCGTCATCCTCTACTTCATGTCCTCCATGTGTCTCCTTGTCATGTACCTCTTCTTCAAAACCCGCCTCCGTTTACGGCGGCCCAAAGCGTCACTGCCTTGATCTGAAGTGTGGGCCGGGCCCTTCCAACAACCTTTCCTTGCTGGTCTGGTTCTGTGCTTCAAGTCACATCTAGTGACTTCCACTAGCTTTTCAGCAAATGACCTACCGTGAAAACTTTGTGCATATATGGATGTTTATTTTCATCAATGAGTCTGGTGTGAATGAAGGAGATCCTTTTTTGTTTTGTTTTTTTTTTGATTATGCCATGAAGGACATTTCAACACATCCGCAGGCAATGGAACTACTTGAACTTCTCTCCGGTGATTCCACAGATTTCTTTTTTAATTCTATTTAGCTTTATGAGCATTTTATTTCAGATTTTGGGTGAAAGACGTCCACCATGAGTTACACTTTGTATGTTATAGGCAATAACATTCGGTACACCTGTATGAACTAATGCAGTGTTTCTCAACCTTTATTGAGCCAAAGCGCATTTTACCAAAATCTCAAAAATCACCACCAAACAAAAATGCTTGCTCTGAATAGCGCAAATCTGATAACACCCCACAACCCACTCCCCATTAAATGTCACAAATTGCCGCTTTAGCTAAATGAAACTCATCAACTCACGCTCGTTTCTTTGCATGATATTGCCACAAAGTGGCCACAAAATACTACTACTGTCTGAAGCGCTTCAATTCACTTCAACAAAAAGTAATACCGGTACTTTCTTTGGTCTGAGTGCAAAAACATTCGGTGAGTTTTTCATTGAACACACTGGACAGGTTTCCCCCAAATGAATTTGCAAAATGCAGGACCACAAATATGCAGGGGTTCACTCTATCCTGAAAAAGTTGAAAGCAAAGCTGTTATTTTTTTGAATTGCAGCAAATAAATATACAGATTGGTTGACCCAATTGAGGGTCAGTGATTCAGAAAATTAAATATAGTTCGAGCGGAGGATTATGTGATTGTTGATTCTGTCACTATAAATCGCTGGCATAGAAAAATGGACAAAGATACATTATTTGTAATAAATTTAAAAATGTCAGACAAGTTAAATAAAATGGAAAAAAATTACAACTGATAATCTCTCACAGCACACTCATGGTGTAATGAGATACAGTCTAATAGCGGTATGAAAAAAATCTTTTGAAATTTGTAAACATGCCTCCCATTGGAAGGAAATCTTTGATTGTGCCAGTGTACCTAATGACGTGCCCAACGTGTATATTTGTTTGCATTCTAAATACTCACCACTGCTCTTGAATTACAAATTGATATTCATTCTTTTTTTTTTTTGTTCATTCCGTTTCACTGTTACACTTTAATTACCGTTGAGACCATGAGCCACTTGTCTTGCAGCTCCTGTGTTTCAAACATCGCATCCGCAACGATGACGTCACATTGCTGAGTCGTCAAGACAGAAACTGTTCATGTCAAGTGGACAGACTAATGCTGTCATTACAAACATATGCGTGGATTGTGGAAAACAAAGTTGTTTTGTTTTGTTTTTGTTTTTTTGGACAGCTCATTTTGAATGTGTCGAGAAATTAAACATCTCTATCGTCTGTGACATTAAAAAGTGTGACCAGAATACTTGTTGTTATTGCTTTGCGCTCGCAATGCAAAAGGCAGCTGGGTGTGCATGTTAAAATGGGGAGTGGTGGGCGGTGAGGAGGGAGGTGGGGGCGGGGGGTGAAATCATCACAAGGTTGAAGGAAAAAGCCTGTTGCCATCTGCTGCGCAGCACAGGCTAAATCCTAACAATTTCATTGGGATTAAAGCAAGTGAGTAATCCTGCTTTCCTTTAGGGGGAGAGATTACCCTTGAGGATTAGCTCCCAGGAGATAATAAACTTTATTAAAACGCAATCGGCTTTCACGGGCCTTCTTCCCCTCACACACACTTGGAGGTGGACTCCGACGGGACCCCTCGGTGGGGGAGGAGGGGTCGAGCTGGATGAAAGAGTGTGCGAGGGATAAATGGATGGCGCTCCGATGTCGTCGGGATTATGACAGACTCATCTGAGGGGACGCTTGTGATCTTGAGCTTTGTGTTTCCCGGAACATTGGATTGAACTCTCTTCATGCTCCCAGTGAAAACAAACACTGTCATCTCCTCATTCACTTCTTGGGGCGTGAGCAGCATGATTGCTCCGGCTGCTGAAATAGCCCAATGAGAGGCGGGTTGATTTAAGAGCGATCACTTTGAAGCACCACCTGCCTTTTACTGCTCTCACTGAATCTACCACTCTGAATTAAACTCTCAAAGACACATTAGGCCCACCGGGGACAACCTGTTTCAAGAACTCCTCAGGTATCAGAAGCCTCGCTAAGGAGAAGGAGCCAGATGGACTGTCATGGAAAGACAAGCCCCTGCATGGCGTGTACCATTGACAAATTGTGGCTGATGTTAAAAAAACATACCATTGCCTGGAAAACGCTGGACTAAAAGACAGCACTAATCAAAATTTGAATCCATAAAAACATAGAGTAAGAATCAAGGAAGAAGTGGATTGTAAACAGGTGGGCAGGGTAAATTGAGGCTCGCTCAGCTCCCATGCACTTTAATGTAACAGAGCTGGTGGTGTCTCACTCGCTTTAAACATGTAAATATATTTTGAGAGCACGTCAAAGTTTGCATTTTCGAAGTCATCCGCCGCTTAACTCATTCACTCCCAAAGACGTTTTTAAACGTCTTTTCAGACTTGGTCTAGAATTGGCTGGTACTAAATGAGTTTTAAATGTGCCCGACCACAACACAATTACTAAAAATTAAAAAAATAAAATAAAACGTTGGCCAGCCAGCACATTGACTGAATGATGAGCATGTCTGTTCTTACGTGTGGATTTCTTCATGATGTGTCTGTAATTCATGGGATTCCCCTTCATACGGAACTGGTTTAAAAGTGATTGGATGTAGAGTCCAATGCCAAAGGTCGTTCCCAGAGCTCGCTCACGTTCTGTCACAAAGTCATCAAGTTGCCCTTAAGCACTTTTGTCCTACGCAAGTGATCTGTTAATCTGTTTAAACGTTACCTGTGTTTGCCACCCGCTGCACACTTGAGCCTCGTTGAGCTGCAAACGAATGATTCCAAATGACGGCGATGCATTTCGGGCATGCGCTGTTATTGCTTCCCGACGCTGCCAAGTCTGACGCGGTGCGCTTCACCCTGAGGGCGGTCCGTTCGAATCCAAAGAGAGAATTTGTTTTGGAATTTTTGCCGCTTGCATGTTCTCCCTGTGCTTTTGTAGGTTTTCTGCAAGTGCTCTCACTTCCTCCCGGCCATGTTAGTTCGCTACTTAGCTCTAGTTTGGTCTGCTCAAACAATTAGATACACATTTGTCAGCAGGATTAGACAAAAAGCGCTCCACTTTATTGTCTCATTTAACTATTTTATGTCTTCACTTTAAAATGTCTGTAAATCTGTTCTTTGGAAATGTGTTTGTGTGTCAAAATTTACTCTTTCAATATGATTCTCTTTGCTTTAGGAATGGATCCAGTTGTTCTGTTGCAAAGGCATTAAGGTGCCGTGAAGCACATTGAGATGGCTTCTGTTTGAAATGTGCTGTATAGTATATAGTTTTCTTGCCTTGCCTCTCCACTGATTTCCATGAAATGTACGACTTGAAAATGCGAATTGACGAATAGACTTTCTTAATGGAGCTGAATAACCCCGAATACAAATTGTTGCGTCTCACTCGAACCCTTCAGGGCGTATCTCACTGAGCGGCTTTGCACGTTACAAATGCTTCATTTCGTTGAGGTTCGTTCAAGGTCGTAAACAATCGCAGAAGACGTTCACCAACTATTTTAACGGTCTCAAAACAGTTTTTGTTATTGCAAAGAAATGTTGAAGATATTCAAAATTTGATAGCGACGAGAAAAACTGTGGCCGGCCATTAAAACTGTTTGGGAATGTCTGGCAGATGTCTCTGCAACTGTTTGCAGCATTATACGAACCCGGAAAAAAAATAGTATTTGCGACGTGCACGCACACTCGCAAACCTTCCCTGTTCAGTGAGATACGGACGGACGGCCCTACCACACAATCCAGCATACCACGGTCAGAAGAATTCATCCAACCGGTTTCTATAGTGCCTGTCTTTGTTTGGGTGTCAGATTAATTAATCAAATTCAAATCGACATTGATATGTAGTAAAATCGCAACGGCTGCACTTTGTGAAAAAAAAAATATCGCAATCACAATATTAGGAGGAAAAAAAAACACTTAGATAATTGTTCAAAATCATACAACCCAAGTATTAGATGGAGCTTTAGTCCATCCCAGCTGACTCTCGCCAAAAGGAGAAGGACACCCTGGACTGGTCGCCAGCCAATCGCAGGGCACATATACACAACCATCGTCAAGCTAACTTGAATGTTTTTTTTTGAGTGAGGCAGGAAAACAGGAGCCAACAAAAACCCTCTGAAAAGTTGCCCAAAGTTTTCTTTACATTGCCCAAAGCAAATATCCCCCCCGAGCACACCGTGAAGGGTAAAAACGTCACCTTGCTGGCATGTTGTTGTCTTCCATAAATTAGAAGATGTAAGGTTTTATAGTGGCTCCTCAGTGCCGTGAGCCCTGCCTGCGTGTTTATTACCCCGCCGCTATTGATATTAGGATGCAGGAGGGAACCTTGATGCATTTTTTTTTCTGTCATCTCTCTTTCTGACTTTAATACGACTATAAAGCTTCCCGCTGTGGCCAGTGTGGAGGAGCACGACGAGGAAGAGGGGCTGCTGGGTGAATACATTATGAAGAAAAGGAGGTTAATATATTGTATTGGTATATATCACATCCAAATATAAGCCCGGGCCCCCCTCGGTTTCAATATTCCGCCTTTTAAAAGCGGGAGTCAACTAGGGTCACATCCATCTGCTTTTACTGCTCTTGTACACGCACCAGCGCCCTCCCCCAAACTTGCTTTTCAGCCACGTCACACTTCCTGTCTCACCATCAACATATCTGCCGGTGCTCGTTTTACTGCCACGATCTGGCACACGAGGGCGGGACCTGCAAAAGTGACACTTTTGAACCCTTTGTGCATTATAGCTTGGGAACATAACGTGCCCGCTTTGGACCCGGGAAAGGTTCAAATGAGTTCACTGGCTAGTCTTAAAGAGGAGGTTAGTTTGGAGGAAGTGTTGGAGCACTCAAGTCATTTTTATTCTTTTTGACTCAGCATGAGACTTGATTTTTTTTAGTGTTACTGTTTTTGTTCTTTTTACTGTCCTCCTTATTAATTTATTGTTTGATTGTTTGTTGCATGAATTATTTTTGCTCCATGCACAGCACTTTCAGAATCAGAAAACCTTTAATCGTCCCATAATGGAGAAATTCCCAATTTACAGCAGCAAATATATTTGTAGTATCTATATGTAAATATATGTAGTAAATATATTTGTATACAGCAGTGTTTTTTTACAGTCCTCTATAAATACAGCTGAGCTGAGTTGCATCCTCGCATTTTCTTCTTCTCATGTGCAGTGAATATAACGTGTACACACCCCTGTTCAAATGCCATTTTTTATATGAAAAAAATGAGACTAAGAGAAATCAATGTCTTCATCTTTTCCCTATGACAACTAAAAAAAATGTTTGCAGAAGTGTGCACACCCTCTTAACATGACTTTGTGTACAATTACCATTCAAACTCATGTTAAATGAGAGTCAGCACACGCTCCAATTTAGAATGCCTCGAATGAACCTCAATTCAAGTTCCGATGTTCTACGAGACTTTCACTGACATTTGTTTTCTCTCTTGCAGAAGCCTGAAAGTTTTGTGCCAACATTGACAGTTTTTTTAACTGTTCATAATTCCTTCCAGGCTCTGGCCTTCCTTTGTGGAGTTTGCATTTTCTCCCCATTACCCATGTGGGTTTTCTCCGGGTACTCTGATTTCCTCCCACATTCCAAAAACATGCATGATGGTTGAAGTGATCCCAAAAAAAAAAAAAAATGAAGGGGTCATGATTCTGTTTGTGACCAACAGGTGGCACTGTGGGGCTCTCCCTGCAGCTGCACACCTGTTGGTCGTTATGCAATTATTGCTTTAAAAGGACTCCCGACACGACCACTCGGTGTCGGGTCATGTATGTTTGTCATGGTTAGGTCATGTTTCTGTTATTGATAGTGTTTTGCTTAAGTCATGGTTTTTGTTTGCTACTTTGGATTCGTTTCCTTCTTAGGACTTTGTTTTGGATTTAGTTTTCTGTGTTTTATCAATACAGTTCTTCAAGTTCACCCTGCTCCTCCCTCCCGCCTGCTTTTTTTTGGGGTCCACGACCACCTCGCAACGTGACAGAAGCTTTTTTTGGGGTCCACCACCACCTCGCGACGTGACGGAAGGGCTATAAAAAAGTAAAGACATTTTTTTTTATTGCTTCAAAAACAGGACACATAAGACATCGCTGATGAATTAAAAATTGCTGTTGACCAGCGTAATCATCTGCATCATCTTTATCCTCATCACAGTAACAACCACAACCGTAACGATAATCAAGCCACAAGGTAAATACACTTGTAAGTGTACAAGCTAATGACAACAATAATACGACTAATGATGATGTAATTAGCCATGTCTGTGTGTTTTGTGAGTAATAAAATCAATGGGATTGTCAGGACAGGTGATAAGTAATCCGTGAGTGGTTGACAAGTTGGCTGAACTTTGCAGTTATTAGAGTGCAATGAGCCTATTAACGCCTCGTCCACACACACACACACACACACACACACACACACACACACACGTTCACACGCCTGTGGTATAATGGTGTACAGTACACGAGGGTCAGGTTCAATCAGGGAATGGGGAAAATATCATTTCTGACAGTTGGACCAATCTGGACGACTAATTACCCAAATGGACAGGAGCTGTCAGGAGACAATAACTATTCCCTAATACAATTTGCCCCACAAGTGCAATTTAATTTTCTCTTCCGTCGCAGTCTCGCCGCCTTCCTCTCCTCTCTGCTCTGCTCTCCCACTCTCCGGTTCTTCTTCTCCCCTGCTGCGCGGGTTCTTCTTCTGCTGACTTCCACGGTGAAGTCGTAGCAAGGCTGGCAGAGCTGTTTGAGGGAATCTTCTTTTTTTTTCCCACCCCCCGCTGTCTTAACCTGCAGGATGCAACGCTCCGTGCAGTCGGGAAAGATGACGAGGAGGAAGAGGAGGAGGAGGAGGAGCAGAGGTGAGGTAGGTCTGCACAATCCCAAACATCGACAATCATTTTGTTCATTGTTGAAAATGCGCACGTGCGCGGGTTCTTCTTCTGCTGACTTCCACGGTGAAATCGTAGCAAGGCTGCCAGAGCTGTTTGAGGGAATCTTCTTTTTTTTTTTCCCCACCCGCTGTCTTAACCTGCAGGATGCAACGCTCCGTGCAGTCGGGAAAGATGACGAGGAGGAAGAGGAGGAGGAGGAGCAGAGGTGAGGTAGGTCTGCACAATCCCAAACATCAACAATCATTTTGTTCATTGTTGGAAATGCGCACCACGCGTGACATTTCGTGCATGAAAAGCTGTCATGGATTTGACTCTTTTGGGGGGAGAATCATTCTCAAAAGATGACGTATTTAAAGCCCGTGAGTGGGAGTGTGCGCGCAGATGTCAATAAAGTGAAAGATGAGCTCTAATTAAGAGGTGGTGGGTCAACGTCGATGGCAAAGGAGTCGCCCTCGTTGTGAATTACTGCTTCCTCTTTAGACTGCATTCGTTTCTTTTGAAAAGCACAACTTGGTAATATGAATTTTTTTTTTGTCTTGAACGGGTGTGTTTCGGTTCGCTGCTCGTGGACAAAAACGAAATTTTGAGGGGTGTCGTCAGTGCGTGGGGATTTTGAAAAATGGAATCGCATGTATTAATATTAATTAACGAAAGAAACTGGACTAGTTTCACATTTCTATTGACATTCTGCATTCGTTTCTTTTGAAAAGCACAACTTGGTAACATGTATTTTTTTTTTTTTGTCTTGAACGGGTGTGTTTCGGTTCGCTGCTCGTGGACAAAAACGAAATTTTGAGGGGTGTAGTCAGTGCGTGGGGATTTTGAAAAATGAAATCGCATGTATTCATATTATTTAACGAAAGAAACTGGACTAGTTTCACATTTATATTGACATTAAAAAAAATCATTTAAACTCCCCTTCTTTCCTTATCGAAAGATAATTTTATATTATTTTATATCTAGTACCCAACGTAATAATTCTGCATCACTTTGGTGAACAGCATTTTAAATTATTAAAAGAAATCTGAAATTATTTTTAATCAGCAATTGGATTTAATAGTTTAGGGGTAAGATACATAATTAAGATTTCATTGCTGCATAGATGTTGTTCTAGTTCCTATTATTAGTTTAAAAACTGTTCCGTAAAAATACCAAAACATCATGTTTCTTGCATCATTTTCCCTTGCAATAATATTTCAGCTTTGGGGATGTGCAAAGCCAGATACAGATTTGGTGAGCATTTGTATTTATTTATTTTGATATACCTAGAAGTCGCAAATCTACTCATATCAGTACGTTCACGTAGGTTTTTTGGCGCCATGTGGTGAAAAAAAAAATGTGTTGAGTTTACTCAATTTTATTTTGTCAAGTGGCCGCACACAATAGAATCGTCTCCGTTTCGATGCATTTTTTTACGTAGATGTATAATCTACTTAAAAACGTATGCTTTTATTTCGTGCAACCACTTGACGAAATAAAATTGAGTAAATTCAACAAAGTTATTTTTTTTCAGTCTGATTGTCAGTGGCGTGTGTGTGTGTGTGTGTGTGTGTGTGTGTGTGTGTGTGTGTGTGTGTCTCTATGTTGTGCTAAAGGGTCTTGATGTCAATTGGATGCGACGACGGAGTTCATGCAGCTTGAACTCGCAGTCCAAAGAATACCTGAAACCTCCAATGGGTTGTGTCAGACTGATCGCAATGTCTTCTTGGACCACTTAATGGACAAAGTGAACGAAAAACGTCACCCCGATACTCGAACAAACGCATTGCTGCTTTCCTCCCTCTCCTCGTGCAAACAAACCCGAAGCCGATTTATTATATGAATATTCTTAAGATATTACTGCATCATCAACATTCAGTCTTGTTGTTGTAAACGCACATGAATGATGTTAATTGTGCTCGGTGAGAAGCACTAATATCCCAATCGTGGATTATTGCCCCAGATTGATTGTGTCCTGTATTATAATTTGAATTGTATCCTGCATGTACCCTTTACACGTGTTGCTGAAGAAAATAAGATTGCGTAGCATAGCATCAAAGATCCCATCTGAATCCTGCGTAGGGTGTAACTTTGATATCAGAAAAATAACAACGTCTGTATGGAAAGTGTCGACATCCCATTCACACTTAAATGTATGCATTTATGTTTCCTTCAATGTAAGAAAGTAAGTGTGCGTTTCGAGTAAAGCTTCATAGCCATGTCATCCCATCTTTGTACTCATGATTGTTTAGTTATATTTAATGTTAATTGACTGTAAGCATTGCTTCAAGATCTCGCCTGCATTTTTACTTACTGTAACTTTGATATAAGAAAATGAGAGTGTGTCTCGGACAGAGTCAAAATGACATCCCATCTAGACGCATTTTTGCTTGGTTATAAGAAAAGCTTGATTGTGAAGTTTAGCATCAATATCCTACCTGCATCCATGCTTATGATTTTTATATAAGAAAATACAACTATTAGTAATTGGAAGGCCACATTATCCCATCACCATCCATCCAGGTTGTTGTTTAAATTGACACCTGGCCTGGACTTCCTGGTTGCGGGGTCGTCCTCCATGGTGGCCCCCGGGGTTCCTCTGGGGTCCCTCTGGGGGCCACTCACGCTGCAGTGAGCTATTTATGGGCTCCGGCAGCTCAGTGTCCCGCCTCGGCTCTCCTTCTCCACCTCCCGAGGATGCTCCGAGGAGGAGAAGGGGGCGGGGCGGTGAGCCGCGATGGCGACGCGGTCTTCTCATTGGCCCCCGGTGAGTCTGCGCCGTGATGACGTCACGCCCCGCCGCCCCTGCAGAACTCAGCAGCCTGTCTTGATCCTGTCCCAAAAAGAGCTCGGCACGGCCCGGCATAAGCGCGGACGCTATCCCTTGGTGGACATAAACGAGAGGGTAGCAACAACACGACTATTTTGCTCCTTTTTTTCCCTTTTTTTTTTTCCTTTTTAACATTCGGAAGACACGAGAGGGGGAAGTGCGCCCACCGTGTTGCGGGTGTATGTGCGTGCGCGTGTGGGATCACGATGATGCAAAGTGCAGCGGTCCTTCCCACTGAGAGTCCCGTTAAGAGTTTACCGGACATCCTGGGAGTGCCACTGCAACGTAAGGACACCGGCGGTTCATGTTTATATCGAGATACATTTAAAAAAAATAAATCATCATGATTAGATTGCATGTCGAGTGCCGGACGAGGACGCGAGATCACATTTTAGCTGCGCTCGGTGCCTTTTTGTTGTTTCCATGTTCTGCACGCAATTACATTTGCATTGACATTCGTTCGTATTGGTTGGGGGGGGGGGGTTGTCTAAAAAATAGCCCCAAACTTCTCAGCACCTTGGTTAATTTTGTTAAGTAAAAATATTTATTTGAAATGTTACAAGGAGGACTGCACGGCCTCCCTCGTGATGCAAACACGGTTCGTGCATTGTGTTTGTTCAAGGGCCCTGGCGTGCGCACCCACGCTTCAAGCTGCACAATATTTCTTCCCAATGACAGCAAAATATCGTGAAAATTTGAATGTATAATTATAAAGAAATAATCGTGTTAGCACGTGATTGCAACTGTAAACATTTCTGATGTGACCTAATTCTGTCATGATATCGAGCTTCCTCACAAACAACAGGCTGAGGTTAAAAAGACATGAATCCACATTCACCTAATAGTTTAATTCATTGCCAAATAAATATATTTTTAATTATGATATTCTTTTTAATCATATACATACGTGGTGGGATTACGCTATTTAATGTTATAATTCGAGGGAGATTAAAAGATTGGAGAAAGATCCTGCCAGTCAGCCCCCTGCAGTGGATTTAAAACCTGTCTATTTATTTATTTATTTATTTCGAGCAATAAAAGAGACTTCTTTACATATCATGTTTGAAATTTCATCCAACGAATTCAATAGGGGGCGGGGGGTGGAAACTGGAGAAAATGGAAACATTGCGTGTGCGTGACCTCTTGCATAGTTGAGGTGATGAAGATGATGAGGTTCAACGAGATGATGGGGAGGGGAGTCATGGCAACCGGTAGGAGATAAGAGAATCTCCCCATCGTTCTTGTTTCTTTTTTTTAAATGCATATTTTAAATAAGATTCGTTTGTAATCAATTTAAATAACTTACATTTGTAGTCACAAAAAAAACAGAAGCGAAAAGATATACAGATCATAGATTCAACGCATAATATTATTAATAAACCAATTTGGAAGTATTTAAAACCGCGTACTTGACGTCTGAGCTTTTTTTGGACACGTTTTGCATATTTTGACAGTTTTTAGTCTTTAGATGTTTTTTTCTGCTGTTTGGATCAAGATGTTTGCAAAATATTAACAATGTTGAGGCTATGCGAGACGGTCAATATTGTGCGTAGTGAAATTGACGAAAAACATCGGCACGTTTTCTGTGAGGTAAAATAAGCGATTGTTGTCACTCGTCCACCATCGATTTAAATAACAGCGTTTGTCCTGTTTTTTTCGACGTTTGCGTTTAAATGTTTGCCACAGCAGCCAATTGCGCAGTTGTATTATCGCAAAAATGTCTTTAAAAAAAAAAACTCGGTCACGGTGTTATTTACATTGTGTGTCCCCTTTAAAACTTCCACTACTGTGTCGCGCTCATCTGGTAAAGGAAATGTGTCGAAATATAAAAACTATCAGCACCATGGACAGAGACATACACTTGCCAGTCTGTCCCTGAGTGTAATTTTAATCACGATTAAAGATGGTTGATTAAATCAGTTTAGCTATACGTCACTGTATCATTACTGGGTATAATTTTCGCCTTCTTTTTTTCTGTTTTTTTTTAAAGGTTATTAAATCATGGTCCTACCGAAATATAGCGAGACTTGCATGGGCATTTAAACCAGGGGCATCAAGATCATTTTCACTGCAGGCAGTATCTTTTAGCTCAGGTTTCTCCCGAGATGGCTCTTATGATTTGTAAAATCATATACAGTGTCAATGTATATTCGGTTCATGTATAATGTACACGCACAAGTCATTGTTAGTATCCGTTTTTGTTTTTTTTTAACAAGTACAATTCTCAATCAGAAGTCACAGAAAATATAAATATTGTCCAGTTTATGGCAAGTAATAATTTGGTGAAAATAAATGTTTTCAAAACTGGTTCAATTTCAAAATAAATTATATTTTTTTGTCCATGATGGGCCAGATCTGGCTTTGAGTTTGACACACTTGCTGTGGGATGTGCGGCCACATCTGTACTTTATTGTTATTACATATCGTTTGTCTTTTTTTTTTTCATTTTTCAAAAATTTTGGAGGACAAGAAAAACGTAATTTAAAATACCAACATGTGTTCTCACATGTTGGTATTTTTTGTAGGGTCTTTTTCCTATCTGGTTGAAGTTTTTGTTACAATCTCAAAAAAAAAAAAAAAAAAAAAGAATGGCAATTATGCCATGTGGCCAACTATATATATTTTAGCATCAAATTTCATTTTTCTTGGAAAATGGTGGCAAGCAAAATCACTGTTTGTTAGTGTACGACTCTTGTCCATTTCATATTGTGAAAGGATTTGTTCATGGTTGTAAAAGTGCCAAAAGTGAAGTACAATGTAATCTCAGTCCAGATTTTTATGCCCAAAAAAAAAGAACAAGGAGTCGACCCACTCTTGACATTAGAGGAGGGCCACATCAGATAATATGACGGACCAGATCTGGCCCCCGGTCCTTGAGTTTGACACCCATGGCTCAGGCCAAACCAGCTTTTAAAAGTCCTCCAAGGGCCAAACTAAATGAAAAGGAATTCAAAGGTGAAATAAATATTTGTCATTGTATATTTTGAGCCTTCGAGAGTTTGATATTTGTGTGTGTGTGTGGGGGCAAAACCTGATTTTTCCCATCACAATTTTGAAGAACCATTTCTTGACATGAGGGACTCATGTGATATTTTGCAAACGCATGATGGGTCAAACATAGAGGTCAAATTTCGTTTACGGATGTGTACATGACAAAGTAAAAATGACTCTATTTGACTCCGTGTCATTAATATTCAGCTCTTTCATTTTGACGTCAAATTAAACCCTTTCATGCGCCCCGTAACCTGATAACACGATAAGCTGTCCGCTGTAGTAACCGCTGTCCCTGAAAGGGTTAACGACAGTCAAAGCGGTGACAATGAATGTTAAATGTGTGTGTCCCCTCCCACCCGGCAGAGATCCCTCAGTGTGCGGGCTGCAGTCAGCACATCGTGGACAAGTTCATCCTGAAGGTCCTGGACCGGCACTGGCACTCCAAGTGCCTCAAGTGCGCCGACTGCCACACGCCGCTGGCCGACAAGTGTTTCTCCAGGGCCGGCAGCGTCTACTGCAAGGAGGATTTCTTCAAGTCAGTCTTTCCTTTGCCCTTTCACCTTTGTCATGACCGACTAAGCCACATGTTTTCTGAGGACCTCCCTGCAATGAGCTGGGGGTTCATTTCATCTTCCTTATGGAATGCTAATTATTGCGCCTTATGTTTGCATCGAAGGGTGGTTAAAATGTGATGGAATCTTTTATTGCGCTAAATGTGCAAAAAATATATAATGCAGGGATTAAACAAATGTTTTCCCTTGTTCCTCTGACATTTTAATTTTTTTTTTTTTTTTTTAGAAGTTTATCGCCGACCAGATCAAATGCTCTCGGGGTGATGCATGGCCCACACACCGTTACTTTCCCACCACTGTTTTTCAAGGATATCTTTTTTTTTTTTCAACCCTCCATATATATTTCATGCAGCTCACTTACAATTGTAACTGAAAAGATTTCTGCTATTTACCGGTATTAAAAATAATTAAGATAATTGAATCAAAATGAATAACCAAATTACCAAGAAGACAAATGGTGCGTTTTTAATGATTCCACTATGTATTTGAAAAAAGATCAACAGCAAAAATGGCTGTGATTGAAATAAATAAATAAATACATACATAGATCCACACATTAAATACACACAAGTAAATAAATTAATAAATAGATACATAAATAAGAAGTATAAACTGTTGATGAATAAGTCATGAAATTATCAAATTATGTGACGCCATGATGCACTCAAAAAATAATCCTTTCGATTTACATAATTGGAACACGGTTGCACATCATTAAAATGTGGTAAACCAAAGTCATCTTCCCGTGTTTTCCTCAAAAATAAACAAATGATATGCGTGAGTTTCACGCATTTTAATCATGTGCAAACGAAAATCAAGTTCTTTTTTTTTTCAGCGTGCTCCAAGTGACTTCACAGCATCTTATGAAGAAACTCACGATTAACATGACAATTTCACAGACTGGATAAAAATGAAGAGGGTCAATTGAAATATGACGAGTGCACAAAATAATGGCACCAAAATTCACTTGTATCTTGGTGCTGACCTCTTTTTTTTTTTTTTTTTTTTTTTTAAAGGGAAGTTCCAGGTTCCACAAATATTCTAAATAATTCTAGAAATACATATGTTGCATTACCTTTTCATTTTCTAGTTTCCAAATACTGTGCAATACTTCACCCTGCAGGTAGTCCTCAGTTTCCAATAGAGTTCCACTTGCACAAATGTCTACATAGATCGCAGTGTGTCACAGTCAGTCACAAACCTACAATGAAACGATCAATTTAGTATTTGTCTGGAAAACAATCAAATGAAAAGCAGTCAGTTTTATGTGAGTACAAACGCAGCACCCCTTGTAATTTTTTTTTTTTCCGACCTGTCCATGACCCACAGCCACCCTTAATGAATCCGTGACCCACTTTCGGCTCCTGACCCACTAGTCGAGAATCACTGATTCAGATGATCAATTCATGCATTATAAACCCAATTTTTTTTTTTTCCTGCAATTGGATTTCTGAAGCATGACCAACTGAAAAGGAATGGACTTTTTATGAGTCTTTTATTTTTGCATCTTGGTAAAGCGGTTGCACATCTAATAACTTGTCAGCAGACAGAAAATGATGATGAGGCACACCCGCACCATTTCATGACATCCCAAAATATAAAGGCCAGAGGCATTGGCACCTTGAACTTCAATTTCTGATTTTTATTTTTTAATCTTGATCAATGCACATATACTCCCAAAGTCATTTTGGGCAACTTTTTGTTTTATATTACTGCAACTCATGAGTGACTTTTTAAGAATAGAAATTTAGTCATCCGTGAAATTTAGCCATACATGTTGACATGTATTTAAAAAAAGAAACACATACATCAAAAACACTTTAGGTGTATAGGACTGAGCCGAGGCACCATATCAGAGTTGAAAACACATCAAATTAAGTTTAATGGGCGAACTTTTGGCTTTCATGTGCCCTTTATTTATGTATTTCTTTATTTATTCATTTAAGGACAATACCTTAAGGCAGTTTGGAAATACCTAAAAAAAAAAAAAATAGATAGATAGATGTAAAGGATTTCAATGATTATATTTCATGGTCAGGGCTAATTTCAGGATGCGGGCACAAGACAAGGAGTGGGACTAATACTATTTGTCCAGAGCCGAACCACTTCATTATTCTTATCAAGTGTATTTCAAACAGATGACTATGCAGGATGTACCTTGATAATTCTGAACATCCTCAGTTCACTTGGCCTTGCATTGCAGAGCTCTTTCATAGAAATGAACTCTGCCATGTCACCGCATCACCAGTTCAGTTTTATGCAGCACAGTTTTACACGACCGCAAACTACAACCAAATGTATTGTTTCCTACTTAACATAATGTAGCGTGAAATGAATAGAAATCAGTCTTTGAGCTTTACTGTCAAGGCCAAATTTTTCTGACAGCTCTCTGTGGAAGTGTACCTAATATTTTGGGTTGTGTTTGTGTGTGTGTGTGTGTGTGGGTGTGTGTAAGCTTCACCTTGCTCTTTTACTGTCTGAGGCTCGCTGGCGTGATTTAGAGCTTCTCCTGAGTCAGTGTTTTATTGGTCCTCCGGAGGGTGTGTTTACTGAGAGCAGCCTCCTCTTTTTTTCCCTCCTCCTCATCCTCCTCTTCATCCCCTGTACTTCTTCTGCAAACACATAAACACACACACACACACACACACACACACACACACACACACACACACACACACACGTACAGGGGCCGCAGTGCATTGATCTTCTCCATCCATCAAGTTGCAGACAGGTCTATCGTTAACAGAAATGCATTCCAGTGCTGATTTTTTTCCCGCTTCAACAGCTGGAGCTTCTATTAACACAGGCGGGCGCACCATCACTCTTGACTGCAGTTGAGAGGAAAATACATACTGTAGCCGTTCAGGATGGGGAACTACTTTAATCTCAGCTGGTCTCCATCGTTGCGGTCCCGAGCTGACATCCGTCTTTCTTGCTCCCCGCAGGCGCTTCGGAACAAAATGTGCATCGTGCCAACAGGGGATCCCTCCCACGCAGGTGGTGCGGAAGGCGCAGGACTTTGTGTACCACCTGCACTGCTTCGCCTGCATCATGTGCAGCAGGCAGCTGGCCACCGGGGATGAGTTCTACCTCATGGAAGACGGCAGGCTGGTGTGCAAGGTGGACTACGAGACGGCAAAACAGAACGGTCAGCAACCATTAGAAATAAATATACCACCCCCCCCCAAAAAAAAAAACTTGGACGGATAAAAGAAAAACACCCTGTGATCAACTTGCAACCAATCCAGGACGTAGTCTGCCTTTCGCCCAAATACAGTTTTATATCCTTTCTAAAATAATGGCCTTTTTTTCCTCCAGAAACCTCTAGAACTGAACCAAATATGAATCCTATTATTTTTTATTAAGAATTAAATTTCAGGGCTAGAACTGGATGAACTGTTTAACTAATGCAGCTTATTTTTGCAGCGGTGTCCAGCATCATGAGGAGATGTTTAAGGATATATATAATTTTTTTTTGTCAAAATATGAAATATGCCGTTATTTTAAGAAGGTGACGCAATGTTAATTTCAACCTTCCATATTTTGTGTGTGTGTTTTTAGTTGGGTTTTTTTTAGTGCAAGGATAAGAAAGTTGACCTTATTCCTTGCTTTTGTTTCCTGATACTGCATTGTATTGTGACTTTATAATGTATATATATATAAAGGTAAATCAAATGACTCAAATTAATGCGGCTACGGTGAGTTTATACTAATGTTTTCGCTGCATGCTTCATTGTTGATGTAAAGTGAAGCAACACTCAGTTGAATGTGTAGTGTACGGCAGTGAGTTTAAGTGTGTTGTCCTGTTCTTAGATTTATGTGTTGTGCTGCAGTGCTGCTGATATACATGCACAAGGACAATAATGCACTTGCCGACGCCACCGTTCACTCCATTTAACGCATGCACAGGAAGTACACACAAGCGATCACTGGCATGATTGTATTGCCAATGTTTGGTTACGGTAGATGATTCCGAGGCGGGGACCAAGCGACCGAGGACCACCATCACGGCCAAGCAGCTGGAGACCCTCAAAAGTGCCTACAAGAACTCCCCCAAGCCGGCACGACACGTCAGGGAGCAGCTTTCCTCTGAGACGGGCCTCGACATGCGAGTCGTGCAGGTAGACATCGCCATATGAAGACCAGTTGATTGTCAAGCTTTCTTTATTATATCAGGAATGCGCCTCCACTCGTCTATACACGGTATTGTGATGAATATTGTTTTGTGGAATATGAATTAAGCAGATCAAAAATCCACCTGTTTTTATCCATTAGGGGGGAGCCATTTTGCTCTTGAAAATGACACCATAGTGCCTAAGCGCTCAGCTTGTGAACATCACATGACCAAACCTGGAAAACGAGTGAGCCGTGACGGTTGTTACCTGAGCCCTGGAGCGACTGTGATATCATTTTTAATCGGCAGCAAGTGGCAAAATTTGTCCCAAGAGAGAGATGGATACAAATGGTTTGATTTTACTGCTTGATTTATATTCCACAATTGTAATAATAATCAGAATGCTGTGTTTAGACAAGTGGGGCTGCATAGAACATCTTGACTCGACTTTCCCATTTTATGTATCGGACTCAAAATCATAGTACAGGAATAGTCCACTTTGGCTGACATGTTTATAAAAACGCCAAACTTTCATGTCACATTAAAATGTCTACGAGTGGCTGACGACCAGTCCAAGGTGTACCCTGCGCATCGCCCAGAGTCGGCGGGCTTCGGCTCAAGATGAATGGTTTTGTTGCTCTAAAATCATAGTTAGAAAACCATTTTGTTTCGTCTCTTGTCAGGTTTGGTTCCAGAACCGCCGAGCGAAGGAAAAGCGTCTCAAAAAAGATGCAGGCCGCCATCGATGGACTCAGTTTTACAAAAGTGTCAAACGTAGCCGAGGAGGGCCAAAGGTGGAGAAGGAGAGCTCGGCGGATGACGCAGGCCTCAGTGACAGCGAGCTGAGCTTCAGAGGTGAATTAGTGTTACTGTCATTATTTTAACAAGTACAATTTAATTCTAGTTTTGAAATGAGATGACGTTCTAAAAAAATACACTTGAAGTTTTTGAAATAATAGGACCTAATTACTGTAATAAATACAGCACAGGTGTCAAAGTCAAGGCCCTGGGGCCAGATCTGGCCCACCACATCATTTTATGTGGCCCGCGAAAGCAAATCAAGCATGTCAACTTCCATGATGCTTGCTAAAGTCTGAACCAAAATTTCAAATTGTCATATCCAATCCATCACAACGATGTTTGAACAAGCCATTATTCTTGACTTCTGATTTCAAAGCAAGTTATCCATCAATTTGTTGTTCGCTGTGTATGTAATATGTGGAGGTGGTTAAACGTTGACATGGTTTTACAAAATTCACAGTCATTTACGGCCCTCCGAGGGGAAACCGTAACGACAATGTGGCCCGGGACAAAAATGAGCTTGACATCCCCGTAATACACGTTTTGTTCTAAAATGATGATGTCACAATTCTTTCAACTCAACTTAACTTTATTTATATCGCACTTTTAAAACAACCGTTGCTGCATACAAAGTGCTGTAAAAATCATTCTTACAACAAAAACTGGGAAAACAGTAAATTATTTTTTTTAAAAATTGTATCACTAAACAATATTAATTATTTAATCAATTAATCAATCCATAAATCAATTGTATTAGAGCTTTTAATTGACCCAAGATAGGTAGAAGTCATTGGTTAATTACATTTGTACATAGTTGCCTCAGATGCCAGATGTAGGCGTGAACATTTAAAAAAAAAAAGATACATCATGATATCATTGCCAATTATTTCGGGGACCCTCGAGCTACGGTTCGTGGACCCCCCCCAGTTTGAGAAGCCATGCTTTATTGTATCCATTGCACTTACTGGCCTGCTGTAACATTCCCGAAAGGGACTTGTCAGTCTCCTGGCACGCGGCAAGATGTGAAAGCGCAGTGCTGTGAGTGCATCAGCCATCACATTTGTCTCTGTCTTTATTTTCTTGACTTCTTTGTTCTCCGGCAAATGCAAAATGTCGTTGTTGATTCACATTGCCCTCGCACTCCTCAGACACGTCCTGCAGCCAAACACTGGGTCCCAAGTAGGATGAAAGCCAATTAGACAACCTCATAATATCCTAATATATCTTCTGAGACACTTTCCTTGGCTGTTTTAAAACATATATCATCTTTTTTACCTGATAAAATAAATGAAATTGCAATTTAAGCATGTAGGGGCAAAACCACGAGGCTTTTAGTGAATTACAAAGAAAGGTACTGACAAAAGTATTTGGAGGCAACCCTTAATCCATCCATCTCTTTTTCACGGAGCTTATCCTCATTAAGGTCACGGATGACCCTTGAATAATTCTGCTGCTTCATATATTCGTTCATTCTTCTATTCAGTGGTACCTGATTGACACGTTTCATTCATATCGTGACCAAGCGTAAAAACTCGTTTTACACAGATAAGATCAAATTTCCCAATCGCTAACAATTTAAATGCCATTGTCCGAATACATCAGTGCGGTTCTCAGACCAAACCAACTCCCAAAATACTTATTCAATTACTACCATAATGACGGACGAAAGGTCTAAATGTTCATCAAAATTCCGGCAGAGGTTTTATTTCCCGAAATTACACCTATGTACTGTTAATTTTACACCACTGTGACATTTGAACGTCCTCGCTGTGCTTAAATATAGCTAAACAAATAACTAAGCCTAATGCTTTTGTCACGTTGCGAGGTGGTGGTGGACCCCAAAAAGCAGGCAGGTAGGAGGAGCAGGTTGTACTTGACGAATTGTATTGATAAAAACACAAAACTAAATCCAAAACAAGCAAAAATCATGACTGAAGCTAAAACCTAACAGTGGCCGAACATGACTGAAACAAACATGACAGGAAGGAAGGAAGGAAGGAATGAAGGAAGGAAGGAGGAAGGAAGAAAGGAAGGAACGGATGAACAAACAATGACCCAACACCGAGTGGTCGTGCTGGGAGTCTTTTTAAAGCAATAATTACATAACGACCAACAGGTGTGCAGCTGCAGGGAGAGCCCTACAGTGCCACCTGTTGGTCACATACAGAATCATGACAGCTTTAATGAACATGGATTGTATGTAAAAGTTAAATAAAAATTGGATGTAAATAAATGTTGAAAATAAAGTTAAATACAACTGAAATGTACGCTAAGTATTTGAAAAGTAAAAAATGTATTGCATAGAGAAGGGGGGGGGGGATGTACTGCACTTGTACATTGGGAGATTCACCTCCTTCGTGCATTGAGTGACACTCGCGTCTCTCCTCCGCAGACGACCAGGTGCTGTCAGACCTGGGCCACGGCAACGGACTCTACGGGAGTGTGGGCGACATGACGAGCGGCGCCGTGCTGAACGGCGGCTTCTCGGTGGACGCGGCGAGCCAACCGTACCACGACATCCGCGCCGGAAGCCCCTACGGCCTCCCGCAGTCCCCTTCCTCCATCGCCTCCCTGCCCGGCCACACCCCCCTCCTCAACAACCTAGCCTTCACCATGGACGCTCTGGGGGCGCAGGGCGGGCCGGGCGGCGTGGGCCAGGCTCTGAGGGCCATGGCGGGCGGCCCGACCTCAGACCTGTCCACGGGTAGCAGTACGGGCTACCCTGACTTCCCCACCAGTCCCGTGTCCTGGCTGGACGAGATGGACCAGTCCCAGTTCTGAGGACAAAAGGCACGCAAGACTTTTTGTTTCCATCACGCCAGCAGTTTTGGAAAGCCGTTGGAGCATTTAGTCGATCTCCAACTTAGGGTCCATGTACAGTACTGGTACACTCTTGGTCCTCACGAAGACAATTCAGTGCACCAGTACAATGACCGTGTCTTACTAGTAACGCCTCTTCTGCTACCGGTGCCACTGATTGCCCTGTAGAACAAACTAAACCTTAATCGTCATCCACTGTGCTACACTAGTACACTACTAGTTGGTATGCAATAGGAGCCTCCATGACCCTACTCATAGCCCACTTGTGGTTTTGCTTTACGAGTAATATAAAGTTTTCCAACTGGTATGTCAAAGTTGCAGAGATCTCATACAGTATTAGATTATATGTTACTAGTAAAACACAGTCTTTCTAATAGTTGTTGTACTAGTGTGCTGAATTGTCTTACAAGTAAGGACAAAGAGTGGACTCGAACATGAAGCCAAATATTGTACACACTAGTAGAATGACTGTGTCTTATGAATAACTTTTCTTCCATAACTGCTGCAACTTTTGGCCTGCATGTTAACAATTAGTTGTTACTACTAAACTACTAGTAGTAGCGGCACTAGGAAAACTAGAAGGCCCAAGTATTTGGCATGTGTCATAATATATCCTTGATTCTAGCTTAAGGTCCATGTCCTAGTGCGTTTTTTTTTTTGTCTTCACTACATGTTACTAATGAGGCAAAACTGCGCACTAGTTGACAACTGCATGCTTAAGCACAGTCTTGCTTTATTGGTAACACGTAGTTGTCCTACAAGTAAGCAGAAATGACATACAGAAGTAAAAAAATACATTGAACTAGTGTGGCACAGTCTCTCTTTTAATAGGCTGCATTTTTTTACTAGTGAAGACAAAGAGTGTACTAGTACGTGGACTTTGCGCTGGATATTCTCAATAAAGTTCCATGTACTAGTGGTGACACTACACCTCACTAGTAGTAGTAGTCATATTCTTACTAGCAACATTTTTCCACGACTACTGCTACTTTTAAGAACCAGCTCGTAGATCCAACTAGTATCCAGCTCAGGTTCATGTACTAGCACATAGTTTTTCCTCGTCGGAGACCTTAAAAAAAAAGTGCAGTAGTGGACAAATGCGTGCTACTAGTACTACAAGTGGCATTATAAAATTCAACTGGTTAATATCCAACGAGTAGTCCTAGTCGAGTGCAAATGTCACCTGAAGCAGAATTTTGCCTCGTTGTTGGAGACTTGTAGTTGTCCTACTCGTGACCAGAAATGTCATGCATTTAAGGGGAGAAAAAAAAAATACCAGTACGTGCGATGAATTGTTCTACTGGTGAGGACAAAGAGTGTAGTAGTACATGGACCTGAAAGTGGGTATCAAGGATATGGACTAAAAGGCTGAAACGGCGTTCCATAGGTGGTGGCGTGTGGCAACTGAAGCCCAAGGGAAACTCAAACAGTGCATCTTGCAAATGCTGACTGGCCGACAACAAACCACAATGAGGCTCGCTCAAGCGTGTCAGTCCGGAGGCGCCCGCACATTTCTGACGGATCGTCCCGAGCCTTTTATATGCACTTTACTCTCCTCGCCACTTCGAGGAGGAAAAGGAGAACGCAGGCGAGGGGTATGCACAAGGCTGAGACAGTGTCGCATCGGGGAAAGAATTTTACAAGCATTGTGGCACAAGTGTTTATTTTGAAAACCCACGTGGAGGTTGTTTTTTCTTTTTTTCTACGGGCGGGCGGGAGGTCGATGCTGATGTTTTCAAACTTGTGCGTCTGTGGCTGCTTGACTTGTTCTCGTCTGTGTAACGCAGTGTGCTCTACAGGACACGCGTCAGTGTTTAATGTTCAAGAGATGATGAAGGCCAATTAGAAATGACCCGAAAGCATTTAATTTAGTTTTAGTTAACATATGCACCAACGTAACGTGGTAAGTTTTTACGAGACGTGGCCATCTTTTCAGATTTTACAAATGCAAAACATTCGTATGATCCGATGACCAATGTTTTGGTCACCTTTTTTCTAAAGATGGACTTTGGACCACACGGCCTTGATCAAGGATGGGAAAATGAATGATGAAAAATGCATATTTGGTGTTTTTGTTTTTGTCCTGCCAAGAATTCGTCAAATCGTCAATTGTCATTCAGTCTTTATTCTACATTATTTCAGTGCAATGATTTTTTTTTTTTTTTGCCTTGTATGACTTTAATCGATCCATGCATTTCTATCGCACTTGTCCTCATTATCGTCATGGGTGAACTGTAGCTATTCCAGCTGACTTGGGGCGAAAGGGGTACACCCCGGACTAGTCCCCAGCCCACATCACAGGTAACACTGACAAGCAACCATACACGCTCACAATCAAATATTTGCATAACTTAATAGTCATCAATGAACCTAAAAATGCTTTTCTTACTTTTCTCCAGTGTGGCCCTTATTATTACTGATCACATTCATTTTTTTTTTTTTCAACGAAGCATTATTAAAACTGAAAAGCCATTTCTGAGGGGGGATGTCTGCTTGGAGGACAACTTGACCTGTGGAAACACATTGCAGTGCGCCACATGGATCTTTGTTTCAGCTCTGTACTTCCCCTCCGTCTGATCCGGGCTTCTCTTCGTAATCTACTCAGTGAAGCGGGGATCTAGCTGGCCGCGCCCGCTATCATCCTACTTACTGAGGCCAGATGTGTTGTCAGCCTGTTCTCCAACGGTCTAGCAAACAGTGGCAAAGCTGAGATATCTTGCAGTTCAGTTCGGGGCTTCAAAAGTAAAGCAGATTTTTGTTTTGTTTGTTCAAAGTGCAATCGTTCAACCAACTGGAAGAGGAGCCATAGATGTGTGAATGCTCGGAAATGAGGATGAACCACAAAGGCTATTGTGCATCGAAAGTTGTTAGTGTGTCAATGCTGAGAAGCAAGCACACAAGTCAACACGGAGGATTATTAAAATGGTCAACAGCAAATTGTAATCAGAGATGGCTTGTGTCCATCAAAAAAATGTTGACACTGATTTCACAAATGTCTTTCCTTTTTCCCAGCCTATCAGGTTTTTGAGATATTTTTAAAACAGTTTCAGCATGGGCATATATCTCAGCATTGAAACATTTTTTTGGGGGGCGGTGACAAGACTTAAATGTCAATTTCTGTTTGGCCTGTCAAACACATTTGCTGCATTTTTATCTCGACACGTTTTTGCTTTTGTCGACTGAAGAGATTAATCAAACAAACCCCATTGTTCTTTCCCCTCTCCGTTACAAACATGTACAAAACATCCCAAACCGCTTTTTCTGTCTGCGTTGCCTCGAAAGTTTGCATCTTAATTGTTGTAAATTGTGTACAGTTTGGCGTCTTGATCGTCTTGTTTCATGAGTGCTATTTATTATTGCCATGTGTCTTTGGAAAAAGATGTAAAGGAGAGCACTGAATTTATTCATTTATGCCTTCTGTGTAATGGTATGAACTGTGTACAGTCAAATCTATATGAGGACAATAAAGATGGATTGTCTTTGGGTTAAAGTCGGCTGCTTTGTAGTCAATACGATATACAACAAAATAGGCGCTGCTGTAGGTGTTTGCATTATTTTCTGGGGGTGGGGGGTGTCCCGTATCGAAACACTCTTTAGAGAGAGTTAACCCGCAAATTCATTTAGCCATAGAGAGCATTTACCACACACTTAGACCTCGATTCAATTGTGGAGATCCATTTAGCAGAAGCAGCAGACAGTGGTGGGTCAGTTAACAGTGATTGATGCGCTCTCAGGGTGGGGGCGACCACAAAGACACATGACGTGACGAGGAGAAAAAAAAACACACACAAGTAGAGAAACAGCTGCCTGATCCTGTCACTGTTAAAGAGACTGCAGCAGATTGTTCCAGCTCACTTTAATCCCCATGCTGTTAACTAATTGTGCGGCGCTTTGTGAAATATGTGTTAATAATCTCTCTGGGCAGGCAGATCTGTAAACATGGCCTATCCAAACTAGGAATGCAAAGTGGTAAACAACCGCATTGTCTACCATATACTGTATGGTAGCACTTCCGGGCTTTCCTGACATTTTTGGCAACGTTGTAAACTCCTCAAACAAGAGTCTGAAAGACAAGTCAAGTTACGCATTATGCAGCGACGCGCTGCTGTGAATAACTTCAAAATAAAAGCTCACCCAGGCTGCGATGGCCATCCATAATGATACAATTTGAGCTTTATTTTGAAGTTGGCCCTCCCACCGCATTGGCTGAGCATTACTGTCACGCACAGCAAGAACAACTTTTGCTGTGGTTGCCTTGACTCTTTGACAGTGTGAACGTAATGAGCAGGTACTCGAGGGAGAAAATCATGCCGACAGTATTTCTTTGAACCGGGGTGCTCGTTTCAGCCCGTAGTCTTGCTACCCTACATACGCCCTGATATATAAAGAACACGAGGGATTGTTGTCACATGTAGTCAATAGCCAGATATTCCTGCAGCTCCTTACATTTTACTGTCGGTCTCTTGGCAGCCTCGTTTTCTTCATCTCTTTCCAATCCATTTTGAAGGGCTGGTTCGTCACTGTTGTGCCATATTTTTCGCACTTGATGTGTTCACTGTGTTGCATGCTATATTTAATGCCTTGGAAATTCTCTTGTACCTTATTCCCGGCTCATACCTTTGAAGAATGAGATCACTACGATGCTGTGGAAGCTCTCTGCATCTGTTGTGACATGTGACTACAAGAATGTCAGGAAAAGACTCCTAGAACATTTCATTTTTTTTTTTTTTATATTATAAAAACCTGGCAATTGGAACAGGGGTGTGTTAACCTTTTATATCCACTGGACAAACACTGCAGAAATTTGGAGATAAACGCTCTTCATTGGACAATGACAGTTCCATAAATCTCAAGCATTGCACAAAAGTTGAGCTTCATGACTATGTCATGGCTTTAAGCGGTTTTGTTGTTCAGTTTTGTTTTGTTTTTTCCAAAGAACATACAGAAACACAATGAAATTACACCCCAGCATGCATCCATAAGCTCATCTGTATGCTGCAACATGAAGCATTAGTCTGAGGGCGGGCCAAAGCAAACCTAAACCTAAGTGATATTGATTCTGTGCGTTTTAGCTATTCGTGTTGCATTATACAAACAACAACAATAACAACAAAAAACGAAGAGTCAGCCCCCGTAGAAGTTTGCATAAAAATGTTCCAAATGGAGCTGATTTTTATTTAAGCATTGATTGGCTGAACTATGGGCATTAATGGATGGGCTCTAATAGTAGTGCCTTACAAAGACAAAAAGCCACACCGACAGTCAGGATAATTTACACGCCACTTACAGCACTAGTATACAAATAAATCTGCGGCAACTCCACCACCGTTGCTTTTGAGAAGATGACAAACACAAGCACAAATGCCATTATCATCGATCGCCAGGGCTTTTATTACTAACTTTCTAAAGGGAAGCCTTTTTTTTTAAATAGATGAATAAATTAACATGCAAAACAGACGTAATTTGTTTTGGCCTGGAAGTCAGTCTAGCGGCTGTAAGACCAGACTTTTTTTCCCCCCGACTTCTTCTCCTCCATTTAGTGAACAATGATGCTCAGCATGATGGAGTGAGTCTTAAAGAGAGGAGCCGCAGTCAAACAGAGGCCTCTCAATGACACCCTCAAGGTTGTGAGCTCCGTGCTGTTTTAATGCGAAACTGGCCTTTTTCCACTCAATAATATCAGCAGCGTGTCAAGTCACCAGAGGAGGCGGGGCCACACGGGCCAGGAAAACATGACAAATACCAAAGGAATTATAGTACAGTACAGCAGTGGTGTCAAACATAGGGCCCGCGGGCCGGAACCGGCCACCAAGGAGGTTCGATCAGGCCCGCAGGATAATTTAAAAGTGAAAAAAATGCATCAAAGACACGGTATGAATATTTTAATAAGGTGCAATTCATGGATTATCCGCTAGAGGACACACTGTCTCAGTATGTCATTACTTTATTCTTTATTCTTTACAGCACAAGGGTTAATAGCACTCTTCTTAGTTTGTAAGGTGTAGGCAGGGATTAAATTTAGATTTTATGTGCACATGTGTAAATGGTTTCAAAATTCCTTTCTTTATAAATCTCGTTCAATCTTAAAGTGCATTACTATATTTTTCTGTACCAATTATTTGTTAAAGTTTTGTGCCTTTGTACAATCAGTGGGATCAGTTGCAATGCATATATGTGATTGATAAAAGTAAATTGTACATTTCTCTGAGGAAATCTCAAGT